TTTTTTTTTTTTTTTTTTTTTATTATTTTTTTTTCCTTTAGTTTTCTTTACACAATGGAAATCATGATCTTGAATGTGAGGTGTTGGTAATCAGGTGACTTCATGACCAACCTGCGGTGGCCAAGACATGATGCAACGCGCGGGAGTGTTTGACTAGTCTACTTGTAGCTGCGGCGAAATTAGTGCGTCGGGCTCAGACCTGCTACAGCTGCCACAAAGACTCGCGGCAGGACTTCGACATTCTTCTAGATCTGCTGGAGAATCCGAGTCCTCCTTAGCTTTGATATATGACCTTTTGTTGGCTGCAAGCAACTTCTTAGACTTGGTATATCTCCATACGATTACTAAATAGTGATAAAGACATTTGCGATTTAACGACCTGAGATAAATATTTTGGCCTTTAAAACAAGCGCTAGAACCATTCACATTGGAGTTGAAGACATTGGCGTACTCTGAGAGCCCCCCAGACCCAGAGTATATCTTGCACATTCCTGAGCCCGTATCGGCAAGTACTCTCTTCAGTCTTTTGATATACTGCCCAACTCCATAAAACGGACAGCCTTGAATACTCCAATACTACTACTGCTGAAACCACCTATCCAGACGTAGACCCCGATTAGCTCAGCTACACGTATCTCATCTGAGCCTGGAGAGAGCAAATTATTACTATAAATGGTTAGAGCTATCATGCAGCTGAGTATCACGTGACCATGTCTGCCATGCAGGTCAAACTCCCAGATGAACAAAACAAACCAGGCTTGAGAGATATTTTCATCGAAACCTTCAGATACTGGCGTTCTATCATCTATAATAATCCATCCCTTACTTAGCTTTCATGGAGGTCACGTCTGCAGAGGTGCTCCTGGGAGCAGGAAAGCCGTTCATCCCGTTTCCCGAGTATACGGTCAACGCATCGCGAGATTGTCGGACACCGGAGCCCATGTTTGGCTTGATGGCAAATTACGAGCGGGAATCCCATTTGTGATTCGCGGGTTGAAGACACCGGAGAACCCATGGGATGATACTACCTGGTACCATGATCTCTTAGACACTCTTTCGGCCACGAGAGGTACGTGACGGCCAAGCAACTATATCCACGGGAGGGTCCGTCAGCTCACATGAGGATTCTGGTACCCCAGCGATATTTGTGAGAAACTGCTCTACAGGTCGCGATGTCAAGATGTAACTGCAGGACCTCTTGCCTCAGAATACACTCCCAAGCAATTTCCGAGATTCGTACGTCACCTAATTCCGGCCTCCGCCCCCCGCCCCCCGGGATTGGCTCCCACAGCTCACAGAATCGCTCCGAAGTTTATACGCCAAGGATCTACAATGCCCGGAGGATTGGGCTCGTAGATTGGACTCTGTTCTACAATCATCTTTTAGACACCGGGGTACTCTTGATATGTTCCGCTTACTGCCGGAAGAAATCGCTCCGGAAGGTTTGATGGCACATGTCGGTACACGGAACTCGTTGTAAGTTTAATGTTGGTCTTTCTCTGACCGGTTGACCCAATCGACTTACCAATTGAATACGGATAGCTCTGGTTTTAACCGATGCTTCAGCGGGACAGTTGCGCTGAACCTTCTGATACAATCCGAGGGTAATCACCAGCCTAGTCTATTATCCTGCTAGGTAGAATTTCTAACTTCGCATCTAGAAGGCGGACATGGTTCCATATGTTTCGAACAGACAGATATGCTCAGCCTAAGTATGATGCTTTCATGGAAGAGCTGAGGAAATCACCTCACACGGACTGGGCGAATCTCACAGTCACCCAGCTACGTCGTGCCAAATTTCCTATCTATGTCACGGACCGACATCCTGGAGACTTGGTGATCTTTCCTCCTGCCACTGCTCATCAAGTCTGGAACGTTAATCCATTGGTCACCAAGCTGGTTTGGACTATAATGCATAGTTCCTCGCTTACCTATTTCTTTGACCATGTTCAGCCGGCTTATCAAAACAATGCCACGCAGACCCGGGCCGGGTGTCCCTCATCCCCCTGCATGCATTGGAGAGTCGCCACTGGCGGCCAGGAGATATTTATTTCTTTCTGAGTCTCTTTCTGCAGATGTATGAAGAAGAAGATATTGAAAATGAGTTGGGTGTACAGATAGAACTCATAGACACTCAGGGTGCAGTGGTCGAATGCAGCTTTTGTGGCTTGACGATCTGGAATCGTCATCTACATTGTGAGCAATGTGGAGATTTCGACTTGTGTCTGCGGTGCTTCGTGTCTGGACGAAGCTGTAAGCACCCTCGCAGTTACACGTGGGCCGAATTACTTCCACGAGACTACTGCGAGAATATCATCAGCAGTGCCCTGAACAAGCTAGGTCGTCGACTGCCTCCAATTCCCCTGCGCACAAAGCAACTGTCTCCAAGTCCACCGCCCACAACGTAAGGATTTTCAACCAGTCTGATTCTCTTGAAGACCATTCGCAGGAAAAGCACCTTCTCACTTCACTCTCTTCTAACCAGCTCAACAGAGTCACCAATGTTTCAACCCGTTTGGTCTCACTAGCTGACAAATGTTCTTTCCCGTCACAAGACCTTGGGCACATTGGCCGCCACCGCAGTAGTCGCGCGAAAGTCACGTGAGGTAAATCATCTCTCTGTCGTTCATACCAAGATGAACATATCAATGACAAACAAATTAGGTTTCACGTTGTCATCTATGCCGGGTTTTTCAATTTTTGTGGGAGGGAATGAGATGTTCGCAGCGTGATGCGTTCTTCTGCTTTTGCGGGCTTCATAGACACTTTGCGCATGGACTTGATTCCATGCCTGAGGACTGCAGAGTGCTGGGTTTGTCCCAAATGCTCAGAGGTGTGCAACTGCCGAGACTGTCGCATCGATGAGCCGTATCGTAGTAAGGCGAAGCCTGTGCGAGTCCGGGTGAAGCCACTTGACAAGCGAAGACGCATCGGCTTTTTCTTGATAATGTATTTGACCGGAGGAGATGCAAAAGAGCGGCCCAGATCGCATGGACACAGCCAAGAACTACCAAAGAGTGGAAAGAGGCTCAAGACAGATTCCAACGAGAACGAGCTTGTGGAACGACAACAGACTGATGGTTCTCATGCTTTCATCGACCGTCCGAAGTACGAGCCAAGGGTTTCTCAGCAGGCCAATATCTCGACTCCAATCAGAGAATGCCCAGCAGATCAAGCAGAATTATTTTCTCGGAGAAGTCAAGATGCAAAGGGTCAGTTTCGTATCAGTGACCCCGTGGAAGACCGACATCGGGACGAAATGCGACAGACTCCTCGAGCCTTGATCAAAAGCGGTTCCTCTATAGCGTCTACGACTTCAGAGGACAACACATACGCCTCTAGAAGAGATGTCAGCATCGCTGCCCTCGAGAGAAAAATGGCATCGCTCGTTGATTCGCATGCGAAGCTCCTTAAAAAGGTTGCCAAGATGCAGAGGCAAGTGGAAGAACAGAAGCGAAGCAAAGCTGAGGCACTGTTAAACAATCTCTATCGAGATTCTCCTCATCTGGCTGATATCGTTCGTGAGGAGGCGCGACGACGAGGGTTCTAGACGCAACGCGTAGGTTCCGCGGTTATTTAGGAGTTGGCGAAAGAGGCGGAATTGGCCTGTCCGTCTAGGTTGGTTATCCCATCCCACCTAAAGGAAATGCGACATTTTGAAGTAGCATATTATTCTCGAATATTCAGTCATAGGAAATCAGTCATTAGCGCTTTGATGTATTTATTGTCGTCCATGAAAGACGAATGTCTGTATTGATCCAGAGGAAAGCAGGCATACATCAGGTTGACATCAGGGAAGAACTGTCAAATAGAGGGGAGGGAGGGAGGAAGGCGGGCGGAAGCGATCCAAGGAAGCAGGCGGAGTTCCAGCCGGCGGTGATCCTCATCTCTCTCTCCACATCCATCCATCCCTCCCTCTCTCTCTCTTCCTTGCCTCTCTTTCTTCCTCCCTCCCCTTCCTCAACCACCACTTACCTTGTCTTTCTCCTATTTTGTCCTGCTCCACACTCACCCCTTGGTCGCTTGGTCCATATCTTTTTGCTGGATATCTCTCCTTGATCGAGTTCACGAATATTGAACCCGGACTCTTTCTCCAAACAGAATCACTCACACTTGGTATGTTTAGATGGTTCCTCCGAGTCCCAGCCCACCATCCACTCATTCCTGATCGGCGTCAACACCCGTCAACCCCCTCCCCCTTTCTCCCTCATCACACCGCACGGCTAATGCTGTATGCTTGTGCTTCGCATAGCGAAACAATTTCGAAGGAAAATATACCCGTTCGATCACAATCATCACATCGATTTTGCGCCGGAATTGAGTGGGGACTTGAACGGCCACCACCTCCGCGATTCATCTGCTTCGGTCATTCTATCTCCCCGCCGGGGGCTGGCGGTACCTAGCAGGCACACACACCGAACTCACACTACCTCGATCCTGACCGCCTCCACAACACACGACCAGCTCACCTTCGCACGACTACACGCGCGCCATCAACCTTATCCTTTTCTCCCTTGCCTCCTTCCCCTTTTCTCCAGCTTGGTGCGACCTTGGCCGTGGACGTCTTACACAATTCCAGTGTTTACTGTCTCTTTGCCCCGCCATGCCCTGCTTCAAGGGTCTTGCCGTGAGTATACACACTCCGGACGGCCCGATTTCCGAATACTCGATCCAGCGCCAATCACGAGCCTCTCGCATAGCTTGCTATATCCCTGTACCGCCTCCCAAGCTACCTGACTCCGGATCGGGCCGACCTGAACAATCGACTTTCGCCATCTCGATCACACTCTTGAACCCCGGTCAAGATGTACCTTATTCCACTCCGAAAGCGACACCCGACAACCCTGCACCCAGGCCGAAGATAGTTGGTGGGCTCCCTGGCCCGACCGAGATGCGCGGCCACTACTCTAGCATGGTTATTCCTTACAAGCCGTTGACCAATTCGCCAAACGAGACGGTCGCTGCGTACATCTACTTCGATGGTCGGCAAAAGGAGGAAGTGGCCACGCTTCTACGGAGAGGCGAGGAGACCTGGGTCAACTCTCGATGGGTTAGTGTCCCAGATTCAGAGGGCGGTGGCCTGGCCGAACGGGAATTCCTCTTCCGTGAAGTTGGACTTGAGAGATGGTTAAATGGCCTAGACCTTGACGGGAAGGATGCGGCGGCCAAGATCGAGCGACGAAGGCAGAAGATGGAAAAGCGTCGCCTGAAGCGCAATGAGATTGGCGGTATGGACACGGATGCTAAGTCGCAGAAGGAGAGAGACATAATGCGGTACGGAAATGATTCGAAGTCTCCGTTGGAGGATGTCTCCGATGAAGACATGTCGTTCTCTGATTCCGATGACGATCCGATCCCCGAGTCTGCAGGGCAAATCAAAGTTGCACTCTTCCGTGTCCTAGCCTCCGGCGAGGTCAAGCGGGGAGAGTACTCGCCTCAGTTTGATGCTCACGATGATGACGATGACGTCTCAGGCGGCAATGACAACAGCGGCGCATCCGACGCCAACGTTGACCACACTACGAGCTTTGCTAAACCGAAAACACTCGATCCCAAGACAATCAGCACACAAACCGTGACGAGCATCGATGCGACTGATAAGCCTTACGCCACTTTCACATTCATGTACCGTGGAGAGCGTAGGTCTTGGCCCAGCTTTTAGTTCTAGCACTCGGAACTGACTTTGATCTAGGACAACTGCAGAAGATGGGAATCCTCAAGGATGCCAAAGTGCAGGAAACTCCCGGGTCTGCCAAGCGTCGGTCGATACAGCCTGATTTCTCCAATCTTGGTCCGCTCAAGCCTGGCGGCACCGTTGGTTTCCTGAATTTCCGCGAGAACACAGAAAATAATAGGAGAGGAAAGAAAAAGAATGCGGGCGACGATGACATGGACAGCGATGACGATGACGACAACTCCATCCTCGGTAAAGCGGACGCTGAAGAGGGCAAGGATGATGATGTGCACCTGTCACCGGAAGAGCTCAAGCAGCAGGGTGAATTAGCGGAGAGCATTCGAAAGATCAAGGTGAGTTCCAACTTCTTTGCGGTCGGCTCCGTAGGCCTGACTAATAGATATCCAAGCTCAAACGCCAACACTCGTCAGCGTCACTGGCAACCAACACTCCTCCGACCGATACTGGAAGCCCTCGAGCAGCTGGAGACACAGCACCGTCTTCGAACCTTTCCACAACACCTCCGATCGTGCCCCCGTCGACTGCCGCCACTGAAGTCCCGAAGCCAGCGACCAACACGGTCGATGGTGAATTTGTTGGCAGTCCTCTGAAGAAACAGCGAGCCAGCGTCTCACAAGCGGATGAAGATGTGATGCGCAGACGGATGGAGTCGGGGTTGTCTCATGAGATTACCAACAATGATGCTCCACAGCCCGCTGTAAATGCGGCCACCACTACCAATGCCGCCGGGGCCGCGAACCATCCACCACATGATTCAATGGCTACCGAAGAGGAAGAGCTATAAGCTCGTGGCCTTTCAAAACCGTTTTGACGTTGAGTTTTTAGTTAATTGACGCATACCGATCAGAAAGGCACTGGTATTTGATGCTGTCAAGCCCTGCGTCCAGATGACGGATTCCACCTCTTTCGACCGAGGGCCTTCTCTTTCGGTGTTGGTGCTGGTGCTGGTACTGCTGCTGCTGATGATGATTACCATTATTATTACAGGCACTATGGATGAATTACTAGTGCAGCATTCTTATATTGTTTTGGGTATCAATCCTTTATTTCCATAGCTAAGGTGTGGGCGGTGATACAAACGGCCGTGATTAAACATGACCGCAGGTGGCTGCTTCTTGTTTTTGGAATGTGTGGTGTGCTCTTTTGCTAGTCACAGAACCTTACTGGCGAATGGTTAGGGGATGGGTGGGATCATTGCTAGAATGGAGCATGAGGTACGTATTGAGCGGAGGTAATTGCTATAGAGGGAATGAGTTACGCAAGTTGCATGTTGAAACCAACCTATGATTTGGATTTGAGATACAGAGAAAGAGTTGAGCCTGCAAAGAGAAGGCAGGGCTCGTAGAGTTTGGTCTGAGGCAGTATCTGAGAATCTTGCGAGAAGATACCTGCACATCCACTACAGCACTTGCAGATGAATAGAACGAGCAGGTACTGCAGCAAGTAACTTTGACCTCCGAGCGTATCGACTTGTCGACTGATCAAACAAAAACCAGCACATAAATATTTGCTACGTCAAGTCAAATTCCGCAGTGGCAAAGACTGCTGCACATGCGCGATATATCATTAAGCATCGACAGGGTCCTGCGCTCGCCAATTACTACAGTACCTTTTTTGCTCGCTCGATTATTACGACATCATGAGCAGTAGTTGCAATAGCAGTAGCGACGCAGTCTTGTGATCCGTCGATCAGAAAGAAGCATCATGAAGTATCATCATGCTTCATGATTTCCAACACCTCGTGCTAGATACGCGCGACAGCAACCAAGCCTTATCTGTTCATCAGGTGTGATATCAGTATGAACCTTGTTTCATTCTTATTGTCATCCAGGTGTCAGCATGGCGCCGGCCTTGTCGTCCTTAGCGAGCCATTGCATGCATAAGGCTATGCATAATACTATGACTTATGGATAGCCATGTAAGTACCTCCGGGCGTCACTCAAACAAGGTGCCAAGTCCCTTACTAGCTATCTTATTCAATGCCCCATCTCGGATACAGGCTTCATCTTTTGAAAGAGATTTCTTCGCTTCCTATTACTTGCTCCCTTTAAGTCATGAGGACCCTGTATTTGAGGGCTTTTGTCATATCATATGGAGTCTAGTCGACGCTATTGTTAGATTGTCACAGGACAGAAGAGAAAGCATCTTCTAAGCGCGCGCATTATGGTCTTAAGAAGAGGTGCTGAGTCATATTCACATGGGCTTGTAGCTCAGTGGTAGAGCGCTCGCTTCGCATGCGAGAGGTCAGGGGTTCGATTCCCCCCAAGTCCATCTTTTTTGCTTCCGATCTTCACGGGATCAAGGATGGGCTCCCAGCCTATCTTTTTGTCATCTCTGTGTACTTCTAAACTGTATCAGACACACAAGCGAAAGCAGAATCCTAGGCCCTGAAAGAGAACGGGATGGAGGGGAAGTGACTGACAGGCCTCGTCCCCACTGCGGTGGAGTCCCAGGGGGAAAAGTGGAGCCCCTCCCACTCCACTATGGAAGAGTAGGTACAACCCCACCTTATTATATCACCTCCACCAAACTATCATTAAAGGTGCTCCATATGTATCTCATTCGAAAGCCACGATCCTCACGTTCATTTTATGCTCTCCACTTCTCAGGATGTGCATGTGTTGGCGAGATCCCGCCTGCGCCGGTTTAACGAAGGCTCTATATCAATGAGTTCTTCGCTGCTATCGTCAACAACAGCCGGGGTGGTGTAGTGGTATTAACATTGCAGAGCCACCGGGGCCTTGAGCCTTGCGGATGGAGTGCAGATTCTGGGTTCGAGTCCCAGTCCCGGCAATTCTTTTTTGTTTCTGCTCGAGCACGGCGGAGGCGTCATTTGGACGTCATGATATTTTGCGCGGGTGGTATAGTAGGTTCTATCTAGGCTCGATGGTCCTGAGGGATGGTGTGGCGCTGACTTAGGCAAAAATACTGTTTTTGGTGTTGTTGTTATGAGATATGCTAAGGGAAGCTCCGAGGAGACGATGCGCGCATTGGGCTTGGAATGAAGAGCTCGCTTAGGCTTCCTTGTAGTGTGCTCTTGGCCTCAAGATGTCGAGTTTGTAGGATATTTTCTGCTGGATCTGGTGCTGGTTGAAAGACAGGAGTGACAGATTGTTTGTCTATGGCGAGAGCCATGTATATGCACGTATGCTGACAGTGGAGCGCAGATGCTGAAGCCGGCTTGAGTGGACTAAGGACATGGGGACGAGCTTGTGATTGATACAGTACGTCTGTAGAAGCAAAGATGCGTTAGCTAGAGAGTCCAAGCTAGCGCATGTGCAGGGGAAAGAAATAGGTATAGTACTCGATGAAACCGCATGCTAGCGATCTGACTCGGGCGAGTCAAGTCCTTTGCCAGTTCACACGCGCACCATAATAGAATTCGTGCCTCGATCATGATATGTCTGACGAGAACATTGCCGACAGCAAGGAAAGGGTCGTCCAAAGTTTTGCATTACTCAGACAACGGATATCGAAGACAGAGAGTGAGTCGATGTGAGTCGAGGGGACGTCTTACCGTTAGACTGAGGCAGTAATAACGCCGATTTACGCCTGAGAAGCCATAACCAGGTATTTAGGAACTAGATTGAGGCTGTCGTGAGCTTCGGATATTCACTAAAGCGTGCGCAGACAGAAACATCTCATGGGTGTGAGCGAGTAGGTCGAGATGTGTTACAGAAGAAACCCCAGGCTGGAAGTATCACATTTTTGCTTTGAATCAGAACTTCCTTGCCCCGAGCCGGAGTTGTGAAAAAGAGAACATTTCTAGTTATCTTCTCTTCCTGTGTTGTCTCAACAATCTATTACTTATTCTTTCTTTCCCAACATCCTCTCTGAAGAAGTCGCCACATACACTTTTGTTGAGACTTAAATCAAGATTTAATCAAGTCTGACCAGCCTTTAAGACCTACAAGCTGCGACACCACATATCAACTTTCCCAACACCAAAGGACTTCAAGTTCCACCAGACTTGTCTCATCATATGAGAAGTGACCTCCAGTTCACAAACCAAGAATTCTCGCTGAACTCACTCAGTACTGTCATAACACAGACACGCAAGTAACAGAGGCCCAAGTATCCAGGACAATTTCCATAGTTGAGATCAATATAGTCCTAAATTCAAAAGATCGCTAGAAACTTGGTATTTTCCCCTTCATTGCTTCGGCAAGTGAGTTGACCATGGATGACTCTGAGGATTTCAACATCCCTTCAGAACAACGCCGCGCACTCCTCCGGGACCTCGAAAGTGTCCTTGGCGACTTATCTATTCCGTGCCATTGGTGGGCTACGTTCATCTTATGTGATATTGAGAGGCTCAAGGGTATCGTCGAGAAGATCAGATTAGATCCCGCGGTTGAACAGCTAGGCATTCCCTCATGCTGGACGCTTCTTCGCTGTTGGTGGTCTGAGGAGAAGGTAAAGAGATGGGTGATGCATACTTTGAATGGGCCCGGGAATTCCACCGCGCCGGTAAAGACTCTCCAGAACTTGATCACATTAAGTTGCTCCCTGCATGCTTATTGGACCTGTGGGGGATTCGTGCTAAGGCCAGAGCCAGAACGCCCCACCAGTAACAAGGAAATGAAAGTTCAGTTTCTCTGAGTGCTTTCGCGAGGGTATAAAGCTCAAGATACATTCCATGTTCTGTCAAAACCGCTCCCCATCGATAGGGAAATGAAGAGACTTCTGAAAGCAGATCCCGTGAGGATTTAAGAAGAGTGGTATGGCTTTTTATCAAGACGTTCCGGGATGGTGAAATCTGCAGACTGGATCACATTGACCACCCATGACTCAACAAAGTACCCTCTCCCCAGCTATGACCTCCTTTAAATGCAGTTCGTTCTCAGCCGCCTTTATCGACTGTCGGGTGTCTCCAAGGAAGTGGACCTATCCGAAGGAGGGCAGTGACGCCAATCTTTCCATCGGTGCACGGATCGACTGGGCTTGCTTTGGACCATGATATGCATTGGGTCAGTGTCATCTTAAATAATAATGCAATGCGATGAGTTTGAATTGTATGACTCGATAGAAAGAATTGAATTCAGCTGTACACAGCCGCGAAGAATAGCACTTGCAAGGCTGGAATATGCCGACAACCGAGAAGGCTCCTGCGTGAGGAATAGTAGACGTAAGACGCTGGAGCCTGTTCTCTCAACTGGCTATTGCACGCCATCCTTGGTCTTCCTTTCCGTTCATTTCTGAAAATGGTACCTATCAAGCATTGGGTTGAGCAAGTCAAATAACTCTGAAATCTACACAGGGTTACTTACAACATATCAGCTATCATATGCGGTGCAAGTCAAGGTTTTGACCAGAGCAGATCTCTATTCACCAAATTGATGCTTGGCAAAATCACGGAGATAGCATGCGCCACAAGATACCACTGTAGGCTGTAGTGCCTGTCCCTTGGCATGCGGGACCCCCAGGGTCGGGCCGAGACCAGGTGCGGAAAGTGGCCTTCTTGCTCGGGCCACCCGGGTCACGGGCGGTAAGCGCTAACAATCCTCGCCAATGTTTATGTGAACGATGTTTTGCACACATCCTTGAGCCTCCGTCTCCAAACTACTCTCTGCCCCCAACTCAAACATGGGGATCTTCAGCCTCTTTGGCAAAGCAAGACCCCCTCATCCAGAAACATTCCCGACCGACACCATAGTCCCAATCGGCTTCTGGGATGGCCGATCGTATCAACATAGTATCTGCATGGAGGTCACCTACCGGTTTGACGATGTGCTTGATGTCGAGAGGCTGAATCACTCTCTGACAAGACTGTTGCAGCTTGGGGAATGGCACAAGCTCGGCGCGCGCTTGCGGCGGAATGTATGTAATACCTCCTCTCCCAAAGAGAAACAAAAGAGAACTCTTTTCTGAATGCCTTATAGGATGCCGGACAGCTTGAATATCATATTCCGCGGGAATACACTGCCCAACGACCAGGTTTCATTCTCACAAGCGAAGAATTTCCAATGAAGGCGATCGAGCATCCCCTGGCTTCCAAAATTCCCACAGCAACAGATACACCTCGGGTGCTCGGCGTAGCCGACGAGATCGTTCCCATCTGTCACCATGCGCAAGCGCCGCGGTGTCTGGACGACTGGATCTATACGGACCGACCTCAGCTTGCTATCCATGCTGCCTCATTCACCGACACCACAATCCTGACGATAACCTTCCTGCACACCCTCATGGATGGGATGGGCATGTCCAGCTTCTTCACGGCCTGGACGGCTGTGCTGCGTGGCCAAGAAGATCAGGTACCCACTTTCCTCGGGTTCGACACCACCCCAATGCACACCTTGAATAGCACGATTCCCGTGGAACCATTCATACATCAGGGGCTATTGCTCCGAGGTTTCCGCATGCTGCTCGGTGCCATGTATATCATGTGGGAGTATTACTGGCGAGGACCGGAAGAGCAGCGTGTCGTATGCATCAACGGGTCATTTGTTGATCGGATGCGGAGCCAGGCGATGCAGGAACTCACCACTACGAAGCATGATACGAACGCTCCCCGCGTCTCATTCCTCAGCGAGAGCGACGTCCTTCTAGCATGGTGGACCCAAATAGTGGTCAAAGCGCTCAACCCCAACCCCAACCGCTTGCTTGTGCTAATGAACATCTTCGACTTCCGCTCCCTCATCCCACCTCTACCAGGATCTACGACTTCCTCTGAGAAAAAAAGCATCGCCGTCATCGGAAACGCCACTTATCCTGCCTACACCTTCCTCCGGGTCGGCGAAATCCCCACGACGCCGATTAGCCACCTGGCCGCGCAAATCCGCCACTCCTTGGTCCAGCAACGCACCAAGCCGCAGGTAGAAGCCCTGGCCGCCTTGATCCGCGCGACCACGGAAGCGCAAGGAGTCGACGCGACGCTCTTTGGCGAGCCCAGCTCGCTCCTCATGGTCTGGTCAAACTGGCATAAGGGACGCCTCTTCGAGATTGACTTTTCAGCGGCTGTCACCTCGATTGGGGTGCCAACGTCAGTTGGGAACGGGCGAACGAACCCTGTGGGACGTCCGTCATATATTATCTCCAATGCCCACGTGGGCGGCCCGATGCCGACGAATCTCGGGCCCGTGGTGGGCAAGGATGCGGCGGGGAACTGGTGGTTGACGTGGAGACTGCCCCAGTGGGCATGGCCGATGGTGGAAGCGCAAGTACATTCGGCGGTTCTAGCGAAATGAGGGGGATAGCACCAGAAGCTGTAGACTATGGGCAGTCAGCGTTTGAGATGAGATACTCAAGGTACAATGCTTCCAGAGCGCCAGTGAAATAAGTAAAAACCATCCCAGACTAGTTCGTCTAAATGGTCCTTGCCAATGGCGGTTAGGAGACACTGACTCGTTTGATTGCCTTTCCTGATCAGGAGCTAATGGTAGGCTCGAATGTGAATCCAAAGGCTGGTAATACGGATCTCCGGGTAGGATTCAAAATTCCTAGAGCACAAGATACTGAAGGTGGCAGTAGAGAAACAAATTCGAGAATATGCAGGTAGATTAAGCAGTACCTCAACCATTAATGTGCACCTAGCGAGCGCGTTCGACCTGTGCATAGTCCCGAAAGTAGAGAATAAAGATGACCAGAGAGAAGTGCAGAAATAGCCTGAAGCACGCCAGAACACCCCAACGCCCGAGTCGCTCATTCTGAACCCGTTACTCGTCACCAAAATCATTAATCATGCCTCTGTAGCTGTCTGAGACCCGGATTCCCACAACTTCTTGGTATCCTCAATTAGCTTAGCAAAATGCCACTGGGCGATGGTCTTGATGACAGTCTGATCCTTCTTGCGAAGGTCGAATAACCGGGTCCGACGCACCACCAGCGAAGTGCCGTCAAAGTAAGCCTCGAGCAGCCGAGCATGTTGGGGTCCCATGAACGAGAAAAGCAGAACCTTTGGAGTTCTCAGTCAGTATCAGAGGGTTCCGCAGGGGTATAGGCAGGTTTTGCCGATACAGTCAGGTGCTTGAAAAAGCTGGATCGCCTCATTTGCGCATTTATCAAGCGTAGAGCGATTAGAACCTCTCCTCGAAGAACTGTTGTGTCTGTGCCATCTATGCCATGGTACATAAATGCTTGTATATGAGAATATCGGCGCTTGGCCACCTCACAACCGTATTTTAGTTATCCATTGAGGGTCGCTGAACTGGTGTAAATCCGTAAAAGGTCTGTCGTCGAAACTGCTCGGTTGTGCAGATAAGACAAGAATTTGATATAGGTAGAGTTGGTGGTGGAGGCAAAAAGGCTAATAGTTACCTGCTAGTGCGCCACAGCCCATCAAACTCGCGAAGCTCGTTATCTTTGCTAAACCAGGTACAACCGGCAGTATAATGAAGAATATAATGGGTCAGATTACGTGAACACTTCAATCTGTCTGTGTCATCTTGGGAAAAGAAATCGAAATCTTAGAACCGCCCCGCTTCCTCATCGTCGGGATCTAGCAGTAGGGAGGCAGAGCATGGTGCAAAGAATCTGGGCTTGGATTCTGATTGTGTATCCAGCTCCATGGGCAGGATATTCATGTTGTGTAGTTTCCCTTGACGCTCATCGAATTCATGGGTTTCAAGGTGTTTGATGTGATGAGCCAGTGCACGCACCGTGTCCCGTAGCTTCAGGTGTTCTGGGTCTCGACAACAGACATGATGATGAAGTCATAAGATAAGGTAATGCAGAGCCGGACTACTTTTGAGGGGGAAAAGAAAAAAAAAACAATCAAGATAGATGACTGAGCCTGATGTCCTTCGGAAACAGGATCGCGCTGGGGGATGTTGGAACATAAGTAGGGATGTTTTCGGGGACTGGTTGCCGGGCGACCCACCGCTGTGTCACGAATCACTCGCGGCCTTACTAATTGCGACGACGCATGCAACCTTAAAGGTAAGCGCGGAGCCTTGCCCGCGGCCCGGCCATTGAGTGGCTTTCGCGTGACTCCTGAGTAACGTGCTGATTGGTCAAATCTCGACATGTTGATTGAGCAAAGTACCACTGGGCGGGCAGTACCTTAGTACTATTGACTTCGGAGTATTCCGACAGTCCGTGCGCATATAAACTACATAGTACATCTTTTCAGGTTCTAGTGCTCAGTAACCTTGTCGAGTCTATTTTGGACTCCGCATCGTAACAATCTGATTGGAGGCATTGGTCCTCTTCCACAGCCAGTCAAGGCCTTTAGCTCCGACAATCAGCTCGATAGTCGATACTGGTGGTGGTAGTTAGATTGAGTGCGTTATTTGACTAAGCCCGTGCCTGTGTTCAAGTAATGCTCTTAAATAGAGAACCCCCAACTCAAGGCTGACATCCCTCTTGGGCATCCATCTCGGTCCGTGCTATTTTTAAGCGTGCCTATCTGCTTTGCTTTCTGGCCTACTCTCCTTTTATTCTGACTCCGCCACATTTCTTGACTGTAAAATGAGTCGGCTTCCACAGAAACAAGTCCTACCCTCTACTCGCGCACGATGGGAAAAAGATATCGGCGTAAGGAAGTTGCATGGGAAAACTAGTCATGGAACAGAGTTGGCCTCCAGATCAGAGATTAGCTACAACCAATTCTTACTCCTATGCGTTCTTTGGGTGAAGGGGGACAAAGACTCTCTATTACTCCCAGAGAGAATCAAACGCCTGATTCCCGATGCAAAGAAGATGCTGAAGAACTACCAAGCATGGCAATTATACTGCGAGAGCTTCAGCAAGCCCACAAAGTCCCAAGGTGATTTTACTACTGCTCGCTATTTCCAGAAGGTGGCTGCAAACACCGCAGGAACCACAGGGCCGCACAGCTTTGATACACCAATCGCACACCGTACCCGCAATCAATGCAAGGAACAACAGGCCTTGGACATCTCAAGACTTCGACTGGCACCCCCAGAGACTCCAACGAGGAAGACAAGAAAGCCGCCACAGACACCCGTGATGTCAACTTCGGACGACGACGCGAGTGCAATTATAGATGATGATGGTGGTGATGGTGACGGTGATGGAGAAGAGGAGGAGGAGGAAGAGGAGGAGGAGGAAGAGGAGGACGAGGACGAGGAGGCTTCTCCCTTCGTATCTATCACCCCGGCCGCCCAAGTCCCGGAGTATCTCTAGAAGCTGATGTTTCCGCCCACCAAAGACCAAACAATTGTGAACACTGCCCTTGTGGTTTTCCTCAATGCTCTTCCTATGCCCTTCACTTCTGAGACATGCAACTGGTCTATACACAGAAAAGGGTTACTGCCACTTTCGGAGAGTCTTGTTTCGTAGCCCGGACGGACGGATACTTGGATTATGGCGAAGAGAATGCCTATGCTTTAGTTGAGGTTAAGCCTGTGGTTCGAGGTCCAAAAGAAATCTCATTCAGATGCAAGAAAGCGCCCAAATGGTCGGATGGCTATTGAACAATAATGGGGGGAGTATGAGCGACAAACTGTAAGTGTTTACCATAATTTTTGATATGTGAAGTATCTTTAACATTCATTTGCAGTGGAATCCATGTCTCACAGGATCGGCATGAGATATTCCTAACATTTGCAGATTATGATGATGACTATATTGCGTATCTCAAGAATAAATCACCCAAGAACTCAGCCTTATCATTCTTAACCATGCATCAGTACGGTCCTTGGGATACGCAAACTGCCTCTCATATGGCGGAATTGGGACCTATTCTTCTTGTCATCACACTGGATGCTCAATCTGATATCCAAACAAAACAAAAGCCCAGAAGACAATCCAGAAATTTGAAGATCACTAGAGAAAGGACTTTCTCACCTGGCCTTTCCTTCCGAAAATTGCTGCTGTCACGATGCTTCCACCTTCCGTGCGCCATTCCTAGAACATACCATGCTGGATTCCTCAGTTTTACCAAATCCTGATGCAGTCTTTGTTCGAGTTAGCTCCCAGATCAAGCCGAGACCCAAAGGATTGAGTGCTACTTAGCATAAGATTCTGCAGCCAAGCACGGCCTTGATGGGTTTCATGGTGTCGAAAGGCTTCTGACCACGGATGGAAGCGTGCATCTCATAGAGCTATGTGATAAATTGTCCCGGTCAATGAACTCACTATGCCATCCTGTTATCATGGTCCTTCGCAGTGACTCACTTTTTACAATAATCACAGCAGCGTCGACGGTGAAATAGAGCCCTGCATCCAATACCACCAGCCCAAAGTCAACTGTCAACCATCCATCTTCCTTTCAAAATGCCATTACAGCTCGTCGCAATGACTTCAACTGCGCAAACCCACAGAGTATTCCTCGTATACGAGCTCTTGGAGGCGATCCTCCTCCTAACCGATCCTCGTACGCTTCTCACCTCCGCCCAGCGAGTCTGCCATTTCTGGCACGATCTCATCCAAGACTCCCTCGAAATCCAAAGGGCGCTTTACTTCAAGCCTTCCTCGGCCTCCCCGTAGACCAAGCACCGCAATCCATTTATCGATACAGTTTTTTGGTCTCGATTCTTCCGCCAGCTCAAGTTCCTAGATTCTCCGACCATACGCCGAGCCAGATATAGATATTGAGTGCCCGGAGACACCCCCGTCAATACGCTCACAAACAACGAGCCATGCCTCCGCCCCGAAGCGCGCTAGCGACGTATGCTCCTCCATCAGCCGCCCACCGACATTCTCCTCCTCTTTGATACGACTCTAGGAAGGCGTATAAACTCCAAGCCGAGTTCGAGACAGAAATCTCTACCGTCCAGGTTCCCGCCCCATACATTCACCTGGGACACTTGGCCGCCGCGGTCGAGAACAAGGTGCTCTGCCCGGAGCCCACGTCCCTGCATATCCTGGCGGGATGGGCCAACTCCGATGCTATGTCCCTGTCAGCGCGTACGACCATCAAGGCTGTCGAGGCCGACTGCCCCTACTGGGACACGGAGGCCATATTCTTCTGCCTACCAAGTCGTTTTTCTACGCATTCTGTTGGCAGCGTGCTGATGTGGCTTGATTCCACATCAGTGCCCTGGCGCAAGTGGGAGGTCGTCGGCCATTATTTTGTTTGAGCTGGGAGTTAGGGTGATTTCTTTTGTTTCCCATTCAACTTTGAATCGTGATTGGATACTTCATGGGAATATTTTTTTTTTTGACATTACAATATGCCCCTCACGACTCTGTTTTGCATCCGCTATTTCCTACTTTAATTTGATTTGGTAATTATTTCTTTTGGCATCTGTGGCACCGATTTTTCGAAATTGCATGTAACTCTATGCTCGTAGATCATCACTATATACAAGTCCACAAACATTTAGCGAGAATTTCATTATTATCGAACCACATCTCGAGTCTCAAGCTCTAGGACCTACACATGCGCGAGACAATGCGTGAGTCCTTGGATTTATCTACCAGATCGATTCTGGCTATAAAGCCGTCTTGAGACTCGTATAAGTCATAAGCTACACCTATCGTGGACATCCTAGAAGCGGGTAGGAGCAAAGAGTCTCCATTAGCTCTACAGATTGTGTTGCCTACGACAGTCTTGAGGCACTAGGGACAGTAAAGCTATAGACACCTACACTTAGCGTTGAGTTCGATTCGAGATTCGAAGCTATTGGCTTGCCAGGTCGCACACTATGAGATGTCTGTTATGCACATGGCTGTTTGAAAATTGAGAGATACCACGTTCTTTCCTTGATTTGTTGCTGGTTGTGCCTGCCTCATCCACTCCCTCCCTCAAAATATCCTTCCTTCCACCGGCGCCGAGATCTTTCTCCCTCACTCAATCATCCAATCCTTCATAATGTTTAGATATCTAGCCTTATACGAAGCCCAACTGAAGGCCTTACTATCCTCTTACGGAATCTCCCTCCCTAGAATCTATTCTTACCTCAAACAACCCCACGCCCGAGAAACAATCTGTGCATTTGCAGCCCGTGACGATCGAGCCCATGACGGTCAAGCCCAACCCGCCCCTGGCTGGGATCGCTTTATATGGCAGCATTGCGCAAATAAAGGTCAAGCCTTCGTGCGCATGTTCTCGTTAGCCCCCGGCGAGCTCCAAGCCTTCCTCGACATCACCTTCCCGTACAAATTCATCCGCGCCATCAGCCCCTGGACCGACCCCCGTGCGCTGGACACCTGGAACTGGGTCCAGGACAATGATGCCACCGCAATTTATGACAATGGGGCTTTCTCCGACATTTTCACAGACATTCTAGGCGCAAATATCAGTGATAACGTGCTGATCCGCATGGCCAATGACCTGCCTCAGTTTGTCAATGGGGTGTATTATCCTGTACTCATGCCCCCCCCCCTCACCCCAGCAAGTAGTTGTTCGCCGTATGTGAACCGCTAATATGCTATTCTATATCATGATCCAGGGAATAGGCGCATTTTTCAGCAACCTCTATAACACCAAACATGGAATCATCATCGCAGATAATCTGGTTAGCCCGGAGAGTATAAGCAAAACAACGCATATCAGTCCGCTCATTCCGCTCAGGCACTGGTCTGACGTCACCTTCTTGGTCTGGAAACGACTCACCGCGCAAGCGGGCGTGGCCGTCAACTCCATCCGCCATATCTTCCACTCCACGATCTCAAATTCGGACACTAGAGACATAATCAAACAGGTTCTGGCGAGGACGGGGAGGCCGCTGGGGGTGTGGGATCGACCGGTGACATTTGCCATGGATAGTGAAGAAGGAAGGGCCATTTTGGGAACGCCGAACGGGAGCACGGTAGGCTTTTTCCTGGCGCAGCATAAGGAGGAGCTAGGTCGCAGGAGGAAGGTGATCAGTGTCACGTTGTTTGCGGAGTTTGTACACGGGTATGAGGGTGTGATTTTGGCGCAGAATGAGAGCTTGTATTTTACTTTGAATGCCCCGGAAGGAGGTTGATGTGTGGGTTTTGTTTGGCGTTGTTCTGGTGCTTCAAGCTTTGAATAGGAATCAATGATAACTGCAGGTACTCTCTAAACTCAATGGTCTCAATAAACTACGAAACTAAGGCCAGGACCGAGGGATGCCGTTGAAGTATATGGTGCAGTCGTAAAACGGTGGTGGATTCATAGCCTAGAGACGAAGCTATCTCACCTGGGTCTAAGCCGGCGTCACGGAGGCCTCGCCTCTCAGTAGTTATAGCAGCCAGCAAACTTGGAATACAAATGAAGCAGACCAAATCCATATTCACCCCCGTGCACGAACATTTACACATCAGGAAAGCACTTGAACCTCGCATCAGTCCGATCCCAGCCGACCCCCTGATGCACCGTCAGCAGGTTCTCGGGATCCACCTCCTCCTTGATGCGCAAAAGACGGTCGTAATTCTCCTCACCCCAGAACGCACCGATAGGGTCTGGTTCGAACGGATCGCCTTCATTCTGATACGCCCCGGAGCCGGGCGTGAACTCCCGCAGAGGGTCCATAGCGCGGGACACACTCTGCCAGACCTGGCGTATGATCTCCGGATCCGTGATCCTGCTGTCCAGGAGCCGCGTGTGCATGACGTGCCATAGCCCGGTGCGCCACGCCGGCGTGACCGACGACGCCCCCGGCCCGGACGCCTGATCCTCTGCGGCGAGGGTCTGCGAGTACAGAGCCGGAGCCACGAGGAGGATCTCCACTCGGAGCGAGGGCGGCGTCGGCAGGGTATCGTTTGAGATCAGCAGCTCGTAAATCAGGTCCGTCAACTGCGCCCGACTCGTCGCGTTCTGGAACGCCGTCCGCGGGATGATCCGTGACGAGACGGCGGTGGACACCTCCGACGTGAGTAGGAGGGGGCTCGACGAGACGGGGCCCAGGAACTCTAGGAACCCGTCGACGCGGTTGAGCGTTGCGGTCGTAGCTGGGGCTTTGGCTTTCATCTCGCGAGCGAGGTCGAGCACCGGCTGCACGGACGCCATTGCGTCTGAGTAGTTCAGCAACGCCGTCGCCATCACGATGGTATATTCTGTGACACCGGGGATCAGGAAGCCGCCCCACCCCTCTGCGGCCCATCGCTCCGCGTGCTCGATGAACAAGGCTGTGATATCCTTCGCTGACGAGGAGGGTTCCAGCCCGGTCAACGAGACGTTCAGAACCATCATTGGTCGGTCCGGGTGCACGAGCGTGTTCATCTCCATCACGACGCCGAAGGTGCCGCCTCCGCCTCCGCGCAGCGCGAAGAACAGATCCGGGTTCTGGCATCGAGTTGCAGTGGCGTATGTTCCGTTTGGAAGGACGACTTTGATTTCTTGGACATTATCGACTCCGAGACCTGGTTCTTGTCATTATATCTGTGCGAATTGACGTGCGTTGCGTTTTGGGGGAGAAATCTTACCAAGCTCGTTAGCCAGCAACCCGTGTCCACCCCCTGTAATCCATCCCCCAGCCGCCCCGACACTGTCGCACCCGCCCCCAACAACCCGGTATCCGCGGGCTTGCACAAAATCATAGATGCCCTTAAATTGCTGCCCCGCTCCGAACTTGATCACATCGCCCGTCGGAGCAGGACAACCCTCCGGAGTAAAGTCTTTGAGAAGCTGGATGGGAGGCTGATAAGGATGCATCCTGCCCGCCTGTCAACATCGCCACGTCCCCAAGGTAATCAATTCAGTTGATAGCATACCACAACGCGAGAGAGTCCGGCGCCGAGCTCCGGCCTCTATAGTCATGTCCGGTGTTCTTGATGACGAGTCGTAGTCCATGAGTTCTGGTGAAGTTAAGGGTAGCTTGGACGTCCTCAACACTTTGCACCGCTACATATCTTGGAGAGATACTGCCCTGCTGACATGTGGAATTTGTCGCTAGAGACGCGGGGATGGGGCAGGATGCACCAGTGGTTTGGCAGGCGGACCAGACGAACTATTGTCATGCTTTAGCCGGTATGCAACCTAGGAAGGGGCCGTGGTCGGTGCGCTGACGTTAGAGTACCATGAGAACTCGTTTGATGCGAGGTTCGCGTTGAGTAGTAGCGATTGTTCAGCGGCGCATTGGGTTGGATCTTGCTGTTCAGTAGGATTGTTCATGGAGGGGTAGCACGAGCTCATCATCGGAGCCCCTTCGTGGAGCCGTCCGCTGAGAGTCGTGTTGAAGGCCTCCCAGGTCGCTTGGCTAATGCTCGATAATGACGTCCATGTTCTTGAGTTCGCGGGTTGGGCGTTTGCTATGAGTAGAGGAACAGTAATGAAAAGGGAGAGGTAGCGTCGTCTCGTCATCCTGGTGATATGCGCAGGCTGAATAAGCAGCTTGGTTTCTTTTTGCACCACCTGTACTTTGATGAATGAGAGCATACGGTACGCGAGGTAGGAAATAGCTCTTATATATGGTCTTGCAAAGGGAACACATAGATTGTCCCTTGCATTTCTGAAGAAGGTGGTGTAACTCTACATCGTGGGAGACCATATTCCTCGACTGTCCAAAACAGCAAACCGTCTCAATAGAATGACGCAGAGGTGCATGAGATAGGTCAGCTGAGTCTGACTGTATGCATTAGAAACGTGTTACCCTACATATGACAGGGAGATCCATGATGGCCATAAACAGCTAATGTCAAGAAAAAGCATGGTGTGTTTGTCCGGAGTAAAGTTACGGTCCTAGCTAACAGGGCCACGATGACTGGCCCATAGAAATGTGGAGTCGATTCAGTTGCATGCAGCAGTCGTAAGACCTGCACTGCCAGCTGTTCTTCGGTCACTGAAACTCTATGTCGATTTGGATAACTTGTTTGCCGCGTCCTTGGGGTTTGGCAGCTCCGGCAGCAGTTCTTGCACCCAACCGACAATCTGCGGTCTCTGTAGGGAAACTCGAAGACCGGTTGTCGTCGACTCTGTGCTGACTTTTGATCGCTTCGAGGACCGGGGGATGACAAACGGCCCGTAGCTCAACGATGGACTAAGTTCTATGTCTGAAGAGTCCAACAAGCTTTCCAGTGCGGAGGTATCACCACTAAACTCAAGCTCGATGTTACAAGCAACCACAAAAGCGGTGTTGTAAGATGGAAACTTCGCATATTGAGCCGGAATAGTTTTGTTCTCTTGGACGTATTGATGCAGCTTCTCAGGTCCAGGCGATAAAGGCAAACCATCCACCGCGTCGAGCTCAGGATCAGCAAACAGTTCCGCGTGTAGCCATGGCCGTGAAATCTCCACCAACATGCAATCCATAGAAACCTGGACCTCCAGGCTGAGTATGAACGACATCGCTTCTTTCGAGCCGTCGAGAAGCCCTAAGCTGGCGAAAGTGCTGACCATTTCTTGACCGACTTCAACGGACTCGAACGACGACTTGGAGACCTTGGCGGAAATGTGCATCCAGGGAGGCGAAGCTCCCATTTTCGATTGCTCCATTTTCTGCTGGAGCAAGTCAGCCCACCCCGATGGGTCCAGCACGACACCGCTGTATTCCGAAACACCATCTCCATCGACAACCGTCCAGTTGCGCAATGCTTCCTTACTCATCTCCACGCGTTTCAACGCGGAAGAAGAATCGACGATCGCGAAGTTAAACTCAGCCTCATGTTTGAATCCGTGCACCACCCAGTCCATATACCGGGCCTGGACGTTTGCCTTAGACTTCGACGTGTTCTCCTTAAGCCATTCAAGATACCGCTCTTGCTGCTTGTCCGCCCGGGTCTCATGCTCCTCAATGATGACGCGCTGGCGCGCCTGGTCCTCTGAGTACTGCTGGACAGCCTGGGCCCAAGCCTGTTGCTTGGCAATATAGGTGGATATTTTAGACTGAGCTTGAGCCCTCTCATCTGCAGACTCAAGGTAGCGCATTGCTCCTCGATATCTGTCTCGTGCAGCTTGAAATTGTAGGTCCAATGCCTGGGTTGAATTCGTCGCATGCATGTTTGATCCTGCTGCTGTAACAGGGACGAGACGGTCGAGGGCTGCCATATAACTTCTGGCGACACTTTTTCCACATTGACCAATCTGCTTCAACGTAAGAGTCCGCCTTGAATCAGCTACGGGGTCACGCACCGAGAGTTTGGACACCGGAACCATGCTGTCAACTAGCTTAGCCTCTGCAATCCGCGTCTTCAGAGGCATTGATGCTTTCGATTTGTCCCAGTGGTAATCACTAGTCGAGGATTAGAAAGTTGGCACCCTGCCTACGTGATTTAGGCAGATCAAGTACTCAGGATCAAGAATGATAGCCGGGACCTGCAGGGACAAAAGCTGGGTTGAAGCGATAGGTAGAGTCCTGGCAATGGCCTCTCGTATCGTGGATGATGCGGCAAGCGTCACGTCGAGGGCCTGTTGCGCCGATTCAGCTAAGTCGTCATTCATTTCGAGGATTTGCAATGAAACAGCCCAGAATAGTAAACGAGAAGCTTAAAAGTGCAGAATACGAACGGACTCCCTCGTCTCGTATGGGGTCTTGTCACATCTTATAGAGCCCCTGTCATTTTATTTCTCCAACCTTTTAAATGGAGACACACGGCTCAGGATCCGCGGTAGACATCCCCGACGCGAAGGAGATCGTGAGAGAAGGATACGTTGAAGGCGCGCGCATGTGGCTGGCTGAAAGGGACAGGATAGAGTTCTGGCAAACAGTCCTTCCTTGCACCTCGGTTAATATAACCTCAACATTTTTTAGAATAGCATCTGACTAACACGACCACTAGCCAAGACACTAAACGAGCTCTTTCGCCACGCTGGAGGGCCTTTTGGATAATACAATGTGTAATCAAGCGGGGGTAGAGACGAAGCGGCAATTTTGGCCGACCTCATGTATTAGACAATATGATAAGTACTGGCTCTCGATCGCGATAAGGCTTGATTTGGATGTTAAGGAAAGATGTTTCCGAGTGCTGTGACAACTCGGGCACTGCTGAGATCATCTTGTGCGTTTGTGCGAAGAGACATCCATCATAGAGTCGCGACGAAAACAACATGTCCCGCGTAGACTAACTAGAGAGAGAGGCCCTTTAAAAGGATCTGGATAGTAGTCAGGTACCGACCTGAAGGAAGTATGGTTTGAGGGTGCTGCTCGGCGTGGAAAGAGGTTCGGCATCCCGAGTCCCGTTGGAACTACGCCATTCTTCCTATCTTGTTTCCAACAGAGACATCTTACTTTCCTTGATGGAAACCATGTTCATCTTCTTCTCTCAATCTTCCGAGAAAGTAGAAAAGAAAAGAAAAACTCATACTTTTCGCCCAAGCTCAATTAGTCAACAAAATCTACCTACAGTCTCAAACAGGACCATAACTCTTCAAAATGGCTTCACCAGTATTGAACTTCCGCTGCGCCCTTGTCACCGGCGGCGGTGGAGGCATTGGCAAAGCGCTCTTCTCCTACCTGATCTCGAAGGGCAAAAAAGTCATAATCGCCGGGCGTACCGAATCCAAGCTCAAGGAAACCGCTCAGGAAATCGGGGCAACAGCCTACTACGTACTGGATACCGGTCGAGTCGACCAATTCCCCTCGTTCATCGCGCAGATCACTTCCGAGCACCCGGATCTAGATTGTTTGATCAACAACGCGGGTGTGCAGCGGCCGCTGAAACTCTTGGAGGAGGAGCCGGAAGATGTTCTCGGGCGAGCAGATCAGGAGATCGATATCAATATCCGCGGGCCTATGCATCTCACGCTGGGGTTGCTGAAGCATTTCAAGAGCAAGCCTGACGGCGCGCTCATAGTAAATGTCTCGTCCGTGCTGGGCTTTGTGCCCTTTGCGGTAATTAATCCCGTGTATGGAGGAACAAAAGCATGGCTGCATTTTTGGAGCATGAACTTTCGGACTCAGCTGTCTAAAGGCGGATACGAGAAGATACGGGTGGTTGAAATTGTGCCGCCTTCGGTAGCAACGGACCTCCACCGAGAAAGAGATGATCCTGATGACAATAAGAAGGACAAGAATCCTAGTGTGTTGTCGGTAGAAGAGTTCATGGAGGAAGTGAGTGTGAAGCTGGAGCATGGTGATAAAGTCATTGCACCGGGCATGAGTGATGATATCGTACGGCGGTGGTATGAGCAGTATGGCGAATTCTACGAAGAGAAGACGGCTTAAAGGCTGGGTTGGACCAGAAGAACGCGTCCTCTGGCACAGAGCCCTCCCCCGCTGGTAAAAACAACCACAAAGACGATTAGAGCGGCGTCAAAGAACCTTGTTGCAAGACCATAATCAATATTGCCATGGCAAGAAACTTCATATACTCAAGCCTGCGAGCTCGCCCTTGGCCAACAAATTGCGAGACAACCCTTTTAAATCAGCTTTGAACACTGCTTGTAGGTTACAATCACCCATCTGGTGTAAAAAGGTTCGTCGCGAAGATCTGGTCGAGATCCCACAATTCCCCCATACCAAGATAAGACAGATCCGCCATCCGCATTGTCGGACCATTGGCAGCTGATGAGCGTCTCTTGGGTAGAGTATTGTGGGGAGTTTCCGACGGAAGCATTCCCCCTGTTCAGTGGCTTAGATGATCATAATCTTCTTTCTTTCGCTGGTGTTGTATACGCAGAAGGGTGTAAGCGTTTGCAAGGGTTTCGTTGATTGCGTCCGTCTTGTAAGTTTCCGCAATTGATTGCAAGACTCTCAGGACTTTAGGCACCCATTCTAAGGATGCTCGCGAGTCGATGGCTAGAAGAACACAGAAAGCCTGGAAGGGAGCTTTCACAATGTGCCACCATGGTGAGCGTCGCGTGGCCAAGTCCAGGGCAATCTCGGATCCCTCGTCAACAAGACGCAAAAGTTGATCAGAGACGTCTCTGGAGACCATCCGGCCGGAGACACGTAGTCTGCGGTAAATGCATAAATCGGTATTGCAGCGCTTCAGTCGCAGGGCTGAGTGCACGAGTTGAAGCTCCGCCGTATGCAGTAATAGAGCCTCTAACCCCGTCGGTTCCAGATGCCTCGTGGGATCCAGGGAATTAGAGTTATGCCAGATAGCTAGCTCGTCTGGTGTCCATGCTTCATTCAGTGATAGCTCGCGTGTTCCGCGCGATTCCACACGAGAACGCCCACAGTCATAGGATATCCACATATGAAAGGGCCGAGCCACGCAACAAAGGTGTTGCTTCAAGTGTATGCTTTCATTGGCTAAAGACCCGCTCAGCCTTGAAACTTGATGTAAGTTCACAGTCTCTATCAAATGCATCAAGGTGCAGCTAGCCATCCACGTCGCATTTGGAGTTCCCGTGAACCGCAAATACAGGACGCGAAGTAACCAGCCTATAACGTGGTCCACATTTGGACTGCCTAATGTCATCGAATGGCTCAAGAGCCGCACGGGCACTGTGAACAATCTTAATTTCCAGCTGACCTGGTTGGTTGCTAAGAAGACAAGCCACGGCTGCGATCCCTAGAATGATGCAGTGTGTATGGTCGATTATTGGGTGCGACTTGGCTGACATGGCAAGAACAGCACGATCCACGGCCACCCGATCAATGACATTGTAGACAGGATGGACTTCTGCCTAGTTTTAAGATACCAGCTCTTGCATATGAGAGACTGACAGTATGTCCGCGAGCGCTAGCGGAGCGTGGTAAGGAGTGCTGATAGCATCTCGAAGACCTAGATTCCAGGAGCACAAACGCAGACCTCCCGAGGGGAGAGAATCCACAGAAAGACGTAACCTCTTCGCTAAGACAGTGCCTGAATTGATCTGAGAAGGGGCTTCGCCGTTGGTTCGCATAAACGGTTGACGCGCATGCTCGCCGGAGTTGCTGGTGCCATGTGCCCGGAACTGCCCTCGCTTCTGAGCGTGTGCAGCATAGGCGCAGTCCTACTGGGCTTTGGCACAGTTTTAGCAGGGTAGCTTGCCATTACACTTGCGCTTCTTTCCCCTGCAAGGGTTACATGCACTTTTGGTTCTGTCAGGAGGCATGAAGTGATGACGTGCAGACCGGCCCACCTGCATTGATCATAGAGATTTGGCCCAAGTACTGATCATTGCCTTCATTTCCCCCTAGTTGAAGCTGGACCTTGTTGTGATCGAGTGCGAAGCATGTCCGCCATGCTCATGTGAGCTATGCTTTGGTGTTTTATGCTGGGCGAAAGAAGGGAACTGGGAGAAGAGAAAGTCGGTCGCGGAAAGTCGGCCGCGCTGCCGCCTTCCACCGCCGGAAATAACAATCTCGAACAGCTCCGGCAGCTCACCCGCCGCCATGGCCTTTCTACGAACAATTTACTCAGTGTCGCTTCAGTCCGTTTCCCTTCGCACTGGAAGGCAGTTCTACAATAAAATAATCTCGCCAGTCAGATCTCCGCAAGCCCGAATCCACACAATGCCCTTGACACGCTCCTCAGATCCCCTGGTGTGGATCGACTGCGAGGTTCGGGAACTTTCTTTCCAGCCCTCTTCTGCATCTTCCGAGGCGACGACGAGCATCATCACTGACACATCTGCTCTTCCCATGGATGATTCTAGATGACCGGATTGGATCCGGAAACCGACCAGATCCTCCAGATCTGCTGCTACATCACCGATGCCGACCTGAAGCTTCTCGAGCCGCAAGGATTCGAAACCGTCATCCACCAACCACCCGCGACGCTGGCGTCTATGAACCAGTGGTGTATCGAGACACACGGTCGCACTGGGTTGACGGCCGCTGTACAGGCCTCGACCGTCAGTGCGGAAGCGGCAGCTGCGGCGTTGCTGGAGTACATTCAACGGTATGTCCCGCAGCCGCGGACTGGTTTGCTGGCGGGCAACAGTGTGCACGCCGACAAGGCCTTCCTAGCCAAGGGACCGTACAGAAACGTGTTGGAGTGGTTACACTATCGGATTGTAGACGTGAGTGCATTGAAGGAAATGGTGCGTCGATGGGGGTCAGACGAGTTGTTGGCGGCGGTGCCTCCGAAGAAAGAGGTACATCTGGCTCGAGAGGACATTCTGGAAAGCATCGCGGAGATGCGCTTCTATCGCGAGCGCCTATTTAGATAGTTTCTGGTAGCTCGGTAGCTACTAGTAAAAGGGGGAGGTCTGTGTGTTCGCACCGGCGGGGAATGGGCTGAGTTGGCATTTAATAGCTAGCTTCTATTTAGGGAAGCTTTTTAGGGGGGGGCAACAGTCATAATTTGTACGGGCGTGTGTAGTATGGAAGAGGGGTAAAGAAATGAGGTCCAATTATTGTTTAGAGAACAGGTGTTGATGAGAGAGTGATGACCACCGCATGACATTATTGAACATCACCACCACCACCAAACAACCAAACAAACAAACGACAATCACGCCAATTCCGCATCATCCATCCATTGAAGCAACCCAGCAAGCAAGCAAGCAATGCAATCGGGATTGAGGTGGGGTTTTTGCCAGTCCTATTGGGACTTTTTGTCTTGCATCGGAGCGGGACCCAAACCAAAACCCAAACCAATCCCGCCCGCTTTCTCGCCCTCGCCCTGACCCTGCTTTCTCCTGCTTCATCAACTTATTTACTCCCCTCTGTTCCCCCTCTTCTTCCTTCTTCTCCTCTTTTTTTCTATCTCTCTCCCATTCTCCCATTCTTCTTCTTCTCTATCTTCTCTATCTTCTCTTCATCACGTCAATTGTCAGTGAGCTGTATATCCCAGCTTCTGTCAACTATTCTATCCTAATATACCCCACCTCCTGCACTACCCCTCCTCCACGTCATCATGTCTGTCCAGACCGTCTCCATCTCCCCCTTCTCCGACCAGAAGCCTGGAACGTATGTTACGCCTCCTGTTACCCCTCTATCACTCCGAAACTAATATTCTACAGCTCCGGTCTTCGTAAGAAGGTCAAGGTCTTCCAGCAGCCCCACTACTCCGAGTCCTTCATCGCCAGCATCATTCTCTCCATCCCCGAGGGTGCTGAGGGTGCTTTCCTCGTCATCGGTGGCGATGGTCGTTACTACAACACTGAGGTCATCCAGAAGATCGCTAAGATCAGTGCTGCCTACGGTGTCAAGAAGCTGCTGGTCGGCCAGAATGGCATCCTCAGTACCCCCGCTGCTAGCAACCTCATCCGCAAGCGTCAAGCTACCGGTGGTATTCTCCTGACTGCCAGCCACAACCCTGGTGGTGAGTACTATTCTCCTTCTTGGAAAGACTTGTAACCAGGTAACTGACAATATTTCTCGTGTAGGTCCCGAGAACGACTTCGGTATCAAGTACAACTTGACCAACGGAGCTCCCGCCCCCGAGTCCGTCACCAACAAGATCTACGAAACCTCCAAGACCCTCAACTCCTACAACTACCTTGACATCCCCGATGTCGACATCTCCTCCATTGGCACCAAGACCTACGGTCCCCTTGAGGTCGAGGTTGTCCACTCCACCTCCGACTACGTCGCCATGCTGAAGGAGATCTTCGACTTCGACCTGATCCGCAACTTCCTCCAGACCCACAAGGACTTCAAGGTCCTGTTCGATGGTATGCACGGTGTCACCGGTCCCTACGGTGTTGACACCTTCGTTCGCGAGCTGGGTCTGCCCGAGAGCAGCGCCATGAACGCTGAGCCCAAGACCGACTTCGGTGGTGGCCACCCCGACCCCAACCTGGTCTATGCCCATGAGCTGGTCGAGCGGGTTGACAAGGAGGGCATCCACTTCGGTGCTGCCAGTGACGGTGATGGTGACCGTAACATGATCTACGGCGCCAACACCTTCGTCTCCCCTGGTGACAGTCTGGCCATCATCGCCCACCACGCCAAGCTGATCCCCTACTTCAAGAAGCAGGGTGTGTACGGCCTGGCCCGCTCCATGCCCACTTCGGGTGCCGTCGACCGCGTTGCCGAGGCCCAGGGTCTTCAGAGCTACGAGGTGCCCACCGGTTGGAAGTTCTTCTGCAACCTGTTCGATAACAAGAAGATCTCCATCTGTGGTGAGGAGAGTTTCGGTACCGGCAGCAACCACATCCGTGAGAAGGACGGTCTGTGGGCTATCGTGGCCTGGCTGAACGTCATCGCCGGCGTCGCCCAGCAGAAGCCCAACGAGACCCCCAGCATCGCCTCCATCCAGAACGAGTTCTGGCAGACCTACGGCCGCACCTTCTTCACCCGCTACGACTACGAGAACGTCGACAGCGACGGTGCCAACAAGGTGATCGCCACCCTGGCCAAGTACGTTGACAACAAGGACTCCTTCGTTGGCTCGACCGTCTCGGGCCGCAAGGTCGTCGACGCCGGCAACTTCTCCTACACCGACCTGGACGGCAGCGTCTCCAAGAACCAGGGCCTGTACGTCAAGTTCGACGACGGCAGCCGCATCGTTGTCCGTCTGTCCGGCACCGGCAGCAGCGGCGCCACCATCCGTCTGTACATCGAGAAGCACGAGAGCGACGCCAGCAAGTTCGCCCAGAAGACGGACGAGTACCTCAAGGACAACGTCGCCCTGGCCCTGGACCTGTTGAAGTTCAAGGAGTTCATCGGCCGTGAGGAGCCCGATGTCCGCACCTAAGCATTTTCTCTGAAGCATATATCTTATCTTATCTACTCTATACGAGCCTACGGAAATCAAGCACGTTGTTAATAGCGATAGCGAATAATATATCTGCGTAGTAGCATTTTCGTGAACACTCATTATCGTCGTTGTCATCATCAATCATCTGAAATGAGTAGAAAGCAACTCACCATCAATCATAGAACCTCGTATCCCCACCCCATCCATTAGACAATCACCACCACCAAACAGCAAACCAAATCAAAGCACCAGAGCCTCGCGCAACTTCCCCTCCCACCACTCCGCCCACCGCACAACCTTTTCCTCCCTCCGCGCCTCCTCCGCCGCAAACACAACCGCATGGCTCCGCACCGCCTCCTCCAGCGTACAGCCTACAAACGCCTCCTGCGCCTTCTGTACCGCCCACCGCCCATTGACCACGGCATCGACAGCAGCCACAAACCCACGCGCCAACCCATAGTCACCGCCACCGTGCGCCTTCTCCTCCTCCGGCGGCTGCCTCGGCACATCAATGACGGTAGTCTCCCGGTTTGCGAACCGGAAGAACTCGATACGGCGCCCGTCGTACGCCAGCTCGCCCTCGGTCCCGTACACGCGCCCGCGCCGCTCGCATTGTTTCTCCGTTGGCGCAATCATATGGAATACCGCCGTCTTTGCTGTTGCTTGCACCTGCATTTGCATTTCGGGATCGTCGTTTGAAAGGGCTGGTAGCTCGGACCAGGTGATCGTCACGATCTGGTCATCGCAGACGGTATTATCTGCTTCGTAGACGCAGTGCCCGTAGGATGGTGGGGCCCCTGCCGCTGGAGTAGTGGGGTGCAGGGCGGGTGAGGCGCGGAGGCGGGCGTGGAGGTGTGCGGATGCGGCGGCGATGGCTTCGGGGGAGATGGTTGTCTTGTTGTCTGGGTTTGACGGGCTGCTGGTGGTACTGATGGTAGTGCTGGTGCTGGTGCTGGCGTACGGCGCGACGACGTCCTCGATGTCCGGACAGACGATGTTGACCGGCCAGTCGAAGTTGCCCTTCGCTACGTGCATCTCGTCGTAGATCTTCACGGCGCTGTATTTGCAGTTGCGTTCAGCCGGGCAGGAGAGACAGTTTGTGGCGGCGCCGGCGGCGTGGGGTTTGCGGTGGCGTCGGAATTGGGTGAGGGAGCCGGTTGAGGTGATTGTGCGGGGGTGGTGGGGTTCTTGTTTATGGGCTGTGTTGTTGTTGTGGTTGTCGGGGGTAGATGTGGAAGCAGGCTGAGGAGCAGCAGGAGAAGATAAGAGCCACATGATGAAGTCGATGTCGTGACAGGATTTGGTCAGGAGCGAGCCGTCGCCCTGGGCCGTCTCGCGCCGCCAGTTGCCTCGGACATAGCTGTGGGCGAAATGCCACCAGCCCACGGGTTCGCAGTGTTCTAACGATACGATATCGCCGATGACGCGGTCGGTGAGGAGGAGCTTGCGGAGGAGGATGTTGTGCGGACTGTAGCGGAGGACGTGGCCGATGGAGAAGATGTTGCTGTCAATGTTGGGCTGTAGGGCGCGGTACACGCTGAGACAGTCCGTCAGGGACAGAGCCAGCGGTTTCTCGCAGAGAATATGTAGGCGGAGAGGAGCGATGGCGTGGATGATCTCTGCGTGCGTCTCGTCGAGAGTGCAGATGAAGACCCCGTCTACCCCTGCTGTAGGGGTGGACTGGCTGCTGGGAGTGGAAGCGGATTCGCGACGACGCACCTCCCAAGATAGCCAGTCGCGCCAGTCGGCAAATTCTTGCCCCTCTTGGGGCTGGTTGGTGCCCCAGATGTAGTTGCGGCCGAGCTGGCGACGTTTAAAGGGATGGGGTTCGGCGACGGCGTGGATGATCCCCGCGGTGGAGGTTGTCACGGCCCGCGCATAAGCATTGCCCCGCGATCCAGCACCTATGATGATGAACCGGAGAGAACGGGGAGAGAGACTAGGAAGAATGGAGGATAACACAGGGAGAGCAGGTTCTTTCATCTTGCTTGATGGTGTGAATTGAGGAGGAGAGAGGGAAAGGGGGAAAAGAGGGGGGGAGCGAGAGGGAGTCTATGATTTAAGTATAAGTAGTACTAACTTCTAAGTAGATCAGGCACTGGCCTCAATGCTGAGAATATCTGGCTGCTGGTTGGTCCACGGCACCTTATGTCATCTGCCAGCAAAGCAGCGATCGACTAGTAGTAATGAGGATGTCTCATGAATGTAGTGGATATCGACACAGTGTCCATTAATTAGTAATTAACAGGCGAATGTACATTGAGCCCCGATCGAATAACAGAAAAAAAAAAAGATGAATTGGGGTATCCATATAAAAGAGAAACAGGCTAGCAAGTAGTAGTGCAGAATCAAGACGTGTCTCAAACAGACCCAGCATTCCTCCGTCGCGATCTCCGGCCTGGTCAAACAACCCTTCGTTCCTTGCCAGCCACCGCGAACCCCAAACACTTCCCCCAAAATCCCATGTACAAACGTCTCCAATTTATGTACAGAATCTCAAAAGCATATACGTACCGGATGACAAACACCAAAAGTTGTCCGCCGTTGCCAAACGATTGCGATTTAGATACTTTCTGTGAACCGGCTGCCGCGACTGCCATCAAAACTGGGATGGCTTCGACCTAACGCATCGGGCCGTTTAGGCATCGTTGGCGAAAGCGCTCCAGACACCTGCACATGCACGGACGGAATCATCCGCGGGGCTGAAGGCTCGTTGTGCAAACTTGCATTGGCTGACCCCGTCACAGGCGTCCGCGCAGGAGATGGGCGGAACTTGACCACCGGGAGAGGCTCCTCTGCTTCTCGAGTATAACTCGTGTCGAGAGGCATGCCATACGGCGTAGTCAACGGCGGTTGTGAAGGAGGCGACCGTGGGATGACAGGAGACCCCGGGGCAGCAAAGGTAGAGCTGGGCTCAGAGACCGTCGGTGAGGTCTGCTCGGCGCCACCACCATATCCATCTCCACCAGAATGCAACACAGAAGGAATCTTCCGGCCCGAGATCTTCTGGAAGCCACGTTCGCTGCTATCGGAGCACACCGAGTCCGTTGTCCGAGTAGTCATGTGTGATTGCCGCCACCGTTGCATGAACGCTGGGGCAAAGTACGAGGCTGTGAACAACGGGTCGTTGCTGGATCGGCGCGAGGTCATCTCCGCCGAGCGAGTGATGGATCCTTCCGTGGTCGCTGTACCAGCCATGTCTGCTGCAGGGAGGGCATCACGTGCCTGAGGGCGAATAGCCCTCTTGCGTCGGCGCAGCAGAAGCCACAGCAAGACGACAAATACCATAGCAGCCGCTACGCCCCCAACAACCCCGCCGGCTATTTTGCCTTTGGTTTGAGTACTGAGACCGCCAGAAGCGGCGGCTGCCGTAGTTGCTGCTGGTGATTGTCCGGTGGCAGTGGCACCTGCTCCTCCCCCTGCTCCATTCGTGGTCGTCCCCCAGGCCCCAGCGTTCGAGGATGTATCAGACCAAGAGAGAGATGTCGTGGCCGTTGCGAACGAATCGTAGGACGTCGTCGTACCAGACTGATTGCCACCCACATAGCCCACACTCGAGCTCGACGTGGTGATTGAGCTGGAACTCCGGGTTGAAGTCGCGTTCGGGTTAGTGCTCGTGCTTGTCGGCCGGATAGGGGTTGAAGATGCCGGAAGATGTGTTGAGGTGGTACCAAAGAGGGGTGTTGATGTTTTGGACGAATTTGGGCCGGACGGGGGGACGGAGGTGGACGGATCAGAGGCCGTTGTCACAGTGGGAGTATCCGCAGTGGGAGAAGAATACGCCGGGGACGCAGTTGAATGCTCGCCGGCCGGTCCAGTCGCGGAAGTCGGTGCCGTGACTGAGCCCGACTCAGCCGACAAGCCAGATGTCGATGCTTGAGTGGACTGGTCAGATGTGGCGGAGGGGGTTTCTGATGTGCTCAGCCCCGTTGTCTGCGAGCCGCTCTCCTCCACGTTGGCCACTGTCGCAACAACCGTCGTTTGATCGTCTGTCGAGGCATTTGGCTCCTGCCGTTTTATGTGTGATATTTGCCTGCTATCTTGTGCTTGCTGACTCCGTCCCTCTTCATCGATAACAAGCTCGTTCCTCACCGCGTACACCACAGGCTCTTGCGATATCCTGGTCGGCAAAGCCATAGCATTCGACTCCTTATCCGCACCTCCATTCCCGCCTTCGTCTGACTGGTAGCGTTTCCTCATCGACCTGTTATATCGCGCATGCCCGTTTCCATGATGGGCCATACTGTCAAACCCCCTGTTGCGTGCCCAATCCCCCCCAATATTTTTTATCTTGTTGAACAGCGCAGTGAGCCTTACTGTGATCCTTGTTGATGACCGAAAGGTTCCGAGAGCGTACTGTGTCTACCGAAATGAAAATAAGGATACGAAATCAAGGTGTCTGCCTGCAAAACACGCGACTGCTCAATGGAAGGAGTGCGGTGGGCGAAAGCTGTTCGAGAGTCGGTTGCGAAAAGAGTCGAAAGAGCGTAGAGAAAAGAAAGGATTGACAGGATTGAGTCGGAGGGGAAACGAAAGACAGCAGAAGGGAGTGTGCGGTATCGAATGCTAAGAGAGCGACTGTCGAAGTATGATTTGGAATGCAGCTGACGAGAGTTTCCCAGTCGATCAGCAGCCTCGCAGGTGGTTTGTGAACAGCAATGAGTGGACGTCAGCCGGGATAAGCAGCCGACAAAAACCGAGTAATTGGAGCAATGAGAAGAGAAGAGGAACCGAAAGGCATAGACGCAGACCTAATGCGAGTGTCGGATCTTGACGTCAGTATGTTTACCCAAAGCAGCTCCATGGGGTCAAAACATTGAGCAAGCGCCCTGAGATGTGACAAAGATGGGCTGAAGATGATGGCCTACCTGCAAACGAAAAGAAAAGAAAGAGGCGGGAAAGGTACAATCTTTTATTGAACCTAAAGTTGTTCCGAGGTTGACCTTATCCTTGAATAGCTTATTGAATGCGCTTTCCAGTCTGATCCATGCTGGCCGAACAACAGAGCAACGCTGGCGGAGTTGAGTAAAATGGACGGTGGGGCGACTTCCCAGAAGCGTCGAAGAGTGAAGAAGCAGAAGGTCGACAGCCTAGGAGGCTTTGAACCGACCGAAGTTGAATGCGAGTAAATTGCTCCGAGCCTCCCACCGGGCAGAGAGAGAGGATCCACGCTAAACCCAAGGTTCCGGACCTAGTCTGCCACCACGGATTCTCGTCGGATAATCGCTTGGTCGCCCCCGAGTTCGTGTCGGTCTCACTTGCTCGGCGGATATGGCGGATATTTCCTTCGGGCTACAATGGAATCGCACTGGCCTCTTTGGTTTGCAATGCTCACTGCGCGGGCTATTGGGATAGCCCACCCAGTTCCGGCTATGGTTGGTTCCTTGGCGAACAAAACAAGAACAAATGAATGGAATCACGCCCCGACTAGGGAGACAAGTGAAGATCAGAAATAGATAGGTTAAATGCGGGGTGGTAGGGAAGAAGAGAGAAAAGGAGAAAAGTAAAAAGGAGGAGTAGTTGAGGTTTGAAGGATAATAGGAGAAGGGAGGGAGGGGGAAGAGGAGGAGGAGGAGGAGGGGAAAAAGAAGAGTAGTGTGTATGAGGCGGAAGAGGAAGAATGGAGAACAGAGAGAGAGAGAAAGAGAGAAGAGAGAAGGAGCCGGGAAAGAGAGACAAGAGAGACAAGAGAGAGAAACAAGAGTCTCGACATGACCTCCGCAGGACCCATGGAAACAACCCGCGTGGGCAGGCCCAAGTCAAGTCTTACTCATTTTCACCCATCCGATCAGGCCAGGCCTAAGAATAGGTCTTAGACCTGCAGCAGCGTCAACGAGCAAGAGAGCAGCACACTAGACTAACTAGTTAAGTCGGAGTGGGTGCCGTACCGAAACCAAGCCAGTACAACTATGGAGCAATGAGACCACTAATTTGCTATACTGCCAATCATGAAGTCGCGATGGAGGCTCGCAGATTGGACAATTACGTGGGAACGAGGGAAAGGTAATTAAGCTGTCAGAAGGTGCAAAATGCCACTAGATCGCTTCCATTCCAGTGGAAGGAAGAAAGATTGAGTGATGGATGGATCGATTGATTGATTGATTGATGGTGACGGTGATGGTGATGGTGATTGACTGTCAAGATCCGCGCCCCCAAATGATCCGCATGCAGACAAGGTTGTAGCCGCAGCCCATCAGTACCAACATCACTGTTGCTAGAATGGAGTAATGCTCAGTCTCCCTCTCTTGCTGATTGCCCTGATTCGACCTTCTCCAACCTGTTCATCCCCAATAGTCAGTCATGTTTGCTTTTTTCCCAAGCAGCATATGTGTGATGTACGTAAGATGAGACTGGACTCCCGCAAGTTCTGCCGTGCCGGCAACTCCATGCTTGACCAAAAAGGGGATGCCAAGGCTGAGGTTAATAAAACGCCGGGCGCTAAGTTTCATTAGACCGTTAGGAAATGATAGTAATGGGAGATGAGCGAGAAAGGTGGTCTTCAAATTGCACGGCCGAACACCGTCACACTGATGATGCCATCCCATTTTACTACAACACGAATGACCCTCTATCGCGGCCAGAGTCACCCAATCGTTCATGCCGATTCCCTTCCATTGCGGATGCCGCATATACACTAGCATCAAGAGGTACTAGGGAGATGGGCCGGGTCACAGCAGGGCAACACATAACCCAGCAACCGAGTTGATAAGACGCAGAGTTTTCTTCTTTTTCCTTTACCATTTTCTCTTTCTGGTGGAGGATGTCTCTGCTCAGTTGACTGACTGACATTCTTCGTATGTACTGTACGTGGAATAGACAATGAAGTTGTTTACGCCTTTCCTCAGACCTCCCGAGGCATGTCTCTCCGTCCCACGTAAGGGCCGCCCCCTCCCCCTTCAAATGTCATCAACGCGGCAAGTACGCGGAGGGGAAGGATCATAGTCAAACAGTCAGTCTGGTAAGCTAAGCAGCGAGCCGAACGACCCCAAAAACTCAGCCGGGCCATATATGCACCTCGAAATCATTCACATCCTCAGCAAACCCGCGATACGAACTCCCAATCCCCAAGCATCTATTCGCTACACCCGGCACTACCCACTGCAATAAGCCTGAACATCGTGACCACTTAGACTTACACCCACTCCCAGAGATTGACTAATCCACTAAGCAAACCCTAGTGAGATTGTAATCTTGCCTCCCTCGATTCACCCCCTTTCCCCAGGGTGTCTGAGATCTCCTTCCCTGCCTGGTCAATGGTCGTCGGTGATCTCCATCCTACCTCGATAGTAGATAGCACGATTCTCTTTCCGCAGATGAGATCCTGCTAGCGAGAAGAAATGTTTCAGATGGCATGTCTCACTCCGCGCGGGACAGTCCCTTTTAGATTTGAGTCGAGGTGAGGTGAGCATTGATCGATTGGCGCTTGTAGACTTTCTACCTGAGGTCAATGTCGTTTCAGCAAGGTGCATATAGCACGGAACGGACACACATGCACCTCGACGCAGGTACAGAGTTTAATGCATTCCTGTCTTGCAGGATACATGAGGATTTTTGAGACTGTCTGGCCGGTCTGGCCCTCGTGAGGATACACCATCAATCAAACGGTCAGGATCACCACCAACAAGTTGTCATAGGTGGTATATTATGAGGATAAACCGGGAAGTTGCATTCCAGCTTCAATGTGAACTTCTATCGAAGGTTCAGTTCTCTCATCTCACCTGTCCTCTTGTCTGCTTTCCTTGGTATTCTGGAAAACAATCCTGCAAGAGAACAAGCAATGGCATCAATTGTCCAAATCTGTCGGATTCCCCCCATTGTGGGACCCCGGATCGGCACTAACTTACCCAGTCGGCTCTAGCCTCAACAGCCCCTGTTTGAGCATGGCCATACACTTAGCCGACAGCCATTATCCATGGGGAGCATACCTGGTTTGGCTCGTGAATAAACTTGGAGGTTGACTCGCAGGAGTTTCAGAAAATACATAGATTGCATGATGCTTGTTTTTGCGGAGGGAAGAAGAAACCTGGTCCGTCCCACGATGGACGGCACATCAAACTCGAAAATACAAATACAAATCTCGAAGCATTGACGCAGAGTCGGATTGAAATATACCCAAGCTTAGGCATGTTCCGATTGAAGCGGACTTGGATAGATATCTTCTTATCTCATTAAACATAGTCCGTAGTTGTCCAAGTCAATTTGTCATGGAATAGGCTGTTCAGGATAGCAGCAACAGTTGTTTCATTCTGCCACCGCCTTTGCGGGCTGCTGCCTGCAATTCGCCACGGTGGAGGCGGTATCTATTGATAGATCTATAGCAAATTGCGAACCTCGAAATAGCATCATCGCCTAGTCGATACGAATGCACACGAGCTGACATTTAATGTATCTAGACTTGAAGGGCTAGATACAAGCTCAAAGCCTGCGTCTTAAGAGCCAAGACAAAAGGCCACATCAAGCTCACGCACGCCAACATGAAATACAGCATCTCCTTCACAACTTGACTCACCCTGTATCAATACAAATGCCAGCAAATATAACCAAACGCATGGAATTTTACGCCTGTTACTCATGATCTTCATCCCACCATTCATCCAAAACTATCAATGCTTATTCGAACTACACCTCCTCACGAAAGTAGCAACCTACCCACCCACTTACTTGGGCAACAACATCACCACCCCACAAAATACCCATATTCCCAAAACTCTCAACAGTCCATCAACTCATTGAATCACAAAGCAAACCAAACCACCCATTCATCTATCCCATAGCTAGACCTCACCAAAAACAAGCACACAAACAAACAAACACCCGACCCGAAAACCCGGTCCAGACCCAAGCGGAGAACCACCACGTACGTAACCCCATCTCCTCCCATCCTATCCCATCACATCAACAGCCCAAAGGTCCAGGCCGAATCCCGTGTCTCAGGACATGATCTCCACCAGTACAGCAAGAAGTACTATTTATATTCTCATACGGCTTGATAGTGACGATGACTACTATCCAGTGATATTTGGATCCCGTTTCTCCTGTCAGACGTCATCACACTCCCGTCTGACTATATATATACCCAAGGACAGCAGATGGACTCTCGTCTGACTATGTACAGTATATATAGTACGTAGTGATAGTAGGGCAGAACTCTGGGGATTGAACTTTGTCCCGTCCCGGGCCGTCTATCTCGGCTTTGGTCTCGGGTTGTGGAATCCAAGCTGAGGGAGGTTGATCATATGTTAGGATAATTGCAAGGGTACGTGGTGAAGATCAAGACACAACTTCATGTGAAGGGGGCGGGAGGAGATAGGTTTGATCCGAGGAATGCATCAGGCTTCGGAGGATTTAGAATTCTACATGGCATGGAATGAGGGGGGAGCCGGAATGCCGTATAGATAGGTACTATTAACCACATGCAAAACTCTAGAATTCTGGAATAGACTAGAAGCCGTATTCGACGGGACCGAAGAGGAACCTACGCGGGCTCCCGGTGGGTACTAGGGTAGGATATACTTAGATCACGGTCATCGTTTTGCAGTTCACCGAAGAAGTCAATTGCCCGGGCATAAATATACAGGACATAGTCCGATGGGTAGATTGAAGCAAGCAACGGGCATAGAAAACCCATTCCATTACCACATATATCAAGTAGCAAGACATGCATGAGAAAAGAAAAAGAAAAAGAGATTCTGAAAGGATTTTGGCTGATTGCTTGGCTTCTCTCACCCCAACTTGACTATACAAAGTTCCCTTTAAAAAAAGCTACCCCTCATCGCCCCTTTATGTCCATCTCAAGAAGACAAAACACAATGTTCCGGTTTCACCCCCTTTTTCACCCCCTACATGGCGTCTCATCTCTCAACCTCTCTCCAAATCAGGCATCATCTCGACGACCAACGCTCTAGGCAGAATTTGTAGCAAAATGAAGAAAACTGGAAAGAACAAAACCAAATCAAACATCGTCAAGCGACGACTTAACGCTTGCGCAGTGTGCTATGAAGGGGGTATTAATATTGCGGGACCAACATTGCTATGAACTCAGAAGGTTTCCAGCTCATCCGCGCCGGCCTCCGCCTCAGGGATCTCGAATCCCTCCTGCTGTACGTTAGCGACCTGTACCTGCTATCTGATGCGCACGTGATATAATCATAAACATACCTCCGTCGAGTATAGGATACCCTGGATGTGCTTCACCAACGAATCCTCATCCTTCTCCAACTCGGGGTCCTGCTCAATCGCGCTCTGGAGCAGCAGCTCAATGTCTCGGAGCTTAGCGAAGTAGAAATCCCGCTCCTTCTCCAACCCGGTGATGGCCTCCTTCTGGGTCGCGATCTCCTGCTGCAGGACAGCGGTATTGGCCGAAGTGGCCGCACCGGCAGCCCGGGGGCGAGCACCGCCCACAGTCGGGGTCGTGCCACGCCGAGCGGCGCTGCCAGCAGCGCTGGAGCTGGTGCGGGAGGTAGGTCCGGCCGGAGGAGCACCGGAGCCCTTCCGACGGCCGACTGCATCGTAGTCACCACCAGGGTAGTGTTGGTCCCAGTATCTCTTGGTCCACTGGAGGAACTCCAGGTTATCCTGCATGCGGCATTTGGTGAGCTGCTCGACGGGGATGGGCTTCTCGACTTGGTGCTTCGCGAAGATGTCTAGGGGGAGACGGGACTGATGTTAGCACGTTTGTCGCGACGCTGGGCCGGAGGTTGGTGGATCGCATACTCTGAAGGACCTTAAAGTTCTGAAGGTAGGCATATTCGGTGTTGACGTTGAACTTGACACGAGACATGGGGACGTCCACTTTGAAAGGCGAATCGGTCAGTTCACTCTGGAAAAGGGGGCCGTAGAATTGTGCTGCACTCACTGAATATCGAATCGAAGATTTGGCACAGAGCGGCACTGCAAATTCAACGCATCAGTATATCCCGATTTCATCCGACATGATCACCGCCATGAACAAAATAGCCGCTTCTCTGCGAGGAGAACATACCCTGTACCGCACTGCTCAATCTTGGTCATGTTCAACTGCAGCAGGTTGTTGAGCCATGCCAGCAGTTCTTGTCTATTCGGTCACCCGATCATTGTTAGCTATGACTGCTGTAATTGCGACTGCTGATGCTGTCGCGCATGCGGGTTCCAAACAGAATGCCCGACGAACCTCGATTCGCCCATGGTGGGGTATGTGAAGATGGGGGTCTTTGGGTTGAAAAGGATGTCAGAGGACTCGGTATAGAGATGGCGTGGACTGGATGAAAGCCTGTAGGGAGTCCGAGAAGTAATGGCAAGGAAGAGCTTCCTCCGAGACGTTCAGATTTGGTTATTATGAAGAAAAACAAAGGCCAAGTAGAGCAGAGGGGGGAGTGTTTTGTTGCTGTCGCCAAAACCCACGGGACTGCGAGGCGCTAACCCGATTTGGTCAGATCCCAATCGCCGCCTCTCCGATCCTATTAACTATGCCTTAGCCCTCAGGCAGCGGCGCCAATTCGATGCAATTGATTTCAAAAGTGATGAATGAAAGTCAGAGAAGTAAAATTATGTAAGTATAGTCGAGGCGCTCTATCGCTAGCAAAATGTATATACTGAGAAGCAATTCAAATGAATACCAAGTAAACTCCACCAAGCCCAAGCAAAAACTTTTTCCCAAAGGTAAGCAAAATTCATCGAGTGAGAACGTCTAGCGAGTCTATCAGGCTCATCACTCTTCTAGCAAGTCTATGCCATCTAGACCATAACCAAAATCCATTATCACGGCACGAGAGTCTTGACTGGTAGCAAGAATGCGCCTATAATCTGACTTGACGCTGAGCATCCAGCTGGTCGTCCAACCAGGCAAGTCAATTGACAATTCACCAGACTGCGCATCAAAGACCTTGACGCTCATGTCATAGCTACCACTGACAATGCGCTGGTTCATGTTATCCAGGTGCAGCGACCGGACGAGCTCCTCATGGCCCTTGAGCTCGCCCACCATCTCTCCGGTGTTTGCATCAAATTGGTAAATCACACGGTCATTGCCGCCCGTGAGTATTGTCCGAGCATCATCACTGAACTCAACGCAGGCTAGACCCCGATCCTTGCTGAGAAACTCCTTCACGCAAAGCCCGGAAGTGATGTTCCACAGCTTGGCAATACCGTCTCCACTGGCAGAGACTACCAAATCACCACGGAGCTGGACAGCATTGACAGGACCCCGGTGGCCAAGCAGCTTTTTGACAAGGGCTCCAGTCTGTCGGTCCCAGACACAAATCGTGGTGTCCTTGGAACACGAGACGATATAGCGATCATCGAAACAGACGTCAAGAACTCCCGCCCGATGTCCCTCCAGGCGCCGGATCGGCTTGTAGTCATTCTTGATATCCCACACAATGCAAGTAAAATCAGAAGAGCCAGTGACCATTATCTCTTCGTCAAATTGGAGACAAAGGATGGACGCGCTGTGATAGTCTGCACTGTGCTCCACTGGTGTCGTAATGCCTGCAGAGCGCGTGGGAGGGGGACAAATGGTCAGAAAAGGCGGCTTGCCAGCTGACTGCTGCGTTGGGTTGTTGACGGGGCCGATGCCGGAGACATCACCAGGCGAGGGGCCGATAATCTTACGGCATGGCCAAGGGTAGTGAGCATCCCAGACGCGAATGGTCCGGTCGCGTGAACCAGTGATGATTTTGTCCCTAGGATGATGTTAGCAGACACGTCTATCACGAACTACAGTCAAAGATGACATACTCGTCGAACTGAGCGCAGTAGACACTGTCCGTGTGCCCATGCAGGTAGATAGCAGCGGCCTTGCCCTCCTTCCAACGATGCTCCAAAGCGCGCCGCACAAGGAACATCCGCTTCCAATCTTGGTCTGGGCGAGCCTTGCCCAGACCAGCAGCTTGCCTCTTCTTGGTCGGAAGCCCACTAGGGCGATGGTGTCTATAGGCGTGACGGAACACATGTCGCCAGATGTGCCGGGAGGAAGCCTGCTCCCTCCAAGCACAAGAGACGAGCTCTGACTGCATCAGTGATTCCGGGTCAAGGTAGGAGAATACCAGCGACATGATCTCCGGCGGAAGATATGCCACAGGGTCAATCCGCACAACCGCCAGAGCAGAGTCTGAGAGATCGGAGCGATCGCGCAAATCGATGCCGATGCCACTTTCGGAGTCCCGGGTCAGCCTCGTCTCGGACGACTTGACTCCCTCACGCAGCGCTCGGGCCAATTCATTTTGAGCGGCGGCCGCGGCACGAGCAGCTGCCCCCGCATAAATGTCAGCCGGGAAAACTGGAGGAGCCAGGCCGTTACCGGGGACGAGGCCAGACACCGAGGCAGGCAGGCCATGTATCCCCGAAACACTGTTGACCGATGACCGGCGATCGACACTGGCCTCATTACACCAGGAATTCCTGGTGGTATCCTCAGTCGGATTGGCTGAGTGCCTTGTAGACTTGTTACGGATCGTCACCGAAAGACGACGCCCCAGAGCGCGCAGCCCATCCACGGGGTGCCGCAGGTTGGAGAAGCTCTTCGCTCCGCGGCGCCTAGGAGCGGGTTCCGGGAAGTGATTTGTATCCTCTAGAACCTGCTCGCTGATATGATGTTCCTCCAAAGCCTGCCCATCGTGCCCATCGTCATCGGAGTCGACGACGGTAAGTCCATGCCAGAGCTCGTGATCCGGTCCAATGGTCTGAATGGTCGATACGGTAGCAGTCCGAGGTCGACTGCGAAGGGAAAGCGAGGGACGGCGGCGGGAAGTGCTCGTGTTGATGTCTCGTGGTGCCATGTTGTTGGTTGTATTAAGGATATTAAGAATTGTGACCGTTCAGAGGGACAAAGGATAGTCACGCGGGAGCGATCACCCGTGAGGCCTGTCGCAGATAGATATAGACCAGATTATCAGGGATAATAACGCAAGGGAGGCAGTGTTGAATCACAGAGCGCCTAAGAGCTGAGGTAATAGGGGAGACGAGGCTGAAGAGGAGTAGGCAAGGGCAGTGACTGAACGAAGGACAAGACTGATAGATAGAGAGGGAGGCCCGATAAGCGACACCAACCACCCAGAAAAGTGGAGGAGGGGGGGAAACGAGGGAGGTAGAGGTGGAGGAAGGAGGTTGAGGAAGATAAAGAAGGGAGAGGGCGAAAGAAGCAGAAAATATGAGACAGGATAGAAGTAATAGAAGAGAAAATTAACCACACGAAAATCGAAATAATAAGGAAAAGACGAGAATGCAGAAAAAAGTAAAAAAAGAAGAAAAGAAAAGAAAAACGAAAAATGAGGATCAGGGGAAAGTCGATTGATGAATGGGATGAATGACAATAACTAATGAATGGATGGGCAGAAAAAGGGTCAGCGCGCTTGGGAAGGGGGGCGGTGAGACGCCACTTGCGGGTTTGCCTCCCCCGATCAACCCCGAGCGCAGACGGTGATTGGAAGTGGCGCTCTGACAGATGGGCCTACAATGAATTTTTCTGTTCTTACATTCTTCTTCCTTTGCTCGACCATGGTTATTCCTCTCTTCGCTTCCCCTGGTTCTGCTTAAGGCTGACTGTACTTTCTGGAGTTTAAGTCTAGGGTTGAGGAGGGGGTAGTGAGTTGGTTTGGCATCGACTTAGCTGCCTAATGGATGATCTGGCAAGAGGACTTGGGGGTTACTTGAAAATCGTACATACTCACTTGTTTCGGTTTACCACTCCTTCGACACGGACAGGTATGTTGCATGGTGAGCATTCAAACGTTAAAATCGCCGACCGGCCCCCATTTTTCCCGGATCGACTCCATCTCCTTCCCGCCCCCGTGGGGTTCGCCTATTCATTAGTTGGTGATTCTGTTGCCGGTTGCGGTCTGGCCCACTGCTTCCATTTTGCCCAACGATCATCCCATCCATGATATGTTGAAGTGGAACTGTATGGCCACCGTAATCAGGCATTGACTGGCTTGTCCAGGCCGCATCATCAGAGGCAAGCATTCACTTTCTTTCGCAATTGAGTGATTGACGTTGGGTTGGATTTTCTGCGGGAGTCCAACATCTTGCGCAGCAGGTTGGGTACAACCATAGAAACCGGACACACCTCAAATTGTCGCAATTGGTGAAACTGCTTAGCTTTTCATGCTTTGGGTTTCTATATCCTGTTCCTGATTTCGTGTAACCCGGGAGGAATCGACTGATGACCGACTTCCTTGAAGACTACCTTGTGGTCTATGCCTCGGATCACAATCCTAACCACTCCTCTCTTCTTGCAAGGTCATGCATATAGCGTTGTGCAGCAAACTCCACTGGCAAGCCCAATGAATTCAGTCTCAGTGTAAAGGGTAGCACGGCTTTCGCCAGCCGTGAAACTGATGTCTCTTGGCATTCACAGTGATGGCCCAAGCTTATGCTAGGCCTTTTCAGACATTCGACCGTAGCAGATCTATCCTTGGCTTGAATCCCATTCAAAAGTATAATGCTATTGATTTTTAACTAAGGACAGATCAAGAGAGTCTATTAGATGCCAATCAAAAAGACAATAACATTAACACCTCAACCGGTCATCTGATGTCACCGCCGAACTGGTCCACCACGACTTCGAGTGAATCCACCAGCAAATGCTAGCAGGAATCAAGTGCCTACTTGCTTTAGTTGAAGGAAAGGATGCTTCGCCAGTTCGCCAGCCGTTTTTCTCAGGCTCGGATGCCAGAGAAGCATTCCCTTGGCGAGATCCAGAAACGCTTCCTTCTCCTCTCCCTCGAGGAAGGAAACTGTGTCGCCTACTTTCCGGTCGGGAATCAAGTCTTCGTAGAGAAAGCGCCCTGAAATGTTTCGTGAGTTCCAAAATATATCTTGCGAGAGAGAGGGAACCCAGGAAATACCATTATTGTCAAAGAATGGCCCGCAGAAGTGCTCCTCCGCGGTCTCGCATACTCTGTCGTCTTCTCGTCTGACAGGTTCCGGCCACGAGTATTCTCGCATGTATTGATATCTTTGCATGATCTCCGGAGGAGGTAGACCGAGTAAGGCTATCATCTCGGCAATGTGTAGTTTGGCATCGTAGCGACCTTGTTGATCATGGATATGCTGAATTAGCTCTTTGCCTTCGATCATATCCCACAGCTGGTTCGGCATTAGTGGATGCAATGACTCTGCAAAACAATGGCACGCACCAGAACACCAAGATTCCAGATATCCGCCGGCGTTTGCCATCCATTACCTAGTATCACCTCTGGCGCGCGATAGTGGCCTGGCTGAATAGGCCAGACGCCCCAGTCGTCATCTTCCTCGAGCCTGGTTGCCAAGCCGAAATCGACAAGCTGTGGTATGCTTCTCAGGCCCTTAAGTGGTCCAAAGTCATTACGGGACTGATACACAGGTCGTCCCGTCGAATCAATCTTGAAAGCCATCGGTTGTTCAAGCTGGGAATTCATGAATTCAGCAAGCACAGCTGAATCCTCGAATGAAACCATGATGTTCTCAAGCTTTAGATCTAGGCAGCCACCTGGGCTCAGTATCGCCGACTGAAGGCGAGGCAGAAGACGATCTTACCCGTATGAACTATTCTGCATTCTTTGTGAAGATAATCAAGCCCGGTAAGAAGCGCACGAATATATGTTTTGATGAGGGGCAGTGGCATCTTTTCACCGTCAAAGCGCCGCTGATACATCGACAATGGCTCCCTCATAGGCGGATACACAAGGCACGAATGAGAACCCCTTGGGCCTTCGACTTCAAAGGAGTCTAACAATGTTCGGATAAGCGAGCGACCACGATGTGATGGGTCTACCGTGGGAATGTGTTCTCCAATCTCGCGCTCACGACCAGTAGAACTCGCATTATTATTGCCGATTTTCACTGCCACGATGTTCTCTCGCTCTTCAATATGCCTGCCTGTTTGTTAGAGAAAGAGGGAGCTCCAGGTTGAACAGAGGCTGTCAAAGGCTACCCTTCCAAATCACGCGCGAGTCATACTGTTGAAGACACGCCCCAACCAACCTTGACCAGGGCCTGATAACGATCGGCGAGTACCTCTCCAGGCTTCGCTGGGTAAAAGGACTTCGAATCGTATACTGGCGAGATCTCTTTATCAACCAGTATTCCGGGCGGTAAAGGTGGCCCGGGGAAGGCACGGGAAACGGCTTCTTGCGAAGCAGGGCGGAATAGCGAGGAATAGACGGCCTTAAAGTGCTCATCACAACTCTACTCCTCGTAAGCAAACGGGAGGATGTGATAGCAATAGTTGTCGACAGCGAGGACGATTAAGGAGAAACCCCAGCACAGCTGATAAACATGAATAAGCAAATAATATACGTAGTTTTGTATGTAGGTTTATATTTCGAGTATCGATGCAGTGTCTTCCCAGAACTGGCGGTCGTTCGTGCACCGCCCATACATGCGTCCATCATGGATCAGCTCCTGCAGGGGGTGTGAATTTTGATCTCGTGAAGGGTTTATTTGATGCTTGCTCTCAAGCCTCTTATTAGAATGAGTTGGCCCTCCCTTTGACACTCTCATGGGCCTATTATTGCTTGCCAGAACTCAAAGGTCCCGGTTGATACTCACTGTCTCTCCTGGTCGAAGTCTTTCACAACTGCTTGAATGCTTAAGTCAGCGAGATTATCCTCAGTTATGCCAACCCAGCAGCATAAACGCCTTGTTCTATAAGTAAGCCCCCCAACAGGACTGGGTACCCACTCGGAGAAAACCCTCCACCAATCACCTCCTTCCCATATTAATTGGCGTGGGGGTTTCCCAGCCGGACTTCTCTCCGAAGTCCGGGATTCACCCCACGTTGCCCTCGTCCCACCTTTTTCGCCGTGACACTCGGAAGAACCGTGAAGCCACAAGAATGTCAAAACTTGTAAGGAAAAAGATATCATTCATCATATATACACTAATCTAGAGATCCAAAAACAAAGATCTAAGCAACATCAGGCAACGACTTTTCCACCTCGATCGCATCCTTAATGCCCTCCGCCACGGCCTTGACCTGCTCCTCACTGAGACGGGCCAACGGCTTGCGGGGGAATCCACCATACCCGTAGTAGCTCTGAATGGCACTCTTGGTACCGGGGATAGCTGCCTTGGTGAGCACCCAGTCGGCCTTGCTCAGCAGCTCCTGCGCCTCGATGGCCTCCGTGAAGCGACCCTCGCTCCAGAGTGTGAAAATCTGCACGCACAGCTTGGGGATAACGTTGGCACCGCCGGCCAGGATAGCCGAGCCGCCGGAGGCGAGGGTCTGGAGGGCGAAGTCCGCAATACCGCCGAAGGCGACGTAGGGGTGGTTGGCCTCGGTCTTGGTGTTGGGGAACTTGCGGGCGGCCGGGTTCAGGGGAGAGGGAGGAGTGATGGCGTGCAGGGCGGAGGCGACGCGGGTGAGCTTGCCGGTGTTGGCGCAGGTGAACTTGGTGCCGATGATGTTGGGGTGCTGGGAGATGCGGATGATGAGGTCGGAGTCCATGTCGATTCCGGCGACGGCTCCGGGGTAGTTGTAGAGGATGAGCGGGATGGGGGACTCGTCGGCCACCGCGGTGAAGTACTCGTAGATGGTCTGGTCGTTGCCCACGGCGTAGCGGTAGTAGCTGGGGGGAACAATGAGGGCGTATTCGGCACCCGCGTCCGCGGACTCCTTGCACAGGGCAATGGTGCCCCGGATGCTCTGCTCGCTGGCGCCCGCGATGACGGGGACGTTGGAGAACCCGGCCTCGACCAGGGCAGAGCGCGTCTCGCTGATGACGGTCTTCTTCTCGGCCAGGGTCAGGTGCACGGCTTCACCGTTGGAGCCCATGCAGACGAGACCAACCAGACCGGCCTTGGCGAGGCGGACCGCGTGGCGACGGATGGTAGGAACGTCGAGGTCTTCGGTGTCAGGGTTGAAGAAAGTCATGGTGGGAGCGTAAACTCCGGGGCGAAGAGGAGTGCGGGACATTCTGAGCGGTATTGTTAGAGAACGAATCCGCCTTCACTTTGACTAGGAACAAACTTACTTGGCGACAGTGGGAGGAAAGACCTAACTCTAATTGATGCAATGCGAAACACAAGACAAAAGGGAATAGGGAGAAGGGAATGGGAAACTGATTGAGTCGACACTCGACAGACCAGAGGATTCTTATAACCCCTCAATGTTTACCCCGCGTGTATCGAAATGGTAACCGGTTCGTAATCCGTCAACCCCACGGCCAGCGCGGAGACTGTTTCTCCACCAATCAGCCACCGCCGGCAGTAGACTTGCCATTCTGGGACTGGCTTCAAACCCCGATGCAGGGCTGCATACACTCGGCCTCGATGTCATGGCGATGGTATTATTACCTTGTCAGCCAGTATTGCTGGGGACTTTCTGGCTGGAACAATCAATTCACCTCAGACATCACGGGTGGTCTCTTCTTTTCCGCCCAGCATAGCATTGATTGATGCGATTGTCCGCAACAGAAATCCCTCCTCCATCTCCTCTACGTCGGCTATTGAACCCCGCAGGTCTCCAGTTCTCCAGTGGATAAATCCTCCAGACGCCCACCTTGTTTCTGAGCTCTCCTTTCTCTTTCTTTTGTTCAATCCTCTCATTCTCTAACATCCAAGTCCTCATCCCTTTTTCTCTTCCTTCACAAAAATGGCTCCTCCTGCTGTGTTGATGGTAAGAAACCCCTCCACTACCCCGCCGCATCCACATCAAGAATCCTAACAATGCAACACAGGTAGGAACAGGCGAGTACACCACCGGCTACGTCGGTGGTGCCGCCTCGACTTCCGACAAGAAAGTCGGCGTGGTAGGCCTGACGCTATTCGACCTGCGCCGCCGGGGCAAAGTGGGCGACCTCAGCATGGTTGGAGTATCAGGCCATAAATTCCCAGGCATCCGTACGCTCTCCCCCCCGCCGTCAACCAAGCCCTCAATTGCACCACATCCACTAACAGAGGACCCAAACCCCAATCACAACAGGCGAGCACCTGCACCGCAACATCTCGCAAGTCTACAATAACCTGGACACCAGCTTCACGTCGTTCCCCGCGGACGGGACCAGCGACCCGGAAGCGTACAAGGCGGCGATCGACGCGCTGCCGGCGGGGTCAGCGATCACGATCTTCACGCCGGACCCGACGCACTACCCGATCGCGCTGTACGCGATCCAGCGGCGGATCCACGTGCTGATCACGAAGCCGGCAACGCAGCTGCTGCGCGACCACCTGGACCTGCTGGCGGAGAGCCGCAAGCACGGGGTGCTGGTGTTCATTGAGCACCACAAGCGGTTCGACCCGGCATACAGCGACGCGCGGGCCAAGGCGGCGCGGCTGGGCGACTTCAACTACTTCTACAGCTACATGAGCCAGCCCAAGTCGCAGCTGGAGACCTTCAAGGCCTGGGCCGGCAAGGACTCCGACATCTCCTACTACCTCAACTCCCACCACATCGACATCAACGAGAGCATGGTCCCGGACTACCAGCCCGTCAAGGTCACCGCCAGCGCCTCCACCGGCACCGCCACCGAGCTCGGCTGCGTCAACCAGACCGAGGACACCATCACCTTGCTCGTCGACTGGCGCAAGAAGGACGGCAGCGGCCGCATGGCCACCGGCGTGTATACCGCCAGCTGGACCGCGCCCCAGAAGGCTGGCGTGCACTCCAACCAGTACTTCCACTGTATGTCCACCCTCTCTTTGGCCCCCTCAACCCCAAGTAGATCCATATCAGCTAATCACTCCCTCTACTGGTAGACATGGGCTCCAAGGGCGAAGTCCGCGTGAACCAAGCCAAGCGCGGCTACGACGTCACAGAAGACGAGCAGGGCTTGGTCTGGGTGAACCCGTAAGCATTTTTGCCTCCTCCTCCATCCTCCTCCAGACTTACCCATGACACTAACACAACCCGATAACCCCAGCTTCTATATGAAGTACGCCCCGGACGAGGAAGGGAACTTCGGCGGTCAGACAGGGTACGGCTACATCAGCTTCGAGAAGTTCATCGATGCCGTCAACGCTCTAAACGAGGGTCGCGTCACTCTGGACCAGCTGGACGCCCGACCCCTCCCCACGCTAAAGAACACCATTGCCACGACGGCGATCCTGCATGCCGGCCGTGTCTCCTTGGATGAGAAGCGGTCGGTCGAGATAGTCAGTGTCGATGGCCAGTGGGAGTTGAAGTGAGACCTTTTCTTCGTCTTACGTCGACGAACGACGAACGACGAACGACGATGCAGGGACCAGTGTATATAGCGCATGTGTTTTGTAACGAATTGTATACATCGAACTAAAACCATCTTCCACCAGACTCAGAAGTAGACAGAAGAAAGATATCCGTAGAGCAAATGGCTTTATCTTTCCTATTGAGAAGAAGTAGAAAAAAGACATAAAAATCGGAGGGAAAAGAAAGAAACAAAGAGAGAGAAAGAAAATTATAGACTACCGAACGGCATAGATCGAACTAATCCTGTCTGTCTGTCATGGTATCACCAAAGCAGAAACCATACAAAGAAAATGAAACTCCCTCAACTCCCACCCACCCAAGACTTCGCCACGCTGCGAATCACAAAGACACAATAAATAACCCAACTGGGATAGAGAAGCCTCCAAGAATGTAAAATAGAATCTTCGCACGGAGCAGAGAAAACGAGACGAAGACTGACGGATCGTGGTCTCGTTGCATGGCGGCCACTACATTTAGGGGGAGGGATAAACCCTTGCAGGATCGGGCGAAGAAAAGGAAACCGTAGTGGACCCATTCCACGAACAAGCCATCACCGCCGTGGGTTATTCTTCACGATCCCATCCACGCCCTTGTTGAACTTGACCCGACAATCGGGACAATACCATTTCGCAGTCCGACTAGGCACCTCCGATAGGCCGACGCAGTCGAGATGGAACCATTCGCGGTCACACTGGCTGTTTGTTAGCGATAATCGTCAAAAAGAGTGGGCAAATCAATCATACATCGGGGTTCTCGCAGCAGATCATGGTCCCGAAACTCACGTCTCCGCACATACAGTATCGCGGCTCGTTCGGATCGATCTCCTCCAGCACACCGTCCTCGTCAATACGGATGTCGTCGCGGTTGAGGATATCCCCTTCGAGCAGACTGATGCGCTTCTTGCCCGGCTTAGCCTTGCGCCGGCCGTAGCTGACTGCGGCTCCGCCATCCTGTCCCGATGACACCGGCCCCGGTGCAGGTCGCTTGCGTTTGCGATGCGGTGCGCTGACACTGGCGGCACGGGCCGTCTCCGGTACAGGAGTACGTCGTGCAGGCGTGGCGCTCTTCCGGCGAAGCTCGCGGCCAGTTGTCGACAGAGTATTTGCGTTGCTGGTTGGTTCTGCTGACAGGGCTGCACCCCGAAGGGACGGAGGTCGAGTGACTGGCGGTGTCGGTGTGCCGGCGGCTGGTGCTTTGCCGGTGCTGGTCGTGGCTGGAGGGGGTAGTGATCGTTTGGTACTGACCGGGGAAGACGAGACTGCCGGCTTCTGCGTATCGGCAGCTTCGGCCGCAGCGACCTCTGGAAACGTCGGTAGAGCTGGGTTCGGCATGATCGTATTGCTCTCAGCAGGGACGGGAGATTCCTTGCTTGTCCGACGACGTTTGCTGGCGCTGCGCAACGAGGTTCGTGTCTCCGCCTCAGTAGGTGCAGCAGGCTCTGCAGCTGCCGCAGTATCCTCTGAAGCTTCTGGAATTTCTGGAGCTATCGAGGCCTCTGGGACTTCCGAAGCCGAAGCCACTGGGGCAGCAGGGGTAAGAGGAGAAGCAGTAGGCGCAGCAGAAGTTAAGGAGGCAACGGGTGTAGGAGAAGTAACGGTGACGGGAGTAGGAGATGTGACAGTAACAGACCCAGGAGAAGCATCAGTAACAGGGGCAGTGGGAGCTGTACGGGCTGCAGGGGCCGCCCGAGCTGCCGGAGCTGCCCCTGGCGGTGTTACTTCGTCCAGCTTGCGTTTCTTTGCAGCAGAACGACTCGACTTGCCTGTAGCCTGCGGCGCCTCTGCGGCGGATGGCCCTTTGAGTGTTAAGGTCGGCTGATCAGTGATTTTGGCTGTTGTATCATCACCTGCGGCGGCTGCGGCTGCGGCTGCTGCTGCTGCCGCCGCCTGCTCACGCGCCTGGTTCTCCCGCTTGAGCTTCTTGGCCTCGTTTAATTTCATGCCGCGGTTACTCAGCTTGGTCTCGAATGGAGCCTCGATGTCCAAAGGAGCTTCACCGCGCTTGCTGAGTTTGCCGGGGATGTATGTGTTCATGATGTCGTCGCAGTCGATGAACTCAGCCCCTGACGCATCAGCCTGCGCCTTCGCCGTTCGGTATGCCTCCCATCCGCGACCACGGAGCGCTAACTCGCGATGGATCATGACCTCACTCGGCTGCCACACCGCGTTCTTCTTCATCTTCTTGCGAAGCTTGGTCATCTCCCATTCAGTCAGCCGCAACCACGGCATGTCCTCGCTCCCGGGCTTGGCATCTTCCGGAGGCGGTTTGAGCATGGCTAGCGCATTGCTAGTCGATATGGAAGGCCCGCTAGTACTCGGAATCCCAGAACCCAGCCCAGAAAGACGTGAGCGCCGGGCGGATTTCTTGTCTTTGGCAGGTGTGGTGGCAGTGGTGGGGATAGAGACGGTAGCGGCGGGAGGGGGGGCTGCGGCAGGCTCCGGGGGAGACTGAGAGGAGGCCGCCGGGGCGTTCGCCTCGTCATCGGAATGTTCTGTGCTGGCAATGGGAGAGTCAGGGTTGAAGCCGGCCAGATGCTCGGCGGCGATCAGCGACCGACGAGTGCGCGACTTAGGCGGCGGGGCACTCGTGCGGCGACCCTCTCTGCTATCGAGGCGCAATGTAATGCGCGTAGTTGGCGGTCCAGGAGCCACGGTATTCTCATCGGCTTTCTTGATGGATCGGCCGCGTTTGGTGGTCGCGAGGGTCTGGACTGGAGGGGCGGGAGGCGGTGTGGGTTCGCGCGATGCAGGCTTAGGGAGTGCCTCTAGCTTGCGCGTAATGTTGTCGAGGCGCTTGTAGTGGTATTCAACGACCTCCGACAGGCGACAAGCTTCGGCGTGGGAGGACTCGCGCGCGTTGATCGCGCGGTCGAGCTCAGCGGAGATGTCCTTGCGCAGAGTGCGCGCATCGGGACGACGATCCGGAGGGAGATCAGGGAGACGGCCATATGTCTTTGTCAACTCGTGAATGCCCTGGGTAGCGTCTAGGTAGCGCTCATCGAGGCCGCGGATGAGGGTGAGGGAACGGAGGATGTCGGCGGGCAGGTATTCGGTGTAGTCGATGTAGTCAGTGACGGTGGCTTGGGCGTCAGGGTCAAAAGGCCCATCCAAAATGAGACCACCAGGATCGTGGTAGTCCGCCATACCATCCAACAAGTAGACGGAGAGAGTGTAGGAGTGGGAGGGCGAGAGAGAGGGAGCAAAAGGGGGCGCGTCGAGGGAACGGGCGGACAGATGGTCAGAGGTGGACGGACGGCACCCTGGGCGAGGGTGCGGCCATGAAGAGGGACTGGTCCGCACTTTTACATGGATGGGGAGAGCTTGCCAGACAGGGGAGTCTGCACAAGCTGCAAATTGAAGAAGGAGCTGCGAAGAAGTGATTGCTTGAGCTGTGAATTGTCCTGTTATTGCTGGATGAAGCCGAAGTGGAAGTGGAAGGGGACAAGCGATGATTGGCTGGATAGGAGCGTGACTCAGCCGAGGAATGGGAAGAAGATTATTCCGACAGCGGCCAATTGCGGGGATTGAGAGGGAGATATCTTATGTTAAAACTGATTGAGGTGAATGATTTATGCAGGCATGTGCGATGCAATAGACTTGAGTACTATGGGAGAGAGTGTGCATAAATCTGAGTTGGGAAAGCAGGGAGATGGATTGACAGTCACTGTTTTAGGTCGGACATGATGACAATATATACCTTAAACTCTCCTCCGCAACCAGCTCAGTCCCCGACTACTCCTGGTTGTTTATTCAATCAGCATTGTTACACAACGTGTTGTACCAGGTGGCCTGGTTATAATTCACTCAAGCTCGGCTATCTCACGCATTGTGCAATAAATGAAATGTCCCATGTAGTAATATCTCTGTGCGGTGTAGCCAGCATCAAACAGCACCAAACAAGACCAAACAGTAAAAAATGCAAACAAGAGAGTCAAGCTTAAAGCCATCCAGAAGTGAATGATTTTCTGAGCATTCTCGTGAATGAATGTTGCACACTGTGTGGAGCTCCCCGTTTGTCAAGCAAACGAGGCGTTACACCATTCCCTGCCTTCTCTTCCGTCGTGTTCTCCTAGACTCTCCCATACTATAATCTATTCCCCCCATTCTCTGACCAAGTGGAAAGCTCCGAGAACAACAGAATGGGTCTCTTGGAGCGTCTGAGCTACCTCTTCGCTGGAGAGGGTGATCTCCCGAAGATGGACGCTCGTCTCAACAGTAAGTTGATTCATCCGAGGTTCTTAGTGGTGTTTATGGAAACAATGCTCTAAGCCATCGGTTGCCTCTTTCCCCAGACATGAACGAAAATGAGCTAGCTGACACTTCCCTTCTCCGTCCACCAGAAGAGAGATTCTCTGAAGAGAACAAACTCAAAGAAGAACCCTCCGAAGGAGCTCAGCCACAGGAAGTTCAATTCAAGGAGACAAAGCTCGAGGAAATCAAGCCTGCAGAAACGAAGCCTGACGACATCAAGCCCGAAGGAGAAGTTCATGAAGGAAGCATTCCCGCGGAGGCCGAATCTCAGGAAGTCATGCACTCTGAGAGCGACCCTGAAGTACCATATCTCGAGGAACTGGTGCTTGGCGAGATGAAGAACGTCGATACGAAGCCCGAGGTAATCAAGCGCGAAGAACCGAAGATCAAGGACCTGAAGCCCGAGGCGAACATGACGATCACCGATTCCTCGCCCAACAATCTAGGCGACCCGACCTTCACGCCCATCATCGCCCTCTCACGTTTCCCGTACAAATACGTCAAAGAGGAAGGCCTGTCCCAGCAGATTGCCAGCCGTTTCTTTGACAAGAACCAATTCTGGGCCCGGTCCTGGGACATGTGAGTTTTCGTCTCCTGCACAGCCAATAGCAGCTCACTAACATTCGGTTCGTCTTTGCCAGTTACTACCACTACACGCCAGCCAGCCTAGGCTGTCGATGCATCCTGCTCACTCCAACCAAAGACGCCCGCCGCTTCCTAGGCGAAATCAACCGTGCTCTCAAATGCACCCTTCAGCTCCCAGCCGAGCCAGACATGGGCCTCATCTTGTCCTTCGAGAATGAGGCATATCCGCAACCTGGATACCTGGGGAAGAGCACCAACCGCGAGGCCAAGGACCGTCTTCAAACCCGCGTGCCACCGCCCTCCGAGCGCTACCTCGACCCCTGGAAAAACATGAGCGACGAGCACAAGGAGATCGCGGCTGCGTACGAGACCATGCTGGAAGCGGCCTGCGACGCGGCGAAGAACAAGCGGAAGGGCAATGCCGCGCAGAAACAGCAGCAGCGCATGGAGCTCGAACAACGGCGCAAGGAGTCGCTGCTCCGGGCGCAACAGTACCTCGGCATGCGGCCCGCGGGACCGATTGACGCGTCGCTCAAATACGCACCCTTCAACCCGGACGCGGTGGCCCCGTTCGCATTTTGGAAAGACCCCATGTTCATCAGCGTGGACGTTGAATGGAACGAGCGCTGCCAGTCCCAGATCACGGAGGTGGGCATCTCGACGCTGGACATGCGGAAGCTGCACGGCGTGCGGCCCTCGTCGATGAACGGGCTCATCTGGCGCAATGCGATCCGGTCGCGTCACTGGCGCGTGCGCGAGTACAGCCACATCGTCAATTCCGAGTTCGTGAGGGGCTGTCCCGGGGACTTTCAGTTCGGGAGCAGTGAGTTCGTGGACCTGGCGCAGTTGAAGGCGGTCGTGCAGGGGATGTTCCAGCAGGTGGCTATCGCCGAGAAAAAGAAGGATGAATCAGAGGACCGGCATGTGGTGCTGGTTGGCCACAGTCTCGCCGCCGACCTGGAGCACCTGCGCAAACTCGGGGTGACGCTGGAGATGGTGCGCGATCGCCTGGACACAGCTGTGCTGGACTGCGTGATGCATGCCGATCCGCAGCAGCAGCAGCCGCCGATGCAGCCCCGGTCCCTGGGGGCGGTCATGACCGAGATGAACCTGGAGCCGTGGCATCTGCACAACGCGGGTAACGACGCGCGATATGCACTGGAAGCGTTGGTGGCTAGTATTCTGGGGTACAAGGGAGGCAACTAATGAATGTGATTGTGAGGGAGGTGTGATAGTGAGAAGATCGGCCACAGTGTATCCAGCAGCTTAAGTAGTGATCATAATGAAACATGCTTTGCATTCTTACATAGAAGCCAGTAGTGAAGAGGGGGCGGGACGGAGTATACTTGAACCCTAGCCGAAGCTTATCTTCTTCCCCAGTGATCCGATAAACTACCCCACCACCAACAACCACCGTCATCCCAAACAACCACCACACCACCCCAACCATAACCACCACTCCAACAATAACCACAGAAAAAAAATGACCCTAACAAAAACCCTCCTAACCCTCCCCCTCCCCCCCTCAATCCCCTCCTTCCAAACCGCAACGGCAACAGAAACCCACGGATTCCTCACCGCCGCCGCAAAGGGCACGCTGCCCAAACCGCGCCTCTCAGCCTGGCTCACGCAAGACCGGCTGTACATCCACGCGTACATCCGGTTTATCGGGCTGATGCTGGCTAAGCTGCAGCTCCCGGTCTCGCAACCCAGCAGCAGCGCACCCACACCAAAAGACCTAGAACACCAAACCCTCACCACCCTAACCTCAGCGCTGAACAACATCACGCGGGAACTCGACTTCTTCGGCACGGTCGCGAGGGAGTACGGGCTTGATTTGAATGCGTCGTTTGGCAGCTCCAGCTCCAGCTCTCCCACCGATAACAGCAGCACCAAGAAGGAAGCAGCAGAAACAGAACCAACAACACAAGCCTACACAGACCTATTCATCTCCGCGGGATCGGCGGGATCGAGTTTACTGGAGGGGCTAGTCGTGCTGTGGGCGACGGAGGTGTGTTATCTGACCGTGTGGCGGAACGTGCGGGCGGCGATGGCCCTGAACTCTCAGAATCAACAAGAGGATGCGGATGCGGATGGAGGGGCGCTGCGCGAGAAGCTGGTGCCGAATTGGACGTGTGCGGAGTTTGAGGAGTTTGTGGAGGGGATCACGGCGTTGGTGGATGCGGTTGCGGAGCGGGAGGTGCGGATCTTTGGGGAGGAGGAGGTTGTGGAGCGGTGTGCGCGGTGGTGGAGGCAGGTGGTTTGGTTGGAGGGGCGGTTTTGGCCGGATGTTTAAACAGTATTCAATTTGAGATTTCAGTTGTTAGGTGGGTTGGAGATTGATGATTTGTGTAGAATCCGATAAACGGTGGGAAAGAAACTGTGTAGGTATAGATGGGTATGTACTACATCAAATAAGAATGAAGACTACATCAAATCATTAGCAATATCTACAATTACATCAATACATACAGCCATGGTCCCGTATCCCTGCCCTCTTTCTTTAATGATGCCTCTCTGGCAGATAATCGCATAGCAAAACAAGACTCAGAAAAAAAAAAGAAAACAAAGCCATTTCATCACGACGTCGCCGCACTCGTACGCGCTGCATTGCTTAGCTGGCGGTGATACGATCCGATCGTTTGAAAGCCTCTGCAATCTGCATTAGTCTTAGAGTCTAGGAAACGAACTGTAGGAAGATGCCTACCTCGCCAAATCGAATCCGCTCTCGTCATCCTCCTCTTCCGCATCCGGGGCAGCGCCGCCTGGCCGACGGCCACCCTCTGGCTCGGGCTCCCGACGCGGTGGCGGCAACGCACGACCAGTGGCCATGCCCCCCGCCGTTCCGGGTTTGCTGGGGCTTGCCAAGTTGGGCGGTGGCGGACTGCTGCTCGGAATACTGCCTAGCACGTCCCCGGGATCTCCCTTGAGCGGACTCATATCAGGCACGGGTCGCGCCGGTGTGCTGCCGATATCCGCAAACTTCCAGAATTGCGCCGGCGAGCTCATTGGCATGAACTTGGACGGAATCTGCGCCGTGCTCGGAGGGGGCAGGCGCGGTTGTTGCCGCTGTGGGGCCGGGGTAATCATGGACGATGGTCCGTCATCGTAGTATGATGAGGACAAAACCGGAGGTGACCCCACGGCCGTGTCCGACAGACCATACGTCCGACTGAGACTGGTCCCATTGCTACCCGCATTCTTGATCGCTGATCGGGTCGGAAGCGGCGACGGCTCCTCGTAGTCGCGGGTATTCGGTGGACGTAGATTATGTTCTGCTGCTCCATTGCGGCTGGCGCGAGATCCGCGCTCGGGTGTGTATGCCTCTACTGGTGCCACGGGGAACGAGCTGAACCCCGGGGAGGACACGGGTGGGGACTTCTTGCTGCTGAAGACCGCTTCCATGCCGTTCGTGGAGCCCCTCCGGTCGGGGACTTTGGTCGCAGGAGACGATGGAGCCGACGATTGCGTACCCTTACGCAGCTGCTTCTTCCAATACTCTTCGCGGTGCTCGGGCGCAATCTGCCACTTCATTCCCTTACCCGGCTCGTCTGTCCGCCGCGGCACCTTTTGAAAGGCTTTGTTCAGCGAGAGATTGTGGCGAATCGAGTTCTGGAACCAATCAGCGACTTCACTAGCCCCATTGTGAATCAAGCACTCACCTGCCAGCCGCTCTGGGAATGTCGATAAAAGGCGTACTTATCCATGATCCAGTTATAAATATTGTTGAGGGTGAGCTTCTCCTCCTCACTCGAGAAGATGGCCTGTGCGATCAAATTCGCGTAGCTGTACGGTGGCTTGAGGTCCTTGGCCGCATCCTTACTGTAGTCAATCTCCTCCGTGCTCTCCATCATCATGCCCCGGTTATATAGAGGCGACTGCTTGGCGGTACGAGCCCCCACCGTGTCGGGCGACCGTGGCGGGGGAGTCACTTGTCGCTTGAGGAACTGCGGTGCGGGAGCCAGCGATGGCGGGGCGGGTGCGGCACTGCCAGCGGTGGTGGCCGAGGAGTGAGAGGTATGGGGATGGGCGTGTTGACTGGCTTCCCAGGCAGCGGGATCTTCCTCGCCGTTTGCCAGTCGCTGTGCCCGCTCCACAAAGCTGGGGTGAATGGTCGCCTTGTCACCCGGGGTGACGAACATCATCTGGGTGTTGGCAATCTCGATAATGTCGCCGCAAGAGAGCACGGCGTCGGTTCCGCGCTTGAGGATGACGCTGTTGAGGCGCACCCCATTGCGACCGTTGACGCGGATGTGCCACGAGCCCGTGTCCTCACCATCGTAGAAGATCTCCGCATGCAGGCGCGAGACAAATTTGCTGGGACCCAGATCGACATTCACCTCAGGCAGGGCGCGCGCGGCGATCGTGACGGGACTCGACTGCTCATCTAGCTTCTGTTCACGGTCGGGTTCGCGACCGATGTTGACATGGAGGGTTTTCACATAGTAGGTCCAATTGCGACCGGCAATTTTGGCGTAGGCGCGAATGCTCTGCTCAGCCTCCGTCTTTGTGTTGGAGTAGTCGCGGAGGACTCGGACCTCTTCGCGGGCGGCATCTAAATATGAGATCACCATCTCCACGAGGTCCTGATTCTCCGCCAGCTCGTGGTCATCGTCGGCTTCGTCGGCGGATTCGGGCTTTATTGGGCGCGTCTGGGGGGAGACTCGAGGATGATCGACCTAACCGCGGCAAGAGACGGTCATTAACTAATTCTTGTCGCAGACTTTGTTTCTTCCAGTTCGCCTCAGCACTCACCTTGCGCTTCTTATTTGACGGCCGCGTTGGCGACGAGTCCGGAGCCTCCGCGTCAGATGTTTCCTGCAACTGAATTTCCTTGCGCCGCGCGCGGCGGCGATTCGATAAAGGCATGCTGCAAAACACGGACGGGCGATCGGTTGTTGTTGTTGTTGTCGTTGGCGATCCCCCACGAAAGTCGTTTCGGCGAGCGTTGCGGAGCGAGATGGGTTATTGTTATCGTCGGTGGTGGTCGTGGTCGTGGTGGAGAAGGGTCGCAAGTGGCCGGGGCAACAACACAAGAACAGGGAAAAGAAAATCGCAGACGATGAAGAGCGAAAGCACCCGTGACGACCAGCCGAAAACGAGAACAGTAGGACGAATGGAAACCGGGATGGCAGGTCCAGGGTTGTTGACCCAAGGGTACGGTTTTGCCACCGCGCGCACGAAAGAGACGCGATTTGACCGTGAGTCGTGACTAGTGAGAAGAGTAGCGAGTGAGACTAGAGGGAGAGTGCGAGGGAGTGAGCGAGAGAGAGTGGCCAGCCACCGCGGGGGGAGGTCGGGATTGCGCCAAGCACGTTCAATAGGGCTGGGGGGGGGAAAGGGAAGAAGAAAGAAGAGAAGAGTGGGTAGATTTAAATAAAAAGAGGAAGAAGGGGAGGAGAAAAGGGCGAGATAAGGAAAGAAGGGAGGAAAGAATGGGAAAGTTAGATCAAGACAATCAAGTTGTATGGGAAGAGGAGTTGTAGTCAAAGAAGTCGAGGTAGAAGTAGAAGAAGTAAGTGATGATGATGACGCTGAGAATGAATCAGCCAGAAGGGAATGGGATGAGAAGGAAACGCGCCTGAGTCAAGCAGTCAATCAGTCTGTCAGTCAGTCATGTGGGGAGCCTGGAGCTGAGGTGTGCCGTCACTGCCAGATTGAAGTGAGTTGAGTATAAAGCCTTTCAACTTATTGAGTGGGTGAGAGAGTGAGTGCTTTCTCCCTCCTCTCCTCAAGTTATCAACCAACCAACAATACAATTGTAATGGCTCTCCAATTCTCTCTCTCTCTCTTTTTTCACCTTTTTCTCTCTTCTTCTCTCTTCCTCTTTCTTTTTTCTCTTTCTTCCTCCTCCCTTCCTTGGCTTCCCTCCTCAGCCCTATTATATACAGTCTAAACACTCCACTAGATCCAAATACGACGCCGTAAACAGACGGTGGATCCCCTTCCTCCTAGAAGCCAGCCAGCAGACAAGCAGGCAAGCAGACAAGCAAAGCAAAGCAAAGCAAAGCAAAGCAAAGCAAAGCAAGCAAGCAAGCAACATCACAACAAACCATGCCCATGCAAGGATGGCCGGCTGTTGACCCTTTGCCGGATGCAGTCAGTCTCTGACTGTCCTTGAACCAGCAAGCAATCCCTGAATGAGCGATCCGTCAACAGGCAGTGTTCTTCCGGCCATTGAACCCATCCTCTCACCCTCTCACGCGCCCCCCCAAGTCTATAAGCTTCCTTTCCCAAAGTCCACAAGACGGGCCAGAGTCAAGCGGAGTTGGTCGGATGCGCGGGCGGGTTTTGAAAATACCTAACCTAATTGAACGAACCTACCTACCTACCATTATGCAGGACCAGCATCATCTCCCTCGTTCCAACTCCTCGGGGCGGCTCTTGCTTCTCCGTGTGCGACTTGACTTGCTGCAGTGCTGTTTCTGCTCGCCTTCGGTACCAAGAGCCTCTTCTCACTTACGATTGTAGAAGGCTGGTCTCGACCATCCCCGGATTAGGAAAAGGCCAATGGCTCTTCCTTCAGAATGGTTGCGTCATGGTGGCCGCGTGCAGCTCGTGTGGAATGCGGATCCCACTCCCTAATGGTAACATCCTGGTTGCACTCTCTCGCCCTGGATTCCCCTCCTCTCTCTTTCTTTACTCTCCGGATGAAAAGTACAGTGGAACAGTCAAAAAGTCACCTAAGTCAACAACATGGTTCCGATCTCATCACTGGTCAACAACCAAAGGTCCATGAATTTATGTTCCCAGTAAATACAGGTTCATATACACAAATAACACAAATGATACCCAGCCCACCGGGACCGCCTTCCTATTGAGGCCGGCTCCCGATCTCGGGCGCATCGGAAGTCGCAAACAAGCAGAATCAAAGCTAACCCGCAATCGCCCAGAACGAAGTGTTCGTAGCATAGCCGTAGATAATAAATCAACACAATGAGAAAAAGTGGGGAGAAGTGCCGTATAGAAATAGATACCAAAATAAACCCGCCGGACAGAAAGAGGTCAAGAGTAACATCGCAAACTCCGCTTTGCCAAAGCCCATCCATTTCCCTCTCCCCCTAACGCATCTTGGAATCACCATCCTCATCCATTCGTAACGTCGGGTACATTACTACATCTCCTGCCTCCGATTTCACTTCCGGCTTGGCTGGTACCGTCTCGGCCGACGTGATCTCCACCCCTTCCATCTGGCTTCCTGAGGCCGACTCTGGGCTCCGTTCCTCACGAGCCCGCTGGGCCTCGTTCTCGTACTCACCCCGTTCCAGCCGGGAAGCGATGTAGTTACGCAAGTACTCGATCAGTCGCACCTTCTCCACCCACTGCACATCAGCCCGCTCTGCCACCTCCGTCGCCGCCTGAGCGGTCCGGAGTGTTGCTTCAGCCTCTGCAGCCGCTCCCGACAGCGCCGGGTCGATCAGGCTGGCGGAAATGCTTTTGTGTGTCGGTGAGGACGCCCGCTCCTTAGCGGGAGGGGTGCGCTCGCCGTCTGTCTTCCTGTCATCCTGCGACAGGTCCATGGCATCAGGCATGGAGCGTGGCTCAGGGCGTGCGCGCTGCAGCGTGCCACCGGTATATCGGCGTCGGTCGTCGTGGTCAAAGATACCTCCCAAGGTTGAAGGCGGCGCAGCGCCAGATGTGGTGGGGTAGCCCGCTGTCATGCTTTCCGACATGGTAGCTGAAGGCAGGCGCGGGTACATGTGGCCGCCTTCATGGTGAGGTGGCGAGACGCGGGTGGCCGACGGCAGAGAGATCGGGGAGCGACCGGAGGTGTAAGACTGTGCACTGGAGGGAGGAGTGAGAGCGGGAGTCCCGGTGGAAGGAGAATGCGTGGCTGGATTGGGCATCATGGCGCTAGCCGCTGTCGTGGCCGCCGCATGACTCGGGGGCAACTGCGTAGGCGGCGAGTGAGTGGTGCGATAGCTTAGACCTCCGTGGACGTAGTGGGCGCCGGGCTGGGCGACTCCAGCTGCGGCAACGTTGTCATCGTTCTCGTAAATGGTGTCCTGCATCTGCTGCAAGAACTGGTCGATGTTGATGAGATCGTTCTTGGTCCGCACATTGCTCATAGGGGGCAGGTGATACGACGGAGCAGAGGGATGGCCTCCAGGGCTGTATCCACCGCCACCTACAGCAACGGGAGCAGGCATTGCTTGGTACTCTGGCAGAGGCCCATTGCTCAAGACCGGCAGGGACAGGCTCTGCAGGCCCATCAACCGCTGGCCCACGGCGGCATACGAGTTCGGGTCAAACTGACGACGCTTCAAATCACCGAAGAATTCGTTCAGAGCATCATAGCCACGCTTCTTCGACTCGTACGAGGTGTGACCGGCCTCCGGGCCGTGGTTCAGAGCGTAGTAGACGTTGCCATAGGATGGGTTGGATGGTTGATGCGGTGGATGAGATTGGTAGTATTGGGGGGCACCATGGCCATAGCCCTGGCTAGGGACTGGGTTGATAGCGGGCTCGAAGTAATGAGCAGCAGTTGCGTACCCTATGATGATCCGTCAGCAGATTCGATGAAAGAAGAGATTACATGCGACCGGATACCTTTCGCGCCACCTGCGAACATCATGTCTGGATTCCGAGAGCCAGGCTCTGGGGAGCGAACCAGAACGGAATCATCGGCATGGGTCTTGACGTGCTTCTTCAAATCCTGGGGACGCTTGAAGGCCTTGCCACAGAACTCGCACTTGTGTGGCTTGAGCGGCACATGGACACGAATGTGAGAGGTGATATGATCGCGCTTGACAGTTGTCGTCCGGCAGCTACCCCACTGGCAGGTCAGGTTGAGGTTGTTTGTACTCTTGCGGCCGACATGACGCTCGCACACATGTTCCTATCGCACCAAAGCGGTCAGCGGCGGTTCATTTTCCCCCATGATGATGACCAGTCGAGCCGACACGTGGCCGGTTACTCGAAGGTGTCTCAAGAGCCAGAGAGGAGAGTGGAAGCGGAGAATGGCCGGACACAACTTACGTAGAGAGCCTCGGGAGATGGGCATTTCTCAGTACAGCCCTGCCAGAGACAGGACAGTTCCTCAGCTGGGCGAGTGGCGTTGGCGCTGCCGTTGATGGGAGGACTAGCCACAGCAGCAGTCGCCGCAGCAGCGGTGGCAGCGGCCGAGGCAGCGGTGGCCGAAGAGACCTGAGGAGATTGCTGGGCAGGGGCAGCAGCAGCAGCAGCAGCAGCAGCAGGCTCTTGGGAGGCAGGGGGGGCAGGTACGGGGGCGGCCGCCGTCGAAGGGGACGTAGTAGTGGTGGTGTCTTGGGGTTCCGACATTGCCAAGAAAATTCTGTTTCTTGTCCCTGTCTTGGAAGGCAGCGGAAGTAGACAAGCGACTCAACACAAGACCCCAACGGGGACACAATCAACAAGCACGACGAACAAAAACAGGAGCAGATATAAATGAAGCGATGGAGGTTGTATATTCCACGGGAGGGGAGTAGGGGAAAGGTTGGCGAAGACTCTCGGAAGATTGGGGGACGCGGTGAGAAGCGTCAAACAACAAAGAGTCAGTCAGACACGCGCACCGATGCGGCAACCGAGTCCAGCGACCAAGAAGGTGGGGAAAGCGCCTAAGAGGCTATAGTTTCCAATGTAGTGAAGCTAGGCGAGAAGTGACTAGATATAGGCAGAATAAATGGTTGGAAAACCACGAGGGGTCGTCAAACAGGGGAAAGATGAGCGAGTATGGTTTGTAGAGAGAGAGAGAGAGAGGAGAGAGAGAGAGAGAAAGGGGAGGAGAACTGAGTAAGAGGAGGGGAGCAGAAGAATCAGGGGAGGGAGGAAAGTCTTGGGGCCGAGACGAGGAGGGGGGGACGAGCCTTGCCTAGAAAAGGCGCAGCTCAACCGGGCGGAGGGGAGAAAGGACAAGAAAAGAAGAAAAGGACAGGACTGGGCATTGTCCGGGCCAAGAAACACCGTGCGGGGCTGCGTGGCGTGGCATGGAAAGTTTGGACAGGCACTCCTTCAAAAACACAACAGAAATATGAGTCCAGACAGTGCTGCACTTACTACGCAGTACCCACTGCTGGATAGATACAGACAACAAACTGATCAGTCATGTCATGTCTAGGCTGATATCATACTGGACTTCACCTTCACTGTCAACTCTCCCCACAATCCTCTTATTGCGAACAGACACACATCCAATCCACACTTACTCTCACACACCCACACCCACACACCAAGCAAAAAATTAGTCTCCCAACTAGTGCCGGCCGGAATGGTTAGGGTAGGGATTCGAAACTAGTCCTGGTGGGCTTGAACGAAGCCTCGAATAACCGTTCCCGTCCACCCTGGTATTGACACATGGACTGACTGACTGACTGACTGACTGACTGACTGACCTTAGTCGGCCCTGCTAATTGTCTAGGTCAAGTTGTGTTGTGTTGTCTGACAGCCCCGAGTCTGACACAGACTAGAGTCACTAGATCAGACCGAACTAGACTAAACATTCCAACTTCTTTCTCTCCCCCGCATAAGAACTTGCCAATTGGAAGTTGGCTAAGTTACCCTTCTTGGCTCGCCATCCGGGTTCCCCCCCGTTCCTTGTCCGATGATTCAAACTGGAAGGAATCAATTCCTGCCTCTTTCGTGAGGCACTAGTGGAGCCTGTTCTCGTGTCTGACATTTGGAGCCTGTGAAGGAGAGGAAAAGACCACCTAACGAAGTCTACGATCTATTTTCACGGAATTATCCCATCGCTCCCACTCCACCAATAAGTCCGATTGCCAATTCTCCAAAATTGACACAATGACAGGAAGGGATGGGATGAATTCGAAATGTCTGAGGGGGAGCCAAAATACCAAGTAATCCCTCCCTGCCTCTCTTGGCACCCCTTCTCCCGCCCCGAGAGGGTGCAGGTCTTGGGACTCTTGGACTCTTGGACTCTTGGACTCTTGGGATTCTTGGGATTCTTGGGACTCCTCTTGGAACGCTTGCTTTCCCCTTTTAGTCAGATGGTTCCGGTCTCTCCGGGGAGAGAGGGGAAAATGCTTGCACTTGAAAGGTTTCATGCATACACCCATCCACCCACCACAACTACCAAATTCATGAAGTACAGTGTAGTAAAGGGTGCACACTGCACACTAAAGGTACACTACAAGTCTACAACCTACGCCGGTGAACTGACTGACTGCGATGAGTGGTGGTACAAGAGAAGAGTTAGTGGATCCTGCTGGGCTCGTTCGTTTCACCCCCCCTCATTCGCCCCGTGTGCTTATTATTGAGTCGGATGCTCGTTCACTCCGAGCCGGTACTAAAATAATACACCCATGACCCAACAACCCTGAATGAATAGCACGCATTCATAATTCCTGCACCCCATAAAACACAATTATTTCACTTCAATAGAGCATATCAAGCAATTCTCGGCCCCTGACTTACCCGAGAGAGAGAGAAAGAGACAAGCTCCCCCGCTCCCCCTGTAAACAAGAAAGTAACTCAGCCCAACGACCTCAAAATGTCTCTCCAGGGCTCCCATCACATTCTACTTCTACTGTAGGAAGGTTACACCACCAAAAAAAATCAAGAATTATGCGAGTCACCTGCAGATTTTTTATCGCTGAAAGGAACTTACCCGCCCGTGCCCACCCCCCCTCATCCGATCGCGTCACGGAATATTGAGTACAGTACCTGTACATGGCTTGGCTTGGCTTTTGCTTTTTTCCCCCGGGAGGTGGCGGTGCTTTGCTTTGGGTAGAGGGCCCCGGGTTTTCCCACCCTTTGTTCTTGGTTCCAAGCGCCCCCACCAGAATATGCAGGGCCTCCTGCAGCATTATAGTCAGCGGGAGGGATTTATTTTTTTGTTTTTAGGCATCCACATTTCGCCGTTATGCATGGGATTTTGAACTGGTTTGAAGGAAGAATTAGAAAAGGATAGACACGTAGAGGGGAGCTAATTATATCTGTAGTCACTCGACCTTTACTGGTAGCATTCTACTACTGTAAGTACTCTTGACACTGAGCAGACACAGATCGACAGAAACAAGCGTATCAAAAATGGAAAAAAGAAAATATATCCAGGTCTATGCTCTATCATATATATATACACAATTGGTCTAGATATAAACAAACCCCGCAAAGTGAAAAAGGCTAATGATTCAACAACAGCAACAAAAGTCCACCCCTCATCAGGCGGCTTTCATGTTCTCCTGCTCCTGGGCTTCGGGCTTGTCGAACATGCCATCTTTGATCTCCGCCCGGAAGCGCTCCTCCTCTTCCTTCAGCTGCTCCTTCAGCACAGAGTGCGCCCGCCAGACCGGCTTGATCTTGAACAGCTGGTCGGTGACCTCCAGAGGGATACCGCTGGTCTCGGGGATGAGAAAGAAGGCGAAGAAGAAGGCCAGGAAAGACAGCGACGCGAAGAAGAAGTACACGCCGTATCCCATCTTCTCGAACATCTGCTCCGTGAAGCGGGAGACCAGGAAGTTGAACAGCCAGTTGCTGGCCGTGGTCGCGGCCTGCGCCACGGAACGGATATTGGGGTGGAAGAATTCCTGCCAAGGTGAGTCAGTCATTGGTTCGAGGTGTCAAGTGAGAAACATGGAAGAACATACCGCGTTGATGACCCACGGGGTACCGTTCCATGTAGGGGTGTAGACGGCCGTCCAGAGGTAGAAGAAGAAGATCGCAGCGATACCGCCGCCGTTGAGGTGGTCCCGAGGGTGCTTGGTAGGCTCGACCACACAGATATAGGCGCCGATAATCCACATGCAAACCGAGCCACAAATTGCACCGATGAGCAACAGCTTACGACGGCCGAGCTGGTCAACAAGGAAGAGTAGCCAGAAGATGGTGATGACGGCCTTGACGACACCGAAGATACCGTTCAAAATACCCTTCGTGTTGCCTTGGACACCGATACTTTCGAAGATGGTCGGGCTGTAGTAGTTGATAGCGTTGATACCGGATCCGTTCTGCCAGAAGAACAGCATGCAACCCAAGAAAAGACGGTACTGCAAGTTCTTGGCTTGGCCCAAAGCCTGGAAGGGCTTCCAGAAGCCCACACCAATGGTGGCCTTCTGTTCCTCTAGTGACTGATCCATAGCGGCGATTTCCTCGGTGATGTAGATATCAGTAGGCTCCAATTGACGGACCCAGCACAGGTTCTCAATGGCCTTCTCGCGGTGACCCTTGGTGAACAACCAACGGGGGGATTCCTTCATCCACAGGGAGCCAAGGAATAATAGGCCAGATGGAATGATCTGGATCGCAAAGGGAATGACCCATTGCTTGCGGCTCGCAGGAATAGTTTGCTCAACACCATACTAGAGGCAGGAGAAGTTAGCCGGGAAGAATCCAAAGAAGAAAAAAAGATTGCTGGAGACAGCAGAGACTAAGTCGAATGCACATATAACTTACGTTGATCCAAAAACCGACCATACCACCAACTTGCCAGCCAAGTTCATACAGACCGACAAGTCGGCCTCGAATGGCGGGAGGGGCTAGTTCGGAGAGGTACATCGGGACAACATTGGAGGCGACACCGGTACCGAGACCGGCCAACACTCGACCCGCATAAAGGATGCCGAGACCGGTTGAGCTAGAAGCACCCATTTGCAACCCGGCACCGAGAACAAAGACAGCCGAAGCAATAGTCAAACTCCACTTGCGCCCCCCATAGTAAGAGATACCATAGGTAAATAGAGCTCCGAAGAAAGCCCCGGCAATGAAGAGAGAGACAATGTTTTCACTGATCAGATTTCTTTCAGCGGAAGACTTTTTGTCCAGGCCGAACTCGGCCTTGAAGGAATCCAATGTGATGGTCGTGCCGATGAAACCACTGGTGTACCCGATCATCTGGGAACCGCAGGTTGCAATTGCGGCCAATGCATACACTCGCCAGTTGTAGACAGCCTTCGGCGTAGGCCGGTCTTCAACCAAGTGAAGAATGCCACCCATTGCTCTGGGTGAGGGGAGGAGAAGGGGAGGGTGGGAGGGGAGGAGAGAAAAGAGGAGAAGAGATGCGTAGTCCTATGAGCGAATCCCGAAATTCCTTCAAGTAAGCGAAAGGATAGAGGAATGGAAGAAGAGAAAAGTGTCCTTGCCAACAGAGACAAGAATAGGGAAGACGATGGAACTAGATATGGGAGAGAAAGTTCTGAGGGCGGAAGTTGAAGAAGAATGAAAAACTGGTCGAGACGGGCCGGGCCCCTAAGGTAATTATCTACAGTGAGCGACGCATCAACGCTGAACCGTGTGGATTCCGATTCTCCTCTCTTTCGAACACTCTCCACAATTCATGTCGTGACCGAAAACCCCATCTGGGGAGAGTCAACATGGGGGTTCCTGTGAATAGCACGAATTTGATACGTCAACCAGGCAGCTAATAGGCCCTCCTCATGCAAACTATTGCCATGATTCCCACAAAAGGTCGCCCCGTGATGTGGGAAACTGGGTCGGGGGAGAGTTTTCCCCAGACTGACTATGTCTCGCTTAGCCGGCGCGGAGAAGTTCTTGCGAAGGAAAACATTCAGCCGCAGATCTAGGGTGTGGGGCCGAAGGTAAAACTTTTCTCTGCAAAGGAGAAGGTATATAATCGTGGTCGCCCCCATGACTGGACATTTACCCGACAGATCCGGTGCCTGCGAAAGCAAATAACCATTGGAGAGGGAGGCGTCATGGGAAAGGGCTGCTTGCTCAGTGGCCCTGCAAGTTCCAAGGCAGAGTGGCAACTGGGCCGCCGTGAAGACTTTGCCGGTGGACCAACCCACCCTCGGGCGAACTCTATTTCTGGTCTTAGAAGAGCTTTAATCTCTACCAGGCTCGCGAACTCGGGGTGCCGATCTCGTCTTTTGTCTGGAACGGGCCCAGCGTTGCTGTCTTCGGCCTCGCCTCATGTCGGCTCGTTCACGAATCAGAACCTAGGAGTTGAGCATCGGTACGCCGCAGCGCGGTCCACAGACAGATTAAGCGACATCTCAAGGCCCCCTATCAAGCTCCCGGGAGGACTTAGCCGGCGTCTGTTCTAGGATATTAGTCATGTACTAACCAGTCAGTTGGACGGGATGAAGCCTTAACCCCATTTTTGGATGGAGACCTCCTCGGGAGCGAGCCGACTAAGCCGAGAAGTGTATAAGTCTGGTTGCCGATCAAGGTTTGGTCCGCGGTGGGATCGGACGCCGGTGAACGAGCATATCGACAGATTGAAAGTCAAGCGTTGGTCGGCCTGGAAACGTAATGGCCTAGATAGTGATTAGTTGACGAGATATGTATTCCCGGATCGAGCCGGATGGAGAATGAATGCATCGTTCACCCGGCATAGACTGAACAAGTGTCTTCTAAGAGGTTCGAACAGGAGAAGAAGCTTGCTGAAGACAAAGGAAAGTCAAGTGGAGAGAGCATGTAGAGCGACAGGCTGAACTAACCGGGCTGGGCAATGCACGCGCGGCTTAACTCAGCCATGAGCATGTCGTTTTACGTAGCAGAAGCGCTTATCCTACCCTACACCAATCCGGATGATAATGAGTAGTAGGTGTGGTCAATCCCAAATAGGCTAGTTGTCAGCTGACCGGATGTCCCTTTAGACGGCGGGGTTTGTCTCTCTCCCACGCGGGCTCAAGAACGCTTCTCCGCGTTGACGCTGGTTCTGGAAGACTGAAAACGCGGAGTCTCCGCATGTGATCATCGTTGCTTCTTTTCAGCTTCTGTCTCTGGCTCTCACTGGACAGCATGACGAAAGCAGCGGTAAAGATCCTTTTGACTCCGGATTACTCCATGACGCCATGGTTTTTGGAGACCCCAGACGGGACGCGGAGGAAGGCCCCGAGCATGGGATGAACTATTGCTTGTGGCAAGCCCGCATCGTCGTGTGCCTGGGAAAACCTTCTAGACGGATGTGGCCTGTGTGTGCTGACTACAATTCGGGGACAGGATAAACACAAACTCATCAAGTTGACAGAAGGAATTGGTTCTTCCTCGGAGATAACAGCCTCTCGGCTTGAGCAGCGTTGCGTGACTAACAATGGATGCACACCTCATTCTAGCTTATGCATATGCATAAGCCTAATGCAAAGACTTATCACATCATCTCTTTCCAGGCCTTCCGTCCAACACGATAGGAGCAAGCAGACACTCAACCATCAAGGGATGATTTGATCAATATGCCGAAGATTTCGCTCTCCACCCTCTTCTCATCTCTGTTCTACCTCCTCCCCGCATATTTCTTCGTCCTCGCACCTCTCCTCCGCCAAATTTTCCCTGCGTCATCCACTGGAAATATTTTCGACCTCGAACCCGAGGCCGCCGACGGAGCAGAGCCCGATTCGGACCTTAACCTCGATCCGGAGATCCTCAGTCTTCCGGATGGAGTCATTCCGACTTGTCCCCCGGATAACTACCGGGTTCATCTCTTACAGAAAGATCCACTGGTGATCTACATCGAGGACTTCTTGTCGGCGGAAGAAACGGATCACCTCGTCAATATAAGGTACGTACTGTACTTCCGCCATGCAGCTATATCCAATCCCTGCAACATCCCGGATCTGCATCACCTACACCCGCAATCTCCCCAATTCAAACCTACCCTCACCCAAGTGACCGACTAACACCCAAGCAGTAAAACCAATTACACCCTCTCCCCAATCTACAACGGCCAAACCACCACCCACGACCCCTCGACCCGCCTCTCCGACCGCGCCCTCCTCCCCCGCGACAACACCGTCCGATGCCTCGAAGCCCGCGCCGCCGCCTTCCAAGGCTGGAAGCCTCACCTCTACATCGAACGCATGTGGGCCCAGCGCTACAACACCTCCGGCCACTACGTCCACCACTACGACTGGGTCGGATCCGCCGCCCGCGGCGGGGATCGCCTCAGCACATTCATGGTTTACCTGGGCGATGACTGCGAGGGCGGGGGCACGAACTTCCCGCGGTTGCGGATGCCTCGCGGCGCCGCGGCCAGGGAGGAGTGGTGTCGGTTCTTGGAGTGTCCGCCTCCTCCTGCGACTGCTGCTGCTGCTGCTGCTGCTGCTGCTGCTGCTGCTGCTACTTCCTCGACGGGGGAGCACAAAGATGCTAAGGTGGATCATGCTGCTGCTGCTACTGCAGCCGCCGCCGCTCCTACTCCTCAGGGAATTACCTTCAAGCCCATCAAAGGCAATGCTATCTTCTGGGAGAACCTGCGGCCGGATGGCTCGGGACACCCTGAGACGTGGCATGCCGCGTTCCCGGTGACTTCCGGAACGAAGATCGGGCTGAATATCTGGAGTTGGTATCAGCCGCCTCGACGGAGAAGAAGCTGATCGCTTCTCTTTTTGGTGTCTAATTGGATACTCTTCCCGTTTTGGATATATATATCTATATGCTGGAGCTGTGTACGATATGACAGGGATAATTCTGTCGCGATATAACGAGTGCATTGTTGTGCATCATGCATACAGAAAGGTAAGTCATAATAAGTCTAAATGTATAAGCATAACCTGTGTTATATAGATCATCAATCATATTCACAATTAGCAACATAAGAAGAAAAATTCTCGGACACAAAAGAGATGCTAAAAGAAAATCAACTCATGCCCAATGACCCCAAGCAACATCCGACGCCAACCGGAGAAACTCCCAGACCAAACCAAAACAATCCCTTCATAACATTATGATCCTCATCACGAACGGTTCCGAACCAAAAACGACATATACAAAACATATGGGTATTTTGATTAGTACTTTTCCTTTTGTTTCTTTGCTCTGGAATCATGAAGTATTGTTCATAAACTGCAACCATTCCTCATTGCTGAAGCCGCCGGGCCGGCAAGGGTCGGCATTCCCGAAGATATCGTCGAGCGGAAGGCCCAGGTCCAAGCCAACTCCCAGCGAGGTGCTGTCTTGGGCACCCATTCCGAACTGTGCCAGTCCGGTCGGCGTAGCCGTCGAGGGGACCGTATCCGCGGCGAAGTTGTTAGTGGGGGGTTGGAAGTTGTAGCCTTGCCACATGAAATTTTGGTTGGGCAGGGAGACCAAATCGGGGCTGTTGACGGCTTCGACGCCATTGCCCGGGGTCGAGCCGTGGGAGACGGGCGACTGCAGTCGCGAGTGGCTGATATGCTGCGGTGGCTGGTTGGGCAAGCGGCCCGGCAGACTGGAGTTGATGACCCCCGGGTTTCCGTTGGAGAAGACGCTGAAATTGCCGAAGCCGTCCAATGTGGGAGTGGATACTCCCATTGTGCTGACGGAGCTGTTGTCGGTCGTTGAGGCTAGTCCGGGGGCGAAGGACGTGGTGCCTGCTGGGTCCTGGCGGAAGTGGTCGTTCTCCAGCGTTGACATTGGTTGTGTTGGGTAGGCGAAAGGATCGTCCGACGGGAACATGATGGGCATCAAGTCTGGGAATTGACTGGGGTTCGCGAATGCGTGCGCTCCGAATGGATTTGCGGTGGCATCGCTCAAGGCAAGAGACATTGATACGGGAGATGCGCCTGTCGACGCTGGCGTCCTGTCAGTGTTGGATACGATATCCGACGGCGTTGACACAGCATCGGCAGGCGGCTCGGGTGTGGATGGTACCCACGTCTGAGTCTGGGGCAGACTTGGGCGTACACTCGAAGCAGGACTACGACTAGCAGCAGCGGCACTATCGTCGAAGCTCTTAGGGGTGTTGCTGGCCTCTTGCTTGGCCGAACGGCTAAGCAATTGCGTCGGAAATGTGTTGGCTCGCTGCGGCGGCGGCATGTCCAAGGGCACGGAGGCGGCGCTCTTGGCGGGTGGTGGGCGGTGGTGATGGCCGGACGAGGGGGCGGGCCGCTTCAGGCTTGCCCGCTTCTTCGCACTTTGGCGGTTCTTGAGCAACTCCGGGAGGTTTTTAAAGAGACCATTGAGACTCTGAGAGCATCGGTCTGCCGCCAAACTCTTTTTCGCCAGCCCTGCCAGAGTATTTTTGCCTTCCATGGCGTCCTTAAGAACGCCGTCCTTGGCGGTCGGAGAGTCGGGGTTCTCTAGCACAAAAAAAAGCAGCGATAATATGGCGAAGTAAGTGGTATACATGGTAAACCAGAAAGATCCGTTGAGTAGCCCTCTCTTATGCATGCCAGTCGTGATATGTACGATGTTGCGCGACACACTGACACACGCCGCAGCGCAGGCGTAGGAGCGCCGGTCGACCCCACGCGCTTGTGAGCCACTGGAGACATAGTGAAGGAAAGGTCGGTAGAGTATGACCTGGACATGGGCGTAGCTAATGCGGAGTAATTGACGGATGCTACGGACAGTCAGCCAAAATAACGGGTCTAACCTCAAGAAACCCAAGAACTTACCGTTCGAGCTGCGGAGAGACCTCCGTCCCCGGTCGCAAAGCCGCGGGAAGCTCCTCCATCCAAGCCTGAAGATCCCTCTCAATTTCCCTAATCTTCGAGTGGCTGACCACGTAGCGCTGATCCGATCCAACAGGATGTTGCGCCTTCTTCACCGGGTAGATGTACTGCACAACCTTGAGGATGATGTTGGTCAACCGCGTATGCGCGTTGGCTCCGGCCATCAGAGGGGTATGGTCCGACGGCATGGTCAGGATGCCATTCTTGGTGATAAACTCCGAATCGACGGATTCTGGATAGACCTGGTCAATATCGTCGTCGTTGAGCATCAGAGGTAGGCCGAGTAGCGTGCTGACGTAGACATCCATTCTGCGTATCGTCCAGAAGATGCGTTTGCGTAACTCCTGCTCAAGGGGTGTAAAGTGTATCGTCACGGAGCGGTGCAAGCCCAGCCGTAGAGCGGCTCGTTGTGCGATACCAATATAGGAGTAGCATGTGCTGAGTTTGGCGGAGGATTGCAGGAACAGGATCATGAAACAGATAGCCTGCAGAGAAGTCAAGTCGCGGCAGTCGGTGATTTCCAGGAGCTGGCGACCTGCTTTGAAGTATTGAAACCTAGAATTAAACCTTAACTTTGAAACCCTGAACGATTCCAAGAGGGGAGCAACCTACCCTTGACCGATAGCACCCTCATACCCGGAGATATCCAACGGACTGGACCCATCATCGGAGAACAGACACCCCACGGCCATTACGATATAGAGCAGCGGTAAGAAAGAGTTCTCCTCGTTGCTAAACTGCTCCAACGGGGTATCATAGACTCGATCAAACATGGCGTAAAACGTGGGTTCATGCACGAAGCGCATGAGCGCGCAGCCATCGTCCAAGGAATTGTGGCATAGTCGCCGAGCAACTTCTTTCGAGGGAAGATCGTGAGTGGGTGGCAAAGACGCGTCTTGTGGTGATTCAGATGAGGACTTGGGGCTGTCGAAGAGTGTTTGCGTGACCGGTCGCGATCGGAGGGTCGGCAGCGGCATGTCGGAAGCTCCGAGCTGTTTCCGCAGGCGCCGGATGAACGTCATACCAGAACTGTGCCCGTGATAGTCCCAGTGTCCCTGGTCATCCAGGTCGAGATAACCGGAATTGTCGACCATCGATTCAAGCAGCGACTCATCACCGCCAGTCCCGTCAGCTGCCGTATCGTCAGCGGGAGCGGGGGCCGGGGGCTGGGAGCCGTTCGTCGTCACAGCTGGCGCAGATGATGCAGCAGTTGGCTGCGGCTGCGGCTGCTGTTGCTGTTGCTGTTGCTGTTGTTGCTGCTGCTCCCGGTCAGGCGGTGGCTTTTCGCGCTTGATGGCAGCCAGCATCTGCTCGGTGGCATGCACGTCGAATTGTGGATCGTCCAAATCCAAATCCGGAAGCACCACGCGCAGTAGGGCTTCCGCTTTGTGCAGTCGATTTTCCAGAGCTTCAACATACTGCGGGGCGGGATTTCGGCGGCGGTTGGAAGGTTGATCGTAGGTGCACTCTATAATCGACCCAACCTGATGAGCGACTACGGTCGGAGAGCTCTGCCCGGGAGGAACGGAAGACTTACCGTAGCTGTAGACGGTGCAGTGGGTGCAGGGTTGCTTGCCGTCGCATTTGATCTTCTTGCGACGACATTCATCACAAGCGCGCGTTACCCGACGGCGCTTTTGCATGGGCAGCGGTTCCTTGACGGGCTTGAGTCCCTCGTCCCTCATGGGTAGATCATCTTCGTCATGAAGCGCAGAGGCGGCGGCATCGACATCATCATGGGAAGCGAAAAACGGATCGGAGACAGCGGAGGGATCATCCTCGTTCGCAGGGTCGGCATTCATCTGACCGGATGGGGAGGCCATGAGGGGGAGGGAGACAAGTGAAGCGGGGAGCAAAAGAAGATCTCACGGCGGTCGGCGCAAAGGTATGCAAGGGGGGATGAATAAGACGGAGATCCGATCGGAAGGAAGAACGAGGAAGAGACTGTTCCGATCAGCAAGGGGGACGGAGACCCGCGTGGCGAGCCGATAGATGATCGCACGTCCACGAGGGTGGTGGAATTGGCGTCTCACAAGGTCATGGAAGGCACCACGAAGTGGGAGAGAGGAGGGGGGGGGGGGGGAAGAGTGAGGGACAGAGCGCTCGAGAATGTTCGCCGGAAGCACGAGAAGAAGATCGACACAAGACACTAAAGCGAGGGGAATGAATGGCTTGTTGCAATCGAGGTGGATGAGAGAATGAGTTAGTGGTCAAGAGAAAGAGAGAGTATGTTTCAGTAAATATAGTATGGAAGAATGAAGAGGTTGAAGACAAGGAAGAGAGAGTTTCGACTTGTCTGAGTGTCCGTCCGTCTGTCTTGCCTGGGGCACCGGCCGGAGAACAGCGACTTATTAGTAAGAATTGCGTTGAGTCAAAAAAAAAAAAAAAAAGAAAAGAAAAAAGACGAACCCTGCGCCCTTTGCGCCCTTTCAGATCTTCGCTCGGACCCTAATATCGAATATCCGATCCCATGACGGTCATAAATTCCCTTCTTCAACTACACTTCGTCCTTGTCGCCTGCCTGGATCATGGATGAGGGCAGGTCAAGAGCAAGAGAAGGTGTAGGAATGGTCGGGTCCAGGCCGAAAGCCCCGTCGGGGAATGCGATATTATGTCCGAGGCAGAGCAGGCGAAGCACAACAGCAAAAGAATCAAGCATTCGGGCAATACGAGCTTCGAAGGGAAGGGGGAGCATTTACATTGGTCTCTCGGAGGGAATCAAGATGGTCCTGGGACAACCTGTCAATCCACGAGGATCGAAAGATCCTTGTCGAAGTGGGTGATGTAGAGTGTGGGAAGCGCTTCAGCTTTCTACTGGTAATCCTGGAATGGGTATAGTCGGTAGATCACGAACGCGACGGTGGAACAGAATCCTTTGCGCACACAAGAGGGTGTAAATAGGATGATGGAAAGGGGGAGGGATTTAAACAGGAAGTGGAAAAAGGATTCACGTTCCTACTAATAAAAGGAGATTAGAAGGGCCAATGGAGAGACAGGGGCAGGATTTTCGAACTACAACCAGGAAACGAGCCTGAGGGGAGAGTAAGAGTAAGAGTGAGATTAGGAAAAATGGCTCACTCATGGGAAGGAAAGTAAAGTAGTAGGGCTGGCTTCGGCGATTTGCCCGGCATTTGTCCATATTCAGCTTGTACTTTGTACAGAAGCATAAGGCAATCATTTTGTTGACTAGTTAGTTATACTCAGTTACTCGGTCATCGTGAGCATTCTCTTAGTCACTCTCATCAAATAGAAGGTTCTTACTGACGGTATCATATTCATGATCAGGGCTCGTTTAGTTCATCCTTCTTTCCTCGGCGTCTTGGCCGGAGAAGATTCTCATACTAACAGGAACTAATGTACAAGTAACAAATTAATGAACAAACTAACAGACCATAGGATAATCCATCAGTCAGCTTCGGTCGCGGCCCCAACCAAGAACCGAACGGCGAACGGAGGAAAAGTCCGCGTGGAGGCCTCAGGTTTTAGACTTTGACCCCAAGCCAAGCGTCTTTTCCCCAATTCCACCTCGTTTTTTCCCATTCCACAATTAGTTATCATTATTATCGTCATTTTCGGCAACTCCAACGGTTCCGTCTCAGGAAGCGAACCACAGATCCATCCTCCAGAACCTGCGTCATTTGAACCTTTCCACTTTTCTGTCTATCTGATCGATTTTATTAAGTGCTTGCTTGCTTGCTTGCTTGCTTGCTTGATATCAATCTATCAATCGCTTAGTGATCTGGACTTCCCCAAGATTCCATTGTTCTATCGTTTGACTCAATCCATTATTCAAGCTCAGCTCAGCGCTCATTTGCAATCCTCCCCTCAAAGCCTCAAAGTATCCTCGACTATATCATGTCCTGACAATATCGCTTATCGATCTATGGATCTAAGATAACCATCAGACCCCCATCCCTGTGGCAGTCAGGATCGCCTCCTTTCTCGCCCATCCGACAATAAGCCGAGCGTCCAGAACCAATTTCTCCAACCTTTCCCCCCCACCCCCCCAAAACCATGTCCTCTCCCTACCTCCTCGTTACAACATGTTGTCTCTTTGCAACATTGGGATCCTTCTTGTTTGGATATGATGCGGGTGTCATCTCCACTGTCATCGACCAGGAAACTTTCAAACGCCGATTTCATAATCCTTCCGATGCCGCTACGGGCGGGATCGTCGCCTCGTATAACGGTGTGTGCATCTGGTTGCCTGCAGCTGCTGATTGGCCCACCCGCAGGGATTGAACTGACATCGCTCCTCTTCTATAGGCGGCGCCATCATAGGCTCCCTGCTTGTCTCATACCTCTCCGACCCGTGGGGAAGGAGACCCGTTCTGTTCGTTGGCGGCCTTCTGGCTACCCTTGGGGCCGCCTTGCAGGCTGGTGCTGTCAATGTGGCCATGCTCATCGCTGGCCGCTTGATTGCCGGCCTCTCGGTGGGACTGATGTCATCCACCATCCCTGTCTATTGTGTCAGTCCCATACACACTGACTTGTTTTTCTCTTCTTCGCTGTCCACAGTCTAATGATTAATAGAGTGAACTATCGCCTCCCCGAATTCGAAGCTTCCTCGGATCCCTCCAGCAATGGATGATCGGATTGGGGGCAGTAGTTGCAGTAAGTTGCTCAGCTACGCTGTCACCAAGACACTTATACTCATTGTCTCCACCAGCAATGGGTCGGATACGGCTGCTCCCTGCGCACAGGGAACTTCACCTGGACCTTCCCCTTGGCCTTCCAAGCGGTGCCCGCGGTGATCCTCAGCTGTGGGATCTGGTTTCTCCCTGAATCGCCCCGCTGGCTCATCGAGCAGGGTCGAAGCGACGAAGGCCGCAGCACGCTCACGCGCCTCCACGCCAGCAACACCCCACTCATTGAGACGGAATACACGCAGATTATCACCAGCATCGCCGAGGAGCGACATCGCGCCCCGCGCACCTGGCGGGCGCTCCTGTTCTCGTCCGCGACCTGGCGCCACCGCATCCTCCTCGCCTGCGGCATGCAAGCCTTCACGCAGTGCTCAGGAACCAACATCATCTCGACCTACAACCCCAGTCTTTACCGATCCCTCGGCCTGTCCGAGAAGACCTCGCTCATGATCCAGGGGATCTGGGGCGCGCTCGCTCAGTTCTGGAACACGGTGTTCATCATCCTGTTCATCGAGCGCCTGCCACGCCGCACCTTGCTGCTCCCCTCCCTGCTCGGCATGGGCGCCACGATGTGCGTTGAGGCCGCCCTGGGCCAGGCGTACCACAACTTCACCACGGGGCCCGACAACCACCAGCACCCGCCCGCGACCTCCGTGCGCGCCGCCATCGCGCTCTTCTTCGTCTTCTCGCTCTTCTACACCAGCCTCGGCCTCATCTCCTGGCTCTACCAGTCCGAGATCTTCCCCACCGCCATCCGCGCCCGCGGCGCCTCCGTCGCCACCGCCACGAACTGGAGCCTCAACCTGATCTTCGCCCAGTGTACCCCGATCGCCCGCTCCCGCATGGGCTTCAACTACTTCTACTGCTTCGCCGCGTTCAACTGGGCCGCCGCCGCCCTGGTCTGGGTCGCTTACCCCGAGACTGCCGGTCGGTCGCTCGAGGAGGCCGAGCATGTCTTTGATCGTAAAGAGCCCCGCACTGAGCGGGGTCACCGGGGGCACGAACTGGAATCTCAGCATGATACTAAAGGCGGGTTGGTGACGGTTTCGACAGAGGTCAGCGCGACCCCGCCTCCTACGTAACGCTGGTTATGCTTTGGAGGTTATGTTAACTCGACGAAAATGTATAGTATACCTCATATATCGTGATCTTCTAAGTTGTATATTGTGTACATATAAGGTGCAGTGGGGTTTCTGATGCGAGGTTTTGATTCAGCGCCGCATGAAAATATAGATGAGAACTTCTTATTGTATTTGAAATACAAAGCGCAGTCGACTTGAGAAGATGTGCTGTACTCGGAGTCTGATCACCATTTGTCACTTGATTCCCGTGATAAGAATCTAGGCTTTACATTAGTACATACTAATGAGCAATATCAACTCTTTTTGTGTGCTCTGATGCACAGTCAAATCGCAGCGTATATTTCGTTTATATATTAGTCAAGTATGGGAGGCACCAAAAAAAAGAAAACATCGATGGCTTCGGAGTTTGTTCGTACAAGCTGGGGTATAACACGCATCTGACAAGAAAGGAGCGGAAGGATGGACAAATATATATATGTAGAGGTTATGCATCAGAAAAGGTAGGATGTTGTTGCAGATAAATGAAACAGACATCGTATCTATCTCGATCAGACGTATCAAAAGGGAAAGAAAGTGCATAGGTGGAGAAGGGGACTTCATTCGAGAGGGCAAGGGGATAGACGAAGTCTAACCAGTGGGTTGAAGACATTTGAGATATGAAGGGAGCGAAGGGAGAGAGGGATTGTGTCATCGTAGCGGGTATCACAGATCTTCCAAAGCCGGCATGATATACTTGGTGAGCGGCGCGTGCAGAATCTCTTGTCGAATGTTATCTTCCCACAGAGCAACACCTGGCATCCCGGGTTGCATCGTAAGACAACAGAAGAGGAAGTAGTTGACGTGCATCCAAGACTCAGAACTAAGGCGCTTGGCGATCTTGAGCATCCGACCAGCGAACCATGGCCGGTCGTATTGTGTTCTTGCGGTTGAGGAATACTGCTTGAAATCTGGCTCTTGGCTGGAAGCATCGCTGATCACATCGACATAGCCGTCTTTGCATTCAAGCAGAATCTGCAGCAGTGCTTCGACGGAGCCACTCATGTTCACTTCGCTGTCTAGCACCGCTTGTTGCAGCGTCCGAAGGAATGTCTCGCTGTGTGGCGGAGAGTTTCGGTAGTCCCAGAGAGCTGCATTGAGCATGAGCATAGCGACCAGTCGCGCAACGAACTGTTTCCGATTGCCAGACGCAGTGAAGCGGACACCCGGCGGCGCTGCAAGGATCTGATGCAGGAGCGAGTTCTCCTGAAAAGCGGTATGACGCATGTGCAATGTATTGGTGTCGAAGGTAGTCGCTTGATAGACCGAAAGTTGTTCACACCGTTTGAGAAAGCTTATGAACTCTTCGCACTGATTTTCGATTTCTTCGTATGGGAGCAGAGGTCGAGGCCAGGTGAGACTTAGCTCTACTGGAATCGGGTACGAAGCCATCATGGACTGTGGCATTGCGGCTGATCGCAGCTCGGAGGCACGCCCTTGCGAAGAGTGTTTCATCTGCGGCTCGGCTTCGAAGAAGAAGCTAGGTCCGTCGGTTTCATAGCCTGAGAGGATGTAATCTTGCCAATTGATCAGCATCCCCAATCGAGTATTATGAAATGCAGCGGGACCACCCCTGGCCCGAATCATCTCTCTTGCAGCTCGCATATGAAGCCAACTGATCTGTTTGCGACCCGGCCGCGGATCAAAATCTTCGAGTCCCGCAGCGCTGAGACATGCTATGATTACTTCATCGGAAAAGTCATGAGGGTGTCTCTCGCGGTGCCGTCGAAGCATGGAAAGGGCCCGATCACGATGAATCAGACCCCTTTCATCCACCTCCTGATTTCGGACCCAAGTCCAGGTGTTGGCTGCATGAACAAGAATGGTGTTTTGAAACGCCACGGGACCTTTCATCCCTTCAGGAACGAATACTGCCGTGTACCAGTTGTGGGCTTTGGCAGACCGAAAGTGATTTCCATACGAGCAGGCGGGCATTTCATTGACGTAAAAATCAAATAAGTGCTGGCCATCCAAGTCCAGTTCTAGTGGTAACGTGTTGAAAGGATCTGTACGGGCGGCGCTGAGTATCGTCTTGGGAGACAGCGCAACCTCGCATGGAGATGTTGGGGCGGAAGAGCGTGGTGTCAAGCTTCCTAAGTCTGAGTCACTGCTTTGCGACATCGTCGAGTACCATATGCAGGAATCTGACGAGGAACTGCTGTGGCTGGACATCTGACTATTCCGCATTGGTAATGAGACAAGCGTTTCAGAGTATGGGTAAGCGACGTTTTCTGCACTAAGGCTTTCTACGACCTCGACCACGTTGTGTTCGCTGACTGATATATTCGAGATTGGTTCGGGACCATGCTGATATACAGAGTTGGTCGCAGGCTCTTCGTCATTTTCGCTGGCCTCTAACTTCGGTCTTTGGTCGTTGGGGTCATCGAGATGACTGCTGTCCTTGGGTTTGCGACGTGACCTTGGTGGTTTGCGACCTTCCACTATAGCGTCATCTGCGTCCATGTCTGACTGGCCAGCAGCCTGGCGCTTTTGTCGCATATACTCTTGCATGACATGGCGTTTGACTTGGGTCAGGTTATTTCGACTGTTACCAGAGGCATTGATGAACTGCCACCGCACTTGCGAAGACCCTGTTGTGGGCTCAACTGCGCCTGCTTTATCTGGCCCAGGAGACATGACCTCAAGCCGGGGTTCCCCGAGCAGAAAACGCGTACGTGGGGGAGGGTGGAAAGGATACGGTGAAGCGGTTGTTTTGAGCGATGACTCGATTTGGTGTTTTTGCCGTCGTGGCCTTCGTAGTGTCTCCTTGTTGAGCGATGAAGCAAGTCGGGACTAGCGCGATGATTCGATCATGTCATAAAAAAACGTGCCAATACGCTAGCCCAGGAAGTCTAACGAAACGAGCGCGGAAGTAGACCGCAATGGGATGGGTGAGCTCGTTGGCCGGGCCACTGCGACACCGGATAAGAGGGTATTCACGGTAATTGATCCACCTTGGTTTCAACGATTCATAACGGTAGGCGAAGGCCATTCAGCACCCAACCATAAAATCAGCGGTGTGGCGACCTGAGACAAGACAATCTAAGATACGGCCGGATAATGCATCCAGACCGGTGCTATCCGAGAGAGGCGGATTCGCAGTCACAACAGCATGAGTTCAGGGTGGGAGGAATGCGCAGATGGAGGGGATCGATTCGCGAACGGGGCCAGAATTGACCACCAAAAGCTAAAATCCAAAAATAAATTTGCAGGATCGTCCCCGTCAAGGAACGGATATGCGGCAGGAAAGAGGGGGACTCAGTATGACAGGTGCGTGTGGCACCACCAGATATATGAGATGTGGGCTGAGGATGGTGAGGAAGAGGAATGGGCTAGGTAGAAGAAGTCCCTGAGGAAGCGGTGCACCGGATTATCTGATCAAATCGAGATCAACCTTGTGCTGATCCACCGGGATTGAATCATCTAATCATGAACAATGCTGAGTGGGAAAATCTTGGGGCCGTTTCAACAATTTTCGGGATCCCCACTAGAGCGTTTGGCCACGGTCAAGCAGGAATAAGTGAGCGTCCGGACCACCCAGGGCCACAGTGAGCAACGAGACCGGAGAAGTGGACTGAAAGACAGTCTAGAAGACGACAATTCTTCAGCATGATTAGCAAAGCGAGCGCATTGCGAATCGAAACCCTTAGGAGGTGCAGATAGGGGAGTAGGCTAGCTAATTGTGGTAAGGTCATTATGGCCCTGAAGCTATGAGCGGAGAGTGCCAATTCGTCAAAAATCGGAGGGATTCCGTGTTATCGTGATGAGAGATGGATAAGCTTAAGTAATGCTGAGCCATTGATGCCAAATTTATCATCCCTGCGGCTGTAGGGGGACACGAGTGGCTGGGTTCATTGAGAGAGGCAGGTAAGCAAATCCCGAGGTCTGGGGGTGGAAGGAAGAGTGAAGAAGCACTTCCAAGGCTGAGTGAGTGCAGTGCAGAACTCCAGCCCCAAACAGGGAAGGTCGAGGCTTTAACTTACTTCGTTGAACCTTAACACCTTATAGCCTTAAAGTTCAGGCCGGAGCCTGGTGGCCTCAGGCGGACAGTTGCAGCGGCGTTAACACCCACCGCCTTGGCTCTAAGTCCGAGGCAAAGACCCGTTAAAACTGATTCCATAATTTGTTCCGCGTCGCCGACCGCGCAGCCGCAGAGCTCTGAACCTCCCATCGCGTGCCACTCTCAAAGGAACATATTATCTGCGCAAAAGGCGCCTGAGAAGCCTCGAAATCCAGTTTTAGAGTTTTACTCGGGGTTTTATGTACCACTGGGGTCTGCATACCGCGCCGTGACCTTACCACCGTTTCGCATCTTCTCCGAACGCCGCCGCCGCCATCCCCGTCCTCCAACCTGACAAAAGAAGTAACAGGCGACGCAGCGCATCTCGCTTCGCCTGAGAACTCACGTCGCAATTTCCCCCAAAGCTTCGCAATAGCTTGTGTGAACCGGAGACAACATCATGGTTAGGTGGTTGACGAGAACGGCCTCCATCTTTTGATACGTCCGGTTCTCAGAGCTCTTTCCCCCTCCCTCCCCCCTCCCTGGGTAGATCTCTGGTCGATACTCAAAACTCCGTGTTCAGATCCCTCTGACTTTAGTTGAGGAGGATTAACAAGCGGACGAACGGCGGTTAGGTGCTTTGGGATTATCCCAAGCCCCTAGCAGGTGCTCTGGGGATGGCTGGAGACCAACAACCGCCTGCCGTCTCGAGTCAGGCGAACGGCTCGGCGGACGAGAAAAGACCAACGAACCCGTACGAAACCAACCCCAAGCTCATTTCCGCCGATGACCCCTTCCTTGCGCGAAGTGCGCACTACGGCCGCTATGCACCTTCCGACGATGACTTCAAACCGCCCCATGAGTACTGGTGCCAGTCGGACCCAGATGTGAAGTCCTACTGGGAAGGCATTGTGAACGACCTTTGCACATCGGAAAACTCATTGAATCCTCCGGGTGCGAGAGAGGCTTTCGCTGCTGGCAGCGTCATCATTAGAGTCGATCGCGAGCCTACAGCCGACGCCGCAGCAGAGATGTACTCATGCCTCAATGCGAATGAGCTCAGTGCAGCAAGAAAAGCCGAGGATAATCTTCGGGAACTCAACGTTGCTGTCCCAATGATATACTTCTGCGGCACCATTGAGAATAAGAATGTTACCGTGGAATCAAGAATTCCTGGTGTCTCGTTGGAAGTGGCTTGGAAGTATCTCAGTGCTGATCAAATCGAGAGCGTCAAGCAACAGTGTCGCCGCATATCCCAGCGCCTTGGAGCCATTGACACCGCTCCTGACCGACCCTCATACGTTTGCAGCGGCCTCAATTCGCAGCTACCGCCCGATGTCCAGCAGACGGAGAAAGATACTCTATTTCGCGACAAGAAGAAAGGCGAAAGGCTTGCTCTTGTGCACAACAGCCTTGTCCCAGCCAATATAATTGTGAAAGATGGTCAGGTAGTTGGCATCACCGGATGGCGGCGAAGCGGATACTTTGGTTTTGAGCGGGCGGGTGAAATACATCGACGTTTTAGGATTCCCGAGATCGCGACTGCGAGCGAAGAAGAGGGCTCACTCAAGGTTTCTGAGGCATGGGCCGATGTTTATGAAGGGTTACCTAGTGTTGTCGGCGAGTCTGCAACTGCGACGAAGCACAATACTCCTATCCCGCAAGTGAAGACCGAGCCGTTGAATGTGGAGTTGAATGGGGTCCCTCTTGATAACGAGCCAGACCATAAGTCAGGGCTCCCTCAGCTGGATGGTGCCGGACTGCCCGATGAACAGCCCACTCCAAAGAAGATTGCCAGCCTCAAAAATCGAGGAGCCTCCCGGGCATCGTCATCCGATCGATCTTCTCCGGCAATATCCGCCAAAACAAGTGCCGCGGCTAAAAAGCCCGGGACTGGTGTCACTAAGAAGGGGACAGCCCGGAAGCCAGCGGCCAAGAAACGAAAGTTGAATGACGTGGATAATGAGAGTGTCACTAGTAGGCGATCGAACACACCTTCTTCGCGAACTAGCAAAGCTCCCGGGAAGACCAAACGTGGTTCTGCTTCCATAGCGGGCTCACCGGCACCGGAGGCCAAAAGGAAAAATAGCAAGAATACCGTCGTGGAAGATGTAGAAGAGGAAGAAGAAGAGGATGAGGAGGACGACTCAGAAGACAACGATGAGGTGTTCTGTATCTGTCGCAAACCAGACAATCACACCTGGATGATAGGGTGTGACGGTGGATGCGAGGATTGGTTTCATGGGAAATGCGTCAACATTGACCCACGAGACGCTGATCTGATTGACAAGTATATATGTGAGCTACCCTTTCTCATTATCTTCCTGTTTCTTGTGGAATGCATCTCCATCTCTGGAAATTGTTACACCGTGGAACCTGGACTGACGCTAAATAGGCCCGACTTGTAAGGAGCAGGGCAAGGGTTGGACAACCTGGAAACCGATGTGTCGGTTAAAGGAGTGCAGAAAGCCTGCGCGCGTCAATCAGGAACAGCCTAGTAAATACTGCTCAGATGAGCATGGTCGTGAATTTATGCTCCAACGGACCAGGCTCCTGCTTGTAACTTCCGGGCCTGGTGCACGAAAATCTGCCGCTCGGACGGCCCTGGGTGGGCTGGACTCTTCAGCAAATAGCCCATTTCCTGACAGTGCGTCCTCTCGGGAAGGCAGTGGCCCTGACAACAGCAGCGCATATGAAAATCTTGAGAAAAGATATCCAGAAGACCTTGGAAGCAGAGGTGGTGTTCTCACCACTGGTGACCTCAAGGCCGTGGTCATGGGCGTCAGCTCAGCGGAGGAGTTCCGCAAACTGGGAGAAAGCATTATCTCAATCCCTGCGCAAGAGAAGGGTTCTGCTAAGGGGACCAAGGAAGATAACAGCAAGAAGCTGGGTCTCGACTTCGATGTCGACTGGCTCACTTATGCGCCCGATGAAGCCGCGATGATCGACAAGCTGCGCAAACAGCGCGATGACCTCCTCCATCGCCGGGAAATGCTCAAGGCCCGAAGCCACTTCGTGACCCTTGTGCGGCAGCGGGCCAAAAGCATATTGGAGAAGCTCAAGCAAAAGGAGCCCAAGGGCGGATGGAAAGATATCTGCGGCTTTGACCACCGACTGGCTTGGTCGGACGAGGAATTTGATGAATGGCGGCTCTCAGGGCCTGGAGCGAAAGCGCTCAAAGATGGCACACCCGAGGCGCTGGCGTTAAGCTATCTCGACACCGCCGACGCGGATGGCGATACTGCTATGGGCGATGCTAAACCTGCCGGTGATGATCTCGAGGTTCTCTCCCACGGGGTTTGCATCAAGAAACGGTGCGAACGTCATAAGCAGTGGGTCAAGGTCCAACAGCAAGATGGTCTTTTCGAGGAGAGCACCCTTGCCCAGGATCTCAGCAAATGCGAGAAGGAGGCTCAGAACGTGGTGGAACGAGCCGTTCTCAGGCTGTGGGCGGAGGAAGACAACGCTCAGATCAGTAACCATTGAGGAAGTACCTTCCCCGTGGTTCATTTATTCCCTCTTTCGCCTCGGCTCTTTTCTTTTCTTTTCTCCCTTGAAAACAACCTTCATTTAACTACAAACCATGACATAAGATGTCTTCATCCTTTTTTCCAAAAGACCGCCCTTTTACGGCGTGCTTGATTGATACCCCCCATCTTCTTACCGGGAAAAGAAAAGCAGGAATCGAACCGGAGTTGGTTCTTCAAGGCTGTGTTCTTCTTTTTGGGTCTGTGGAAAAGCAAACCACTGAACATGTTGTATGCATAATAGAGGGACATGGGGTTCTAGGAGTGTGTGCTGTGACATGTGATAATAGTTTTGACACCATTTTCCATGAATGATGATAGACCATTTGCATCCCGTGTGCATTCTTGATACCATTTTTCCATCGCAGCTCCACACATTGTAGCACCTAATAACCCCCAATAGCTGACGATCACCTGGGACCTGTCCTCATCTCCTTCCAAACACACCACTTCCCAACCCCCTCCCCAGCACGATCCTTAACCACCTCCACCACCATCCCCACTCCCGTGATAGTCGACACCAAAAGATGCGTATCAACCCCCTGATCCAACGTCCTCGTTAACAAGCTCGGAAACAAACCCGCCATATTCCCCGCAAACGCAGAAAAGATGCCACTACTGCCACTACCCTGCCCGCTCAACAACTCATCACGCATCGGCCCGCTCGCGTAATTGGCACTGTTGGTAGTCGCTGCGGTGCCAAGCCCACTCGTATTTACTAGCAGCACCGACGCTGTTGAAGACTGCGTGCGGGTCAAGTGCGTCAGGGTGCGTAGTGCAGTCGTCAGCGCCGCCGCGCCTCTCGCTGCGTTGGATGTGCGTACGACGCCCTCGGCGAGGTTGTCGAGCCCGGCGACGAGCAAGATCGTTCTTTGCTGCGAGGACTCGTGGCTGCCGGCTGTTACGGATGCCGTGACTTCGTGGATGGCTTGCGTTGCGGCGTTGAGGTCGAAGACTGGGAAGAGTTGTACGCGGTTCAGGCAGGCGATTGCGGTGTCGCGGGTCAGAGGTTCGTGGTTTGTGGTGACGGTGCTGTGGAGGAGGGAGGCGAGGAGCTTTCTTGGGGAGAAGGCGTTGAATGTAGCTGGGTGGATGATGAAGACTGTGGTTGGGCTGGGGTTGTTGGGGGTGCGGGCTTGGTGAACGAGGTGGGCTGTTAGGAGGGCTCGGGGGAGCTGTTGGAGGGTCAGTCTGTGAGGTCTAATATTGAAGTGTGCGTGGACGAAGGGGCGGTCTTTGGATTGGGATGACCGATGAGTGCTCAGGGTGGACTTCGGTGCATTGGGGTTTGACGTTCGAATGAGATGCCTCTGCATGAGGGGATAGGGAGCATAGGTGGTGCGATTTGAGTCGTGCTGGGGTTGGCCTGCTCTTACCTGGCCTATATACTCATCGTCTTCTGTGTCTTCACTACCCTTGTTTCGGAGCCGTGAAAATCCGATTACAGACCCAGGACGGAATACGCTGTCTGGGGATGCTTGCAGTCCAGCATCGATATCCGCCTGGAGTTTCCAGGACTCGGCCTTGTGTGCGGAATGACTTAAATCTGTCTCATGCGTAGGTTGAGGAGCATTGCTTCTTGTATTTCCACAAGCCAGAAGATTGTGGGCTAGAACAGGGTATGCAGGCTCAACTGCATATGAATTACTTGCAGGATCCATGGTTGGTCGAATTAATAGCGACTTGACCGCTGACGAGTATACTTATAGTGCATACAAACAAACCGTGCTACAGTAAGTCAGTTGGTACAAATATCATAAGCTTGCAGAGCGTACAGTTTCCCGCGCTCACCAAGAGGTCGCGTTCTAGCTAAGAGACCACGAAAGTGTATACAGTGATGTTGGTTAGTTACGGATGAGTCTGGCTACCAAAGCTTTCGAGATTAGATTGCCGCAGATTTGGAAGCCTGGAATTTAAGGCACTAAATGCTCGTGCTCCATTTTGGTGCCAGACGGTCTCAGCTGGCGACGAAAACGAGACAATAGCAGGAGGGAAAGATGTATTATAGAAATGATCTATATAACTCGATAAATAGTATGAGCACAGAGGCAGATGAATACTGACATAGAAAACATACCGAGGCATGGAGAGTCGGTCAGATAGGTATAAGCCGAGAGACTCCACTGGGAGATGACATAAGTGAACAGTGAAGGATTGCTACATTGCAAAAGTCTTATTCTATATCCCAAGTTTATTTCGATATTCAAGTTGAGCTTCTCATCAAGCGCCAGTATTCGAGGTTTGGTTTATAATCTCTCCATCCAACACTGTCCTGTTCCATGCTCCACGGCCATTCGGTAACCATTCCGTACCCTTAAACTGTGCACCCAGCGCCTGGTGTAGTTCGACACGCAGGGCATCGTTCTGATAATCAAGGGTGCGGAAATGAACAAGTGAAGCGCTACGACCCAGTTCAATGATGGAATGGGCAATTATATCGTAGCCCGTAGCTAGCTCCATCCATGGGTCATTGGGATCAATTGGGCCTCTATTGGTCAGATCAATGGCTGTATCATCTGCACACGGGGCCAACTGTATGGTAAAAGATTGTAGATTCGTCATAAGTTCCAGGGCATCTAGTACCAACTTCACGTGGTTATAAAAGGGAAAGATGGCGGTGTAGCTGAACGATGTCAAGTGCTGGAGTGCGTTGGATATAGACAATTTCTCTTCCTCGGCACCCATTGAAGCCGTGGTGCCCCATTTACCAAGTACTGACGGAACCTCAAACAGAAAGTACTCGTAATGTGCGTACGCTCTGAGAGAGGATCCCTCATTAAAACTCAGAGACGAGTATGTTCTCTGATCCAGCGGGCTGCATGAAGGTTTAGTCGTGAGGACTGAAGATTCAGGCAGCGTGCCCCGCTCCCATTGCAATAACTGATGAGATATCTGGAAAGCCCAGCTATGCTCGTCCGGGGCTTTGGTGCTCAACATGGTTCCTATTCGCGAAGGTGGTGCGAGGACGGTGATCCGCAATGGGTTAAGGTTGGACAGAAGTCGAAGCAACCGGTTGGTGTCCAAGTCACGCGGAGAGCCATTCTCCACGAGCACGACAAGCGAGACTATATAGCGTTCTAGTTCATGCGTTGACACAAAATCTAGAAAGTCATACAGATCGTCAAGATGGAATCGAGAATGCCCGTAGAGTCTGGGTCGTACGAGCTCGAGCAGCCGGGAGGATACTTGTGCAACATTCTTGAGATTTTGAGTATCGGAAGCTGTGAGACATATCCCTGGTTGATGATGGAGTTTGGATTCCGAGGGAGTAGTAACTGGAAGATAGCTCACAATCTCATCCAGAATTTCGTTCGGCAACTTTTCGAGACACGACAGCTGCGAAGCCATCATTCGAACGGCTGGGAAGGGGAACTATCCTTGAAGAAGATTCACATCTCAAAAGTGAGTTTCCAACACTTGCGCTTCGACGATTTCGAACGCTAGGATCTGAAGATTATAATAGAGATATTGATGACCCTGACAATGAATCCAGACAAGTATGGATACTACCATGCAATATATCCGGTAACGGCAGGCGGTGAAGAAGCAATAGATCGGGAATTGGAGATGTTTTCAAGTGCCGGGGTTCCCCACAGCTTCGAAGCTCAAGTTTTGAGGCGATAAGGAGAGTTTTGGAGCGGTTTCTTCTTACAGGCCTTCAATGTAAATGGTGTCAGATACTCTGGCAGTAGACAAATTATACTCTGCGGATATATCAGGCCTCTCATTATACAGTGAAGATGTCTAAGTAGTGTATTCGACCGTTAGGGATGTTGAGTGACAGTCGAATTCTGGATGCTCGGCAAAAGCAGCCTTACCTGAAACAGACCAAGTGTGGAGAAATCCAGCCTTTAGCGTCTCCCCGCACCAGAAGACGTCGACGCTTCCCTCTCCTGTTTGCCATCATCCGATGCTGCAAGTCGTTATGAAGAGATGCACTCTTTGCTGCAATATCGATTAGCTAGATGCGAGCTTCTGCATTATGCATGCGACTCAGACGCGGCCATAGTCCCTAATAATATTGCGACAACTGGTGGAATTGCCTGAAATGCATGCCTCTCGCTGAGTCAGGCCTTACAGTATCAATGCTGTGCCCCACACTGGTCGATCAAAGCTTCCGCCACTCTATTTGCAATCATGATTCTTGGATCCCCTTCCCGAGGCCTCTACATGGCTCTAATTAAACCTATTCTGCTTTCTACTAAGAAGCAGAAGGATATTGATGAGGTTGAAGAGAGCCTGATTCCGCGAGGACCTGATAGTATGAGACCCGGCCGGTGAAGTCGCGATTCTATGCCCGGTGCCGAAACAAAGTATAGCCGACAGAAAGGGACCGACAGGAGCCGGGGATCTAGGACTCTGGTGGAGAGACTTGGACAGGGCCAGTGGGGCGCAAGCTGAACAGATGGTTCCTCCTGCTCCGGACTTCGGCCTCTCAGTCTCGCCTTGAAAAGAGTTGTGTGCCCCTCACTCTTCTCTTTGTCCCTTCACCTACGCCTCTTGACTGTTGTTACTTTCGTGTCTTCGTTGCCCTGCTCTAAGTAAGTCTCACCGTGTGCAACTCAGCAGCAAGTGGCTTCACCTAACGTCTCAGTTCCTGGATTTTCCTTGCAACACAATGGCCCCTCAACTCCACCGCAATCCCCCTTTTCGTGCTGAGCACCTGGGTTCTTTACTCCGAACAGATGATCTCTTGAAGACCAAAATTGCTTTCGAGAAGGGCGAAGCCTCCAAGGCTGAGCTGGATGCCATTGAGAACAAAGACATCAAGGATGTCGCGGAAACGCAGAAGAAACTAGGCTATGCTGCCATCTCTGACGGAGAGTACCGCAGACACAGTGAGTCACATCTTCCTGCCGTAGAGACTTTGATCACATAACAAGCGTTGACCATATACTCCCTCAAATAGTGTTCTGGGGTACTTTCTTCCCTGGCTTAGAAGGATTCGACGAAGTGACTGAGTTCGACGCTGATATTTTCCGTCCGTATGCGCCTGATGTCGCTGCTTTCCTTGAGGCCGGCCACAAGCCCGGAGAGACCGTCCTGTGCACCGGCAAGATCAAGCACGTTGGCAGCACCTATGTCGATGAGTTCAAGTACCTGGCCAGCGTAGTTCCTGCCGACGAAGTCAAGAACTTGAAGATCACCCTCGCTGCTCCCAACTGGTACCACTTGCGGTACAAGGAGGGCAAGGCCTACCCCAAGGATGTCTACAGTTCTGATGAGGAATACTTTGGCGACATCGCCAAGGCCGTCCAGGCTGAGCTGCAGATCCTGTATGACGCTGGTTGCAGAAATGTTCAGTTCGACGACCCCAACCTGGCTTGTAAGGCCTACCTGGACGATGAACAATAATGGGAAGCATAGAACTGACTGTCAACAATAGACTTCTGTTCCGAGAAGATGCTCGCTGGCTGGAAGGAAGATCCCCTGAACGTGCGCTCCGCTGATGAGACCTTCGAGCAGTACATCAAGCTGTACAACGACTGTGTCGCCAAGCGTCCCGCTGACATGCACATCGGTGTCCACCTTTGCCGTGGTAACTTCGTCGGCAGCCGTCACTTCTCCGAGGGTGGCTATGACCGCATCGCCACCAAGCTCTTCAAGGAGCTCAACATTGACACCTACTACCTCGAGTATGACACACCCCGTGCCGGTGGCTTCGAGCCCCTGAAGGAGCTCCCCACCCACAAGAACGTGATCCTGGGTGTCGTGACCAGCAAGTTCGCCAAGCTCGAAGACAAGGAGGAGATGAAGAAGCGCGTGTACGATGCTGCCAAGTTCATCGCCGAAGGCAACAAGATCTCCCTGGAGCAGGCCCTCAATCAGGTCGGCGTCAGCCCTCAGTGCGGCTTCGCCAGTCACAGAGAGGGCAACGCCATCGACCGCGACGGTATGATCGCCAAGCTGAAGCTTGTCCGTGAGATCGCCGACGACATCTGGCCCGGTCAGCTGTAAATAAACCAAAAGCAACCCTCAACCCAACCAGGAGTCCTTTACACAAAAGAAGGCTCCGACTCCAGTCGATTTCAACAATGAGCGTGGAGTGATGAACGAACGTGACGACAAACTTGTGTGTTTAGGATACCACTTATTTAACATATGGTTTTTCTTTTTCAAAAATTGTACAGTGTTAGCAAAATATGATCGAGCCATTTATTCGAAGAAATGTTTGTACAGTAAAACCAAATGCAAACTGTCTAAATTTATGAAAGAGGATCCCGAGGACCTTGGGGAAGCGACCTCGTGTGGAAAATCCAGGTACCCTTCCTTCAACCATTGCCCTCTTAGCTATGCAAAGCACGCCTATCATTGCTCGCACCATCGCAAGCATGCCGTCTTTGAAGCGCAATCCACTAGGCGACCTGATAAAAACCTCCCGGTGTTGGATCTAGGAAAAGGCGCGAGACAGAACGCCACACCCAAGATCCTTTACACCACACCCAGCATACTCAACAAGATACTACTCTTGCAAACAACGCTGTAAACAAACCATGTTAACCGGAAGCCTTCCCCTCCGCTTTCCGCGGTCAAAACTCCGACCTGAAACATGAATCCTGTGCGGCATGGGCTGATGTGTCCAGGACATTCCCTGATGGGCGGGGAAGAAGAGTCTAGATCGGTGCCTGATACGAAGCGAGTCACATGCCTGGGTCGTGAGTGGCTTGATGCCCCCCTGCAACTTACCTACCTTAACCACCATAATCATTACATACAAAGGTATACCACGTCAATGGTACGTCAGACATCATTCAGGTTGGTTTTAAATCTCATGTTTCTTTTCCTAATCTCTAGCAGCGACGAGAACACAAAAAGAGCAAACCAAGAACAAAGACATCATTAAATAGGCGATATATATGCGGAATGCATGTATGTGCTGGTCCAAAGTTTTTCCCTTCTATTTTGAAAATGTTTCTACACATCAACGGAGACACGGGGTGGTGACGAGGTGAAGGTGTGGAGAAGGGCCAAGGTCAAAAACAGAATAAGAGATGGTAAGAGTATTATTAGGGGGGGTTTTGTATAGAAATGACCCGCATCGGAACAGTGAGGGATATCATGAAAAGATGAAGTATGAAAGGGCGGAAGAGGCATGCGCAGGAGAAAAAGAAAAGAAACACAGGGTTCAAATGCTGCGTCTTCTGTCATCAAGGCGGACGTGAATCGAAGAGGTGCCAACTGATTCGGTTTGGGCGGAATGGATTATGTTGTACACGAGAGGCGGCGCTGGATGAACCTCCAGAATCACGACTGCAGGGTTTAGCGGTCGGCGTGAGGATGGTTTATTTCTGAGGTTGGGTTTTGACGTTGTTGGAGAGCCAAGCCTGCGAGAATGAAAGGTTAGCCCTGCCATGAGGACGGGGATGGACAATATGAACTTACGAGACCCTCGAAAATACCAGTGCCCTCCGTTGCGACACTGGGCGCAACATACCATAGCTTGTCCTTGAGCTTGGTGAGTTGCAGTGCCTGGGTGACATCTTCAGGACTCATATCTGCGGGACAAGAATGATCAGCACTCGACGTCCAAATAGACCGGAGGGAATACATACGGCCCTGAACATCCTGCTTGTTGGCGAAGACAAGCAGCAACGCATCCTTCATTTCACGATCGTTGATGATCTTGTGAAGCTCGGAGCGAGCCTCTTCCATCCGAGCGGTGTCGCTGGAGTCAACGACGAAAATCAGGCCTTGTGTACCTGTCCAGAGCAAACAGCATTAGCATCGGATATCCTCGAAACCAGCTGCTCCGTGCAAAAAGTCGTACCGGAATAGTAGTGTCTCCATAGAGGCCGAATCTTGTCCTGACCACCGACATCCCAGACGTTGAACTTGACATTTTTATATGTAACGCTCTCGACGTTGAAGCCGACGGTGGGAATCGTGGTGACATCCTGATTGGTGAGTTTCAATTTGTAGAGAATTGCTGTTGACACCGTGATTAGTCCAATTATTTATTCAGCTGGCAAAGAACGTTCAGCAAGGTGTCTCACTGGTTTTTCCAGCTGCATCCAAACCCAGCATCAAGATTCGCATCTCCTTGGTGCCGAAAATCTTCCCCATTATCTTAGACACGGAAGCACCCATTGTGACACGCGACAAGCGACCCCTAACGGTCGCAGACTGGCGAAGCGATTAAGATATGGTTGATATTATGTGGCGAAATCGTTCGCGATGGCTGGACGACAAAATCGCGATCGGAGTGGGAATCCTAAGCTGCGGTTGCTGAAAAGAGAGATTGCGTTATTAAGAGAGGGGGGTTGTGGAGGGAGGAGAAAACGAGGGAAGAGGACAGCGAGCGAAGGACAACCGGAGGGTCAATTACTTTTCCGTCCGGGCCAACAGGGTACAGAACCCCCAGAATTGAGGATGCGCCCAAGTACGCAAGGTAAACAAGACATACAGAACTTACCTGGAGGGAGGAGAGAAGGAGGGGTGGGGGAAGGCAGCGAGGCCAACAGAAAGTTGTAGGGAGAGTGAGTGAGGAAGGGAATGAATGAATGAACGAATGAATGAATGAATGAATGAGCGGCACACCGACTGACAAGGCCAGCAGGGGTGAAAGGTCGATTCGACAGGAGTGACTGATCAGAAAGAGAGAGCGCAGCAATAAGAAATTCAGGGTTCGCGATCCACACGAGGAACGATTCTCCTTCCAACTTGCTTGCTTTCCCTCACGCAAAGCTCGAGCGCCTTTCGTAAAAGGGGCTATCCGATGACTAAGCGCCCACCCCCCCGCGCCAAGCACTTCGGCTGTTTCAGACTCTCATACAATCATTTATTGTTCACTCATTGTCTTTGCGTCTTGCTATGTGACCTTCCAGGGGAAAGAAGGAGGCTAGAGAAAGGAGGAAAGATGAGGAAAGAACGGAAGCTGTTTAACCGAGGCTGTATACAGGTAAGTACCAATGACTCCATCTAAACAAGAATCTGACCATGCTGGATCCGATCCACCCCAGCTTCTTCTTTATCCCGGATGTGGAGTGTTGGACAGAAACACCTATCGGATCTCTCCGCATTGGCATAGTATTCACCACTGAATCCTGATATACATTGTCACAACCGACACAAACGAATACAAATGGACACAACCGGAAAGCACAAGCCCGAACGACCAGGATTAATAACATCCGATCTGCCATTGTCGTATATGGAACGTCAGGCACAGTGATAATCGGCTGGCGGCGGTACCTTTGTGTATACAATACGTCATGGCAACACTGGTGAGGTCATCCCACCATAGCTCGTTCGCACATGGTCGGTCTTACGATCTCTGGGTCGTAGCACAAAGCTTTTGGTTCTTTTTTTTATTTTTTTCTCCAGACTACTATTCCTTCATAAGACTGCGCAGACACCCTGGTGTTTCGAGCTGATATTTCCGACCAACTTCTTCATTCTCTTTATCCCCCCATTATCGCCATCAACATGGTTACCCGACTCTTCCGCCGTCGCTCCTCAGTCCATGAACAGCAGGTGTCTCACCACTTCAAGAAATATTCCTGGGAGGCTCCCCCATCAAAGGTACGAACAGTTCTTGACGAGGTGATGAGATTCGATCATTTCATTGACGAGATCCTTTAGACTATCTACGCTGGTCTCTCGATTTTGTTCGATGATGATGGAGCAACAGTAGCCATTGCGATCCGTGATGCGACCTACCTTCTCGACTTCGTTCAAGATGATCTCAGCGCCGATGGCGATGAATCTCTTTGTATACAGATTGTGGACTATGTTCTGATTAACCTACGCAAGTACAGCGAAGAGCGCCTCGAGAAGTTCATTGGTTTAGCCATGCCGACAAGCGTGGCGAAGAAGTGCCCGACTCTTTGTTCCAAACTCTGGGCGAAGCTCGATATCATTCCATTGGTCTTGCCCGAAGAAAGCAGCATCGGCACTGACAACGTCTCCAACCATCCGATTCGCAAGTCTACCGGCTGGGAAATCAAGAGTGTCGACGAACAAGCAGAATCCATGGGGCGAAAATGTGTTAGGTACGCCCAGCGCCCTACTCGATATCTACGCGTATGCTCACAGTATCTCAAGACTATTCGGTCCAGAAAACATTCCCTTGCTGCAAGTCGGATTCTTGGGCTTGGTAGAGGTTGACACTGCCTTCCACGTGCGTTTGACAAGCCTACAGGATTTCCAGAAAACGGTTACACAGAAGACCTGGGATGCGGTTCAGTATTATGCTTCCGATCTCAAGGAGAGGAAAACCAAGGTCGCGTTCTTCAGTGCCACCCCTCAAGGTGGTGGTGTAGCCCTCATGAGACATGCACTTGCAAGGTTCTCCTATTCCTTGGGTACCGATATTAAATGGTAAGGCGCCCAGAGACAGTCCATGTTTGTTGAAAGATGACTGATTTTGAAACCAACCAGGTATGTACCGAAGCCTAGACCAGGCGTTTTCCGCATCACCAAGACCAATCACAACATCCTGCAAGGAGTCGCAGCTCCGGATGAGCGTTTGAGTCAGGAGGACTGGGACAAAGTCATTGACTGGGTTGATGAAAATGCGAAACGCTACTGGCTCAGCCCGGGAGGTCCTCTACGCCATCCCTCGGAGGGTGGTGCGGATGTGATCATCATCGACGATCCACAAATGCCTGCTTTGATCCCTATTGCCAAGAAGATGGCACCCGACAGGCCGATCATCTTCCGAAGCCATATCCAAATTCGAAGCGACCTCATTGCGCAGAAGGGCTCACCACAGGCGGAAACCTGGGGATGGATGTGGAAGCAAATTCAACAAGCGGACCTTTTCATCAGCCACCCTGTGAGCATCTTCGTTCCGGAAGATGTGCCCTCCGAGAAAGTGGGATACATGCCTGCTTCGACAGACTGGTCAGTTAATTTCCTCAAATGCAACTACCTGCTGCTAATCATTAGTGCAGGTTGGATGGCCTGAACAAGAACATGCAGGAGTGGGACGTCGCCTTCTATGGTCGCATCTTCAACTCGATGTGCAGGAATTCAGGCATGCTCACAATCAACTTCCCTGAAGGTAAGGCAGAAGGCTCTCAATCACAATGGAGGCTCTACTGACTGATGCATGTAGATGAATACATCGTCCAAATTGCCAGATTCGACCCCTCCAAGGGTATCATCGACGTTGTGGAGTCATACAAGAAGTTCCACCACCGGTTCACGGCCTCCCTTCCCGACAGAAAGCCGCCCAAGCTCCTGATCTGCGGACATGGCTCCGTCGACGATCCCGACGGCTCGCTGATCTACGACGCTACCCTGTCGCACATCGAGAAGAACCTCTCCGACATTGCCGATAACGTCTGCGTCGTACGCCTCGGACCATCGGATCAGGTACTGAATGCGCTGCTCTCGAAAGCCAAGGTCGCGTTGCAGCTGTCGACGCGGGAAGGATTCGAAGTCAAGGTCTCGGAGGCCATCCACAAGGGCAAACCAGTGATCGCCACTAAGGCGGGAGGAATCCCGCTGCAGGTGGCCGACAAAAAGAACGGGTTCCTGGTGGAAGTTGGTGACACCGATGCCGTGGCGGAGCATCTGTTCCAGCTATGCACGGATAACGAGCTGTACGAGCGGATGCACAACTACGCACTGGAGCACGTTTGCGACGAAGTGAGCACGGTCGGTAACGCGCTGAACTGGCTCTACCTCGCCTCGAAGCTCTCCAAGTCAGAGGAAGTGAAGCCAAACAAGCGGTGGATTAATGATATGGCTCGCACGGAGGCGGGACAGGAATATTCGGGCAAGGAGGACCGCCTCAACCGGTTTGACCTGTAGCCCATTCATCTCTGACTTTTGCTACGCATTACGACAGCCAATTTTTTGCTTTTTGCTGGGCTCTTTGGGAACTTGAAACAGTCCACACTCCCATGATTACTTGATGACCGACTCCTCTAAACCAACTCACGCCTTTGCCTTATTCTATTATATCAAGACCGACTATACAGGAAATGAAGACATAAACATACATTAGGGGTATAGATATCATCACAAGAGTCAAACCACACGTAAGGAGCACACATAACCATCCACCATCCATCCATCCAGACACACCCAGAAAATAAACAATAAATCACCGCCCAACAACCCGATATCTCTCCCTCGCTAACCCGCCCTCCCCACCCTCAACCCCATACCCCTCGCCCACCTCCCCAACAATCCGGGCAGGCGCACCCCCAACCACACACCAACTCGGCACAACCATCCCCGGGGCAACGACCGCCCCGTCAAGGACATAGGCATTATCCTTCAAGATAGCCATGGACCCGACGACGGCATCCCGACCGATATGCACGTGGTTACCGACGGAGGCGGCCTCGACGACGGCGCGCTCGCCCACGAACACGTGGTCGCCGATCTTAAGCGGGTAGAACGAGTACACGCCGCGGTGCAGCCGCGACGGCGGGCGCAGGATCGCCTGTCGTGAGATGTAGCTGTACCGGCCGATTGTGATGGCCACGGATGGGTTATTGTTGTTGTTGGCAGTGGTGGAGGACGTCGAGGAGGTTGGCTTGTGGCCTTGGCCTGACGTTGTTGTTGTTGTTGTTGTTGTGGAGGAGGAGGAGGAGGAGGAGCGGTACAGGTCGCCGCGGATTACCGCGTCGGATTGGATCACCGTCTTGCCGCCTAGGATTATATGTTGCGTGCCATGAATGAGGCTGCGGCGTGAGATTTTGTTGCCTGTGTCCTGTGTTTTTGTTTTTTTGCTTTAGATGGGGTGTTCGGTGGGTTGGAGGGGGGGTGAGTTTTGGAGGAGGTGGGGATGGATGGGTGGTTGTAGTATGAGGGGTTTGGAGGGTTGTTTGGAAGGGGGTTTGCTTGTGGATTGGATACTCGGCGGTTGGACGTACTGTCTCGATGTATTCGCCTTTGGGCGCTTTGGGAGGCATGGTTCGCTTGTTTCTTGATTTAGACGTGGATGGGTGGGAAGGTGATGGTTTAGGTAGAGAGAAGCTGCTGGGTAGAAGCGATGCGATGCGATGCGATGCGCGGCAGATGGGCTTGGGCGGTGACAGAACATAATGCGCGGCGGGGCCGAGCGGTGAGCAAGCTTCTACCCAGCTATAAAATCTACCTTAAGGACCTGGAACAAGTCTTGCCCCTGTGTAACTTTGGATGCAAAAGTCCACTGTGCGATGCAACGTGTTTCTAGATTCTTACTCACCTTGATTGTCAAGGTTCTTTGTCTACGGTACTTGAAGCTGAATGGTCTCAAACAAACTTCCGAACAGAGCTAGCTTGTCTTTGCTTATCTCGTCTTATCGGCATGGGACGGACTGACTGCCTCAGCGGGATGCCCAAGGCGCTTCAAATTCCCAAAAAAAAAACAAATCAGAAACCTAATTATAACAGGACAAAATAATAACCATACTTCCACGCACGAAAGGATATCTCAAGATACGAAACATGCAAAACCAGATTAGAGGTATCAATTTAGTCCGTAAGATCAATCAAACAGAAGTGACCTGCCGCTTAGGAGCAGGCACGACCCCGCTGAAATGAACCTTGTAGGCTGTAGTTAAAGACAAATTAGTCCCGGTCATACACAGCCAAGTCGATACACTTACTGGTCGGGAATGGCGAGTAGGCGCCATGATCCTCGCGAAGATATACCGAGTAACCACCCTTTTGAGGGATCTTCTTCAACAATCCTTGTGCACCAGGGGCAGGGCGAAGGTTGTCCAACCGGGCAACAACGCGCACCATAGCGGTCACCGCAATCAGTGTAGCCTCCTTGCCCAGGCCGCTCTGTGGTCCGATGCCGAAGTCAAGGTAAGAGTCGATTGGGCGGTCGAGGCGGACTTCGTCAGGAGAGGGGAAGGCGATGGGATCGCGGTTGGCTCCCCGCTGTGGGTTGTTAGTTGCTATGCTAAAGTTTACAAGCCAATCAAATAAAGAACTCACGGAACCGACGAAAACCTTGTCGCCTTGCTTGAGGTGGACAGAACCATTATCATCGGACAAGGTGATGTTAGTCTGGGCCTCGCGGTAGGTTCCCAGATTGCCGTTCAGGCGGACTGCCTCCAGGCAGTAGCGTGCCAACTTATCATTAGCATCCAGGGAGTCCTGCTTGGCCAGATGGTTGATTGCAGAAAGATGATCCTTGCCCTCCGTCAGGTAGAAATGGATGATTTGGGTGAACTGCAAGAATCAGCATGCAACCAAAGAATGACAGTTTTGTTAAAGACAACTCACCATCTGAGCTTGGCTGTGCACGATCTCCACAGCTGCTGGCAGGATTTGCCCCCATGTAACTTCAGAGACTCCGTGACCGCTCTCAAGAAGGCGCTTGATGAGCTGGTCACCATAATCCTTCAGAGCATTATGATCATCACGGAAGCTGTCAATGATACCGGAAAGGAAACCGGGGGAGTTGATAGACTTGACGTGTCCCTCAACGAGTCGACCCAGTTCCTGAGAGACAGCTTGGGCTGCCCGGTGAAGGGAGAAGGACTTCATTAGGTCCACATCGAAGAAGATAGAATTGTATAACACTGCCAGAATCATGAAAAGTTCATGTTCAGAGTAGACGCCACGTGGGTGACTGTTGGTCTTCAGAGGCAGAGAGAAGATCTTCGAAACGAAGTGCACGGGAACGAGGTTTCCAACACTGTGAATGATCAGCCAAGGAATCTTTACGTATGCAAGGCCACTCACTCTCTAGCAATGTCCACCTGCTGTCTGCCCGCAAGGTTGCATGATTTCTCTCGAATCAATTTGAGAGTGGCGTCTTCGTAGAACTCCTTGATGTTCGTACGCCACTGATCATTGTCGAGAGACTTGCTCCAGAAGTCGGTACCTCCGTTGCCGGCGTGAACGGAAGTCAAACCACCCCAGATCACCCGGAAGTCCTTGCCATAGTCCAAGGCCAACTTGACGTTATCATAAGACAGCAAAGACGGCGTAGGATCGGTGTACCGGGGCTGGTCATAGGAGTAATCGGCTTCACGACCCAGGTTCTTCATGATGTTCCGGTTCTCACTCGGAATCGTCATCGGGTAATGAGCATAGATAGAGTCTCCCTTGAACCAATTGGGGAAGACTCGTGTCGCCAGCTTGTAGAACACACATCCCTGATTGATATTGAGATCGTAACGGACCTCATTGTAGCCCCAATTGGTGAGGTTTCGGGCGTTGTAGTCAATCTGCATCCACCATTAATCAATGTGACATCAAGATCGACATCCAGTAGAAACACTTACAGTGTAGTACCTGTCACCACGGACCAGAGCCACGGCGTCGGATAACACGGCACGAGAAATTGTGTAGGTAGGAGCGATGCCGACTCCAGGAATCATGGGCTCCTTGGCTTCCTCTGAGACAATACCAGGGTAGAGCTCAACGTAGTCAGGGTGCTCGTACAAATGACGAAGGGCATCAGCAACATCAGGATCTGAGTTGATCTCCTCAAAAGTTTCATAAGGCTTCAAGTTGAAGAACTTGCGGAATTCATTGAGAGATCCGACGTTCCACTTACGGCCTTGCTCGATACCCAAGATCTCAACAGACTTCAGGACCTTGGGAACGTTGCGGGCGCCGAAGGAGCCTGTATGTAGCGGTTAGTTCATGGTTTACCCACTAGCTTACAGACTGGCATGACTTACTCGCAACATCCTCAATAGCAGTAGTGAGAATGTGTACAAGTTCTTCGTCCTTGAATGTTCCATCTTCCTGTCGCTTCAGGCCAGCAAAAGTACGCTGGCTGGGGTCCTTCGGAATGGTCTGTTCGTACTTGTGGAGGCCCATCAGGAGTTCGGGAAGGGTGACTTCCTCGGCAGGCTTGCCCATGAGTTCTTCGTAGACCTGCTCGGTCCACCTCTCGTCCCCAGCACTGATAGCAGAGTGCCAGCGGTAAGCCAAGTTGAACTCAATGGAGCACTGGTTTCCTAGACCAGAGGGAGTAATCTTGCTGCCCTCCATCTGGGCGCGGGGATCCTGTTCTCTGTTAGATCGAGCTCAGGGTAAACAGAAGCTCGACGCTTGCAACTCACCAAGCACCAAGTGCTGTTGCTCCGGTTCAAGTTGACAATGGTACGGAGGTAATCGTACAGGGTGATGTTGATGAACAGACCACATGTGACGCTAAGTCTGGTTAGTAAAGAGTTAAACAGAAGCCTTCCACGGTTTCACATACAGTCGACCAGTCTGGAACAGGTCCTCGTCGTACTTAGCCCACGCCTTTTGAGCCTGCTCTTCAGGAAGACCGTCGCGTGGCTTAGTGAAGCGTCCATTTTCGTTGATAGCCGCCAGCTCCTCAACGACATAGTTGTGGAATCTATTGCATTGCGATCATTAAGAGTGGCACGGTAGAGTCGAGGTTCAGTCCACTTTACCTGCTCAGCATAACCATCAGAACACTACAGGCCGCTGGGAAAGCTTGCAAACGCTGCTCCGAGAAGGTGTCCGGCTTCAACTTTCCATCTTTGAAGGTACGGACAAGATCCTGGTCGTCCTTGGTGTCACCATAAAGAATGGAAAGATCGAGATATGCGGAGGTCTTGTTGAGGTGGGGCTGTCTGTAGTCTGTCTGGAAGATATCTGCACCCAATTAGCAAGGTCAAGATAAAGTAAGTGGCAGTGTCGAAACTCGGGACGAACCGTGGATGATCAACGAGGCCCAATCGAAGAAAAGACTCGAGACCTTGTTCGGGTGAGGGGTAAATTTTTCGCGCGCAAACAGACAGTCAAACACGAGGCCTGCATCAGGAAGTCCACCGGGCTGAATTGTCAAGGGAGCGATCGAGCGAGCGTAAGGCGTGTTTGCAGCGCCCAACCATGGAAGGGTTGGGTTGTTGTTAGAGCCGTCGGCGGAGCGGTATGCGTATTCATTACCCATGTAACTGCCCGCCGGCTGTCAGACGAGCTGCATTTGTGGCATTGGCTTTGCAAGCGCTGGACTTACGAGAGAGGAGGATGAGGCAATGAGCCCCAGAGCTCATCCAGGAAGGCATTTGTGAGATCGACTCGAGTCTTCGAGTTTCCGGGCAAACTGCTGACGAGCTGAAGGGGGGAAGCACATGCATGTCAGCAAACAAACCACGCCATGTCACCAGATGCGCGAGTGTTCGGTGTTCTCACCTGAATGATCCGCTCCATAAGCATAGTTTTATCGTCGATAAACTCGCCCTTGGCCTTGTTCTTGATCAGGTCCTTCAAGGTACCGACGTCCTTGAAACCCAGCGTTCGCAAGTCCGAGAACAACCCGCTCGAGTGCTCCTGTTCGACGTAGGTTCCATCGCCATTCTGGTTAGGCAAAGGGCGTCGCGAAGCGTGCAAAACCTGGGCATATCGTTCAAAGGCAGACAGGCCGTCGTCGTGCTTGTCTTGCTTCTCGTAGCGTGGCTCATTGTGGCTCTCGTCCGATGATGACTTAGGCGCCGACGAGACCTTGGATTGACGCTTCGTCCCATTAGTCTGAGTGCCGTTCGGCTTCGACTCGCGCTCTCCCTTTCCCTTCTTAAACGTGCTAGAGAATCGACGCAACATTATGATTATATGATATAAAGATGTATTACAACAAAATGTGAAACCAGAGCAAGAAGAAATAAGGAGCAGTTGGCAAGAGCCGAAGATGGGGACAAGAAGGAGAGAAACTGTAATTGACAGCAAGTGCCCACGCTTTTGATATGTCCAAAATACTAAAGGCTTTGAACCAGGCACTGCATGGGGGGCTGTCTGCTATTGACCGTGCCAGCCAATTTGTGGAGCCCGTGCATCGAATCCTAACACAACAATACTAATGACACAATCAGGGGAGATGTCGCTGGCTCGCCACTGCATAGGTGCCGTATTTCCTAGATGTCATCAATGATTCGATCTATCGCCCGGGTTCCGCGCGTAGCACAATTTGTCGGATGTCTTGGGCTGAAGCTAAATGCACAGCAGAGTGGGGTTCCACAGAATGCCAAAGGGGGCATGATGTGGAGTCAAACGTGGTTCAGCTGTCCTACGCAGTATCTCAATGCGGCCCAATGAAAGATGCAGGAATACGATTGTCCTGAAAATCCGGTCGCAAAGCTGTGCAGTATTTTGTCAAGTGGCTGGACCCGAGCTTGGGCTGGCTTCAGTAGGTAAGTAGGACGGCTGATGGGAGCGGGATCCCTCCGTACGCCATACATGCCTTCGATGGAAGTAGATGAGAAGGAATAGCAAGCGAGGGTCTGGAAGAGGAAGTCCTGATCGAGTAAGTTCATCGAAGGGGGGGGTGGACGCACCGATTGGCTGAGTATCTATGGCTGATCGCAATTCGTGATCTTCTATCCCTAAGCAAGCTCTGAAAAAGAATCTGCAGGATGGATTGTCGATGCCAAGATCCTTGCAACGACACTATGGAGCTGGAACTTGAAAGGGGATCAGGTCTCCACCTGGGCTTCGGGTCGCCAATCGTAAGATAGCAATTGTACTGGACTCCTGGTCCAAGCTCTGCGCTATACACATGAATCTCTATTGGCGACCCATAGACGATCGGACAGACATAGTGGAGATCGATTCCGTACCACAAACCCAAAGAAGAAGATTGGTGCCGTCTCACGTAGAAAGATGGAGAGCTGACTGAAAATCTCACGTCCTAGCTGATAGGCCCACTTCTCATACGACGATCCCTCACCGATTTATGCGTTCTGAGCCACTTGGCTGTGACAATCCTTTTACGGTGTAAGGAAGCACAGAACTCATGCAGAGGAAGAGATGTGGTAGCTGTAACTGTGTAAGCACGATTGAGAAAGTTTGAATCTTTCTGGAGGGCGACACCACTTTTCCTGGAAACATCCGTAATCATACTATTCTATTGAAGATTGAAAGCCTCAGGAATGAATCCCCAATTGAGGATCCAAGGCTGCGTGTGGGTGGGGATTCCATCGAAGACGGACCAGAGGGTACCCACGCGTTCGCACAAGGGGGTCATCCTCATCTCACCTTCGCAAATGAAAGTACCGAGTCTCTAGTAGAAGAGAGCTTGATCTAGAGAGCCATTCAGGCCGTAGCTACCAGTCCAGTACGGGCGAGCGGAAAGATTTTCGCGACAATTCCTTTTGCGTCATCCCTGCATTCGTGAGATTGGTCACTTCTGACCGTAAGTACGGAGTACACAGTCGGAGAATATATCACACTCAAAAGGAAGTATTTCCCTGGGTGTCTCATCACAAATCGCTCGTGCGTCACGAGACCACTATGTCAAGCTTTGAGTCTGCGAGTTATCGTGGTGACCGAATTCACTCGTGTATTTCGATCCTGCGTAGTATTAGGGAGATGCGAAGATCGCTATCGATGGACCTTTAATTCGGTACCCCGGTTTCCAATCAATCAGTTGGGATCTGTGTGGTGAGCACAGAGTTCAGCTGGCCTCACGAAGTGTTAAGCAAAGGGGTCGAAGGAGAAGACAGGCTTGCAGCCTTCAGCACGCTCGGCCTCAAGGCTAGCTAAAGTATAGCCCAGCCATTCCTCATTAGGACAGAGAGTGCATACAAGATTAGGCAAAGATCGACCAGACCAACCGCATCGACGCGGGAAAGGAGTCTGCTGTCGGATATTCAGTGGATGAAGGGTGTAAACTTTTTCTTCGAATCTCTGCAGGGGGTTGGGAAATGGAGTGGAGAAGTAGAACTAGAGACTAAAGACTAGAGTAGAGGAGTTTGGGCCAGCCAGTGGTTGCGATCGGGTGTTGCCGAGTGGTTCATGGCGGCCCCAGGCCGTCAGGCCCCGCAGCTGGCAGGACTACTTGGTAAGATTAGTTGAGATCGTGTGGGTAAGCATCAAATTAGTCAATCGTCCAGCTGTGATCGGTCTCCACGCCCACCACAACCTAGAATCCACAATCCTCAGCTCATTTCGAGGGAAGTCAACACTCTGCTGTGAGCAATTGAAAAGAAGAGGAAAGACTGGATCGTGAAGCAAACCTCGTTCCATGTTATGCCCCTGGCAGCGAAGTAACACATTGCATGCTAACATTCGCACAGTAAGCAGGGGCCCGGGATCGCCCTGTTCATCGCTAATGGAGATACACAAGCCACTACCCCTCGTCCCTCGCTTAGGTCCCGGTTTATGGTTCTTATCAGCCAATCTCCTCCGGATACTGTGGGCCTGAGCAAGGATGGATGACCAGACCACCTGCACGTCAGAAAATCTCACAATTCCAGCAGGAACTGAGTCTTCCGAGCCTGTAAGAGGCCAGTTAGACTCTGATGGTCCAGATAGTCTTTAGTGAAAGCTCCAAAAATGAGTATCAGCGAGGTATGCAAGAGACTTCGTCAGGTTTCTCATGATTTCACCTAAATGCTAGTACACTGGTGTCTTGCCCATTGATTCCATTGGTAGAGTGTGCGCTCCGCCAAGGGCAAAATTGGGAGGGATCATCCGCCTCTTGCACAGCTAGACATCGATGGGATCCTTCAGACTCATAGGATTTTCGTCACGCCGTCACATCGAGTGAGTCATGAACTGATTGACACTTGCCAATCTTCCGAGCGGCAACCCCGTCTATGAGATATGCTCTATCCCGTAAAGATAATACTCGTAGGATCTTGACGCGGGTGCCGCTGAGCGAGGGTAGGAGAGTGTGTATGTTGACCGAGAATGATCTTCGGTATCGATTTGTCCCTATGGGAGCACGGGAATCTGGAGAGTCGACACCGGAACGCACAAGATCTCCCTCCGCCTCGTGCTAGACTAGCGTCCGCACAGAATGACGAGCTGGGTGCTCTGCGATTACCAGTGGACAAGCTTAGCAGTTCGTGATTGTCCTGTAGGCATAAATGAACGTGCCATGTCAGTGCTGGCCGCTTGAACCGCAGCTGACACGCGCCCAGGCTGGCTAGGGAGTCGGCCTGTGTTCCGTCAAAAACTTAGTATACCGCCATCCTGGTCAATAAGCAAATAGAGGACTGGTAAGGCGATCGGGGGGCAGCCGCTGCACGTCGTCACAAAAGGGGTCAACCCGACGCAGAGGCAGCATTCAGAGGAATGCGTCTCAGCTCTGCCTTGACCAACCCCCATTCTCGGATCCACCCAGAAAAATCGGATTGGATTTGACGTATCTTCCAAGAGCCTGAGGCTGCAGGAACCCCAAAAATCCAAGTTCCGGTCTCACTGCAGCGTCACACACTCTTCAACCATGAAGATCCACGCGCTGTAGGGCCACAGATTCCCGGCATCTACGTGCCTTGGCTTCCAGTATTGTTACCCACGCGTGTGTATATACAGCAGTAACGCCCCCCCCCCCCCCCCGCGTTTGCTTTACCTGCGATCAATCTGCCTCAACCATCCACCCCCTTTTCTCGTATTGGCGGTGAATCGCGACCAGTGAATTGTATGCGATTCCTTCGTTTACCTTGGAACCATGGAAGGTGTACCAATGGGGATCGGCCCGGCCCCTGTGCCGAAACATTTTGTTCTGTGCTTCGATGGAACTGGCAATAAGTTCTGTGGGGATGAATCGGACAGCAATGTCCTCAAGATCTTTCGGGTAAGTTCGATCTTTAGATGTGTCCCACCACAAAAGGAGTTTGTGATAACCGACACTGTTGGCTCACTATTAATTTTGCTCGGGCGAAAAGATGCTCGATCGCAGCAAGAGTCATCAGTTTCACTATTACCAACCGGGAATTGGAACCTACGTGACAACCCATTCTCTCACCAGCCATGGTCGTTACCAAAGAATCAGATCAGCCTACTTGAAGGCCAAGGATTCTGCAATTGGCTCCTCCTTTGATCAGCATGTCATGGGCGGGTACAAGTTTCTGATGCGTTACTATTCTCCCGGCGACGATATCTACTTCATCGGATTCAGCAGAGGAGCATATATCGCGCGCTTCCTGGCCGAGATGCTTGATTATATAGGCTTGCTTGAGGCTGGTAACGAAGAACTGATCCGCTTTGCATGGAAGACCTTTGCCAAATGGCAGCAGCGACGGGATGACACAGACGAAGAGCGCGAGGAAAAGAAGAAACTCTTCCGATACATGAAAGCGTTCCGCGAAACGTTCAGCCGACCGATTAGTAGGATCAGGTTCATGGGTCTATTCGACACCGTCAACAGTGTACCACGTTTCGAGTCAGCGTGGATGCAAAGAAGCAAATTCCCTTATACCGCTCGTAGCTCAGCCAGGGTGATTCGACATGCGGTCGGTATCGACGAACGGCGAGCCAAGTTTCGTCAGGACTTGATATCGGAAGTGAGACCCTGGGCTGCGAAGAAAAAGAGAGATGCTCACCTATGGGGGCGCAAGAAGCTTCATCACCTTCGTCATCCGGCCGAAAGGCATGACCACAACAATGACCCCAATAATGTTCCCGCCATTACAGTAAATGACGCCAACGGCAACAAGGAGGTTGACGAGGAAACGCAGCATCACTCAAGACGCGATCACGAGGAAACGGAGTCGGTCTATCGCAGCACTAACTGCTCTCGTGAAGACCTCCATGATGCGCATCGATACCGTGCTCACATCTCGCCCAGCCCTAATCGAAAGCTCAGCCTTGCCGTGCCCGACATGGCGGCTTCCACAGAGGACCTCCATTCAATTCGGAGCGGCAATTCGGGACTATCACTACAAGGACCTGAAGCAGTGGTGCGGGCCGCTATGGATGACGATGAGGATGGTGGGCAAGACATCCAGGAGGTCTGGTTCCCGGGCGGTCATGCGGATATTGGAGGGGGCTGGAAGCTAGGCGAAGATGAAGTTTGGCCACTGAGCCATGCTCCATTAGTGTGGATGGTCCAGGAAGCACAACGTGCGGGGCTGCAGTTCGACCCCCGGAAACTGAAACAATTCGAGTGCTGTGAGGAATTCGACGGAGAATATACTCCGATCCATGAAAAAACAATTAACTGGAATCGCAATAGCGACTTCTGTCGGGACCCTGTGCATAACAACGCAGAAGACGGTCAGCCTTCCAGGTTCCGTCCATATGCGAATGAAGGGAACTCGGAATCGAGCCGCAACTTCAGGGAGGCTCTGCTTTGTTCAAGCACCGAAGGCTTGCTGCACGATTGTCTGGAGTTCAACATGGGGCTGCCAGCCATGTCAGTCCTCACATGGAAGTTGATGGAGTATCTTCCTTTCCGTCGGATGGACCTTCAGAAGGATGGCTCATGGAAGCCTATCCGGTGGCCACTTCCCTGTGGAGAGGTTCGCGATATTCCGAATGAAGCTCAGATCCATGTCTCAGCAATCCGCCGCATGAACAATGACCCCAACTACCGCCCAGGCAATTTGATCGTTGGGGGAGGCGGCCGTGGTGTGAAAAGAGCACCCGAGTCGTATGGCATTGGTGAGTGGGAGCTCAAGGATCACGCAGGTGATCCGGTCCGTGAGATTTATGTCCGTAAGAAAGTCTCAAAGATGTGTGAGGACCATCATCACTGAAGTCAGTCAGCCACCAAAGTCATTTTGCCTTGAAGTACAGTGGCCTGATTCCAACGTTGAATATTCATATCTTTTTAGCAGCACCAACTCTTGGCCCAATGAGTAGCTCAGCCGAGCTCCTATATAGCTTTTACCCTAATCTTTAATTGTTTATCTTCTAGCATGACTACATCCCCTGAAGCTTATATTTGAAGTAACCATGTATACACTTGGCATACTTGATCGTCGCCGGTAAGATCTTGGTAGATTTGATCTTGTGAAGCATCCTTCATACACGCAACTGATCATTTTGGGTCCCATATTCTTGAGATGAGGGCCTTGTTGAACTTCCATTTTTATCGAGATTGGACGAATAGCTTTGAGCCAAGACTTCTCATCCGTTCGGCAGACGCGTCTTGATCCTAGTAGCGAAGTCATGGCAGGGAGTTCACTATCGTCGCAAGCCGTTATGCAGGGCTGACCCGTCAGCATGCGGCACAGTAGTCCGTGCAGCAGTGCTCAGTCCATATTCCCGGCACATCCGGCATTGCTGGAAAAATCTAATAGGCACAAGTCACCAACATGATGACAGGTTTGCAGGGGTCATTACTTTAGTGTGGTTGGCTCTGGAAGCATCGACAATGTCTGGGCTGGCCTAGACTCGGATCCACGTTGACCAGAAACTGATGCTTCTGGTTGCTGGGGCTTCCCCTCTTTTGCCGTGGAATGAGGAATTCGGATCCACTGCGATAAGGCGCGGGGTGCACATCACTAATGCTGGAGGGTATGACAGAGGACGATGGAAAAGGTTGTGCCAACAGGTTTGGTTCCCCGGGTTCTGGGCCAAGGTACTGGAATCGAGAACTATAGGAAAAGTAGTACAACCGGGAGGAAGATGCTGCATTTGCCAAGCTGAATCGATTCCTCGAGCCACGCTTATCGGACATACAGGGATCGTCCTGTAGCGGGATAGGGGAAAGAGGACCCGTCAGGGTCCGGACAAAACTCAGTAAGAATCCTGCACCTCGGTCAAAGTAACCGAGCAATATATCCAGTCTGTCAGCATGATGAGGTAGCGACAACCAAAAGAAGTCGTCAACAAAATGGATGATACCGTTGTAGTAGCAATTCGAAGTCTCGTAGTCAGTCGGAGAAGAGAGTGGGTAATTCGGGCAGTTGACAGAAGTCGAAGAGGCAGAAACAGAAGGCGGTGGGCGGGTGGATCCGAGCTGGACTCGTGGTTTCCCCCGACCGCGCGTAAGGTTGGATCATCCGGCATTCATTATTCTTAAGGAATTGATTATGGCTGGCTCTCTTTTCTTTGCTTGACCTCATCACTCCCGTTATCTCCCTATTTCCGTTCACTATCACTCGTCCCTTCGTCACCGCTCCCCTTGTCTTTCGCCTCCTGTTCTTCTGAGAGTCCACAAAGTGTAAGGGCAAAGAGTGGGAGCGAATAACAAGAGCATACAGCAAACAAGGAGTATTTATTGTCCATTGTGTGCGAAAAGAGAAGAAAAAAAGACCCAACGCAAAAGAAGGGGGGGTGAAATACCTCCTCTCCGCTTTGCTCGGGCAAAAATTCAACCCCCTAAGTGGTATATCTACACAACTTCACTTCTCCGCTCCACCATTTCCCCCTCTCAAATCCTGGTTCTGCGCCCGGCAACCACTCTCTTGAATTTTTCTTTTCGCACACCAGCATGAGGCCCAGCTAGCCCAACTTTTGGCTCGCAGACGGATATGGAAGCGTCTCACCCACCTTCAGAGGGTATTATGCTACCCCCCAGCCCTGTGGATTCAGCAGATTCGGTTGACTCGACGTCGTCCGGGTCTCCCGTCGAGCATACCAGGGAGCCAGACCGCAGTGATAACGTCACGATCACTCTATCGCTCACTCCCGATTCGCCTGTCCAGACTCCGAGTCGTGTCTCTTTCACCCGCTCACACATCCGTTCACGATCGATGATCGAGGTTCCAGGCGTTCCCCCTATGACGCGCGCCCACTCTTCCCCCGGGCTGGACTCGCGGGGCAGATATATTTTCGTCAACGGTCGCGGGGGTCTTGCCAACGCTGGCGACAATTCTGCGAGGCGTTATCTGCCGCTGCAGGTGAACACGGGGGAACCGTCCGACTCGAGAATGGTACCCCTGAATGTCTCCCAGACGATCTCCGAGAACGCAGAATTAGATACCAGGATGGCTTCGTCACCTTCCAAGGTTGATTATCACCCTGCATCGCCTGTACTCCCGCATACACTTCCTCGCGTCAATCGTCGACGTCCCTCATCTCCCTTACATTTTCACCCGCCATCGTCGCCTGGCTCGATCATGGGCAGCCCATCCCCGGCGCACTCCTCCCCCGCCGTATTCAGCTCGCGATTCAACGAGACATTCCCAGGCTACTCTGCTTCCTCTACTTCATCCGTCCCCTCCACCCCGACAAGTCTCCGATCTCGCAGCCCCAGTATCTCCTCGCTGGAAACCATTCCAGATATCCCCGATGCAGAAGCCGCAGCTATCGAGGCGGACAGAATCGCAGCATTGAAAGCTGCTGCCGATAAAGCCGATGAGGCGGAGGAAGCCACTAGTACCAGTCGACGACGTGGAACCTCAGATGCCTCGGGTCCCTCAAGCCCTTTCATGAGCATGCGTGTTGCTTCTGGTGGATACGGGCCGCGGGCGGATAAGCGCAAACGGTGGAGTGTTTGTGGAGCGGAACGTCGTCAAGACTTGGATTTGGAAACTATCTGGGAAGATTGAGAGGCAGGCTGAACCTGACTTTGGACTTTTTCCCCAGAAGTCATGATCTCCCTCAAACAGATCAAACAGAGAAGGGCTCTCCCTCAGACCTGAAATCCACCAATCACCAAGTACAAAGCCTAGCCGACCCTCTCGAGCACAACTCTCTCTCGTCCTTTCTTTGAATTCGGCGCTCAATCGAGAAATACCCATTGTCTTCTGTCCTCTTTTCCAGTACGCGGGTGTCAGTTTTGCTTGAAGCTTTTTTTTTCCGCTCAGGAGGAACGCGGAGTCATGAGGATCACGCAGGTTCGTTGATACTCTGGTCGTGGGTAGCACATATCGGCGCATGGTAACTTCAATGATGCCCTAAGCGGAATCAGTCTCTGGGTTTATGTGTTCCTGTTCTTTTGCTCAATCTCTGTTCCCCTGTTATTAGCTCTCTCTTACCAATTCGAGCGAGATTGGCCAACCAACCTGTGATTCCCCTTTTATTGCTTACTCGTTCTTGCTCATGTTTCATTGTGGGTTCTACGGTGTCGGCTCTAGTCTGTTTTACCGCTTGCTGTACCATGTCTGGCCAGTGAATGGTGTACATAACTTTACTCTACCTGCAATGATACATACTTCGCGCAGTGCAGTAACTCTCGAGGGTGGGTGCAGTGTGTATACAAGCAAAAGCTATATCTGTATGGTCTGTCTTTCTGTACAGGGACAACGAACTATACACCAAAAAGAAAAGCCTGAATTCCAGAAACAACCAACCATCCATCAAACACACACAATATCGACCTCTTCACACAAATCCTCCAACCTGGACTCTCAACATCCACCAACCCTGACCCCACCCGCCGAAGGTAACGAATCATCCCTACCAACCCCCATCCCGACTCTTCCCAGCCCATAAACCTCACAAATCGCCCCAGCAGCCCGCTCCCCACTCCAATACGCACCCGTCGTCGTGCCCAACGCGACAAACGGCGCCGTATGCTCGCCGGCAAACCACACGCCGCGCTCCGCCCCCATGCCAGCCCGCAACACCTCAATATCCCTATCCGCTTCGTGCACCCCGACCTGGAAGTTACAGTACGAGCCATGCCCCGCGAAGGGGTCATTCTGCCACTGCGTCGCCAGATACGCCAGGGGCTGGCACTCCGGCGCGTCGGGGCGGTAATTGTGGAGGCGGGCGAAGAACGGCTGGAAGGTTTCGTGCAGGACCTGATAGTACTCTGTCGAGGTGGGGGCCAGGTGCGCGATCTTGGTGACAATGTGCGTGGCGCAGGGCCCGAAGGTGTAGAAGAGGAGGGTGGGGTGGGCGGTTTGCGGGTTTGCGGTGTCGGAGAAGGCGGCCAGGGAGATGCATTCTTGGTTCCAGTGGATCGAGGGTGGGTGGGTGGTTGATGCGTAGGTTGGGTTGAGGAATTGGGCGAAGGTGGGGGTTTGGTAGGATTTGTAGGTGTTGTTGTTGTTGTTGTTATTATTATTTGTGCTTGTGCTAGGGGAGGGGTCGGTGTGCCAGAAGGCGCGGGGGAAGGTGATGTAGACTTTCTCGAGGCGGCCGTAGGAGATGCTGTCGATGGCTTGGGTGAGGCGCGGTGGGAGGGCCGGGACGAAGGCGTCTTTGTTGCGCTTCAGCCAGCCTAACGGGCAGGTGACGACTACTTCGTCGTACTGGGAGGTCTCGCCGGAGGCCGTGGTGAGGGTGACTTGTTGGGGGGATGTCGGGGTGGCGGTATTTTCGCGAGGCGGCGACTCGATCTTGGTGATCGGTTGGTTGAGGCGGATGTCGGCGTGCTGGCGTGCTGGCTTGGAGACATGTTCTAGGATTTGTTTGTATGTGGATGAAACGAAAGAGTTATCTGGCAGCGGGGGTTAGTGATAGAGCTGTAGCAGGGTTGGTGGGCGCTTACTCCCGTCTATGCATTCTTCAAGGCAGAAAAACTTCAGACTCTGCCTCTCGATGGGGTCGCCGACGTATGCTCCCCACATCCTACTCGATTCAATACACAGAGCCTTTTCGTCTTCGCTGAGGTCTGTATGTTCGACTTGCTCTTTGATGTAGTCGAACAAGCTCCGATCCACAGGGATCGTCTCTTTGTAGATGTTGCTATACTCGAAAGCCTTTGCGATGGTTGACCACAAGATGTCGGAGATCTTTTCAGCGACCTCATCATTGATCGGCTTCCCGTCAGGGGCTATGAGAGCCATGTTTCCCTCAAAGTCTTGAACGACGGTGTTCGTAGATTCAGCGATACTGACTATCGGGTTCTTCCCAGTGCCATGGATCCAATTAGGGCCCCTGCCTGGTAATTAGCACAGCTTGAGATTCGAAATGCCACAACACGACGAAGCTCACATATCAACCAGATGATCATGGACCTTGCTCTGATGTACCTATTCGGCATCGGTAACTGATTCTCATTGAAGCCTAGGGCTTATCGTGTACGCACCCTGCCTCCGAGTCTATCTCTTGCTTCGAACAGAGTGACATGGGCACCGTTCTGGATAAGGATGTCTGTACATCGCAAGCCTGCAAAGCCGGCTCCGATGACGGCCACTCTGGGCTTATGTCCCTCCGGAACCGTTCTCGTCAGATAGGGCATATTTCTATACGACTGTAGCAATGACTGCACGTCTCTAGTGTTGACTGTATGGTGTCGTCGTAGTCCTGGCTGTGCTTGATTAGTCCAATTCAAACAATGACGTTGTATTGAGGATAAGATGGCTAGCATTCATAACTCTCTGCGCCGAGCTGATCAACCACGAAAGTTCACCCCCTGGGATAATCTTTTCGAGGTGTCATCCACAGGCCATGCATCTGTTCTCTGGGAAGAGTATCTCTTGAGCTGACCGTTCAATTCCGGCAAAGTCGAATCATGAGAAAAAGCAGATACTCTAAGTATTAGCCCGCAGGATATGCAGACATACTCGCATGGTGCAGTGTCTTGCATAGACATTCCAGATTCCCAATGGCAAACCAGAAGAACATAAAAACACGAAAACAGGACTGGCTAGACCTACCGACTTTCCAAACAATCCACTATTCCAATTACGCAGCACCCAAGGCAAGCTGATAGTCATCAGTCAAGTGGTGGCAAAGAAGAAGCGGGATTCATTTACTCTTTTCTCCGCCGGCGAGACAAGGCGGCTATATGTCAGCAGGCGGCCACGTGCATTGAGCCCTGCCATTGACTGCCCGTCCCCGCTCCCACTTTCAAGTCACTCTTCGGGCCCGCCATTCCACTCTCTCCGTCTTCATCCCTTCAGCTGACCAAATGATGGATGGCAATCATGCAGATGGCCCTTAGGCTTATCAGTCCCCGCACGCTATGCCTAAATCTATGGCCTATCACCAAGCCGAGAGCATTCTTTATCATATGATTTGGTTATTTCGATGGTATTAGGCTGATAATAGCACTGGATATCGTGGTCCATTAGGACAGGGTTGTCATCGCCAAACAAAAAGAGCCCATGATTGCAATCGTCTTGGACAGTCCACAATTCAATCATCACAAGTCGGCCATCACTCCGAATCATACAGGCAAACACCGCTTACTAGGTTGTAATTACCAACATAATCTACTCAGGCGAAGAGGAATACGAAACAAAGGAAACAGGAAGACATAAGAAAGGTGGGTCATTATAGAGATGACAAGACCATAGTCTTCATCTCCAAGCGCCTTGGCTGAGGGACAATAGTCCCTGAATGCAGTCAAGATCCTCTTCCTGACTAGCGCCGCCGCCACCACTCATGAAAGCAGACACCTCTGCGTCCAATTCAGACACGTCCTTGCCGACGGCCGCGTTCGCTCTCTGTTGCATTTGGTGAGGCCCTCGGGCATATCTGCCAGTCGAGTTGTAGTTCTTGTTGGCTTTGCCGTCTCTTCCGCTGGTGTCCTTGAGCACTGAACGTCGAGCGTTATGATGAGAAGCAGCCCGTCGACGAATGTGAGATACCCTCGTCCCTGGTATCCAGTTCTCTTTATCTGAATCGCCGCACTGGAAGTCTTCATTTCCGTCTTTCGTCGCTTCCATAAAATCCTTCAGATTGGATCCCGAATAAGGAATTCTATTATCAGACTCCAACCGGCCCAGAGAAGAGACAGTGCGAGAGATTTTCCGTCTCTTCTCGCTATTTGATTTCGGGACAGGGGTATTGAGATACTCTGCAGAGTTCGACGGCAAGGAATTGGTGTGCTTTGCTGACAAGCTTCGGGTCAATGAACGCTGACCTCGGGACTGGAAAAGTCCAGGAGAGCCAGAGCCTGGCGCACTTTGTGAGCTCATTGGAGTCGAAAGGGCACTTCTCGCATCTGTATCGAAAAACGCTTCCCAGTTCCTGGGGTCTCGCGATCTTCCAAACATCCTCTCAACTTCCGTGCTCCCAGCTCGAGGGGTGCTGAAAGTCAACGCACTGCTGCTCCTGCGGAGTCCTGCGAAGCGAGGCTTGCGGGCCGAGAACATAGATATGCGATTTTTGGACGGGGACGGCTCGCCGTCAGCTCTGATAACAGCTTTCCCGTCGGACGACATCGCGATCCGAAGGGCATTGCGTCCCTTGGGAGGCGACGGCGTGTATTCACCTTCTTTCCGGACCATAGCTTCCCCGTCGAACGAGAGCGATATCCGCAGCGAGGGTGGTGACTTGATATCCTGGTACGTGCCTGGTGTCGAGACACCCTGTAAAAATGACTTGTCACCCTGAATCTCAGGAACCGATCGTTTTCTTTTCACCATATTTTGCTCCAACTCGTCCATTGTTGAGGTTTCCTGTATTTGGGTTGACTCTGGCTCCGCAATTGTTTTATCGGACACCGGCTGCGACCCCTCTGGCGCTTCCGTTGTAGCCAAGCTCGTTTGGGAGCTAAGTGCCGGCTGTTCCAGGCCATCCTTGTCTTCGTGTGCTTCATCCGACCCGCAGGAGTTATCCGACGACTGTGTTGACGGGACCTTATCCTGTGAACTCTCTTCAGGGTGTTCAGGACTGCTAGAGGGCACTAGTTCCGATGAGAGGCTATCGTCACTGGCGGCATGTTTCGACGCGTCAGACGCGGTTGATCGAGGCGCGAGAAGCTCGTGTGGTTGGAGAGGCTTGGACTTTCGACGGTCATTCTGACGGCGATTTTGGAACCAGATCTGCGAAGCGCGTCGGCTGGATGATTAATACTGGAGAATGCAGAGATGGTGATCTGCTCGGCCGCACATACCTGCACTTCCTTCTCGCCCAATGAGACGCGGCTGACTATACTAGCTCGGGCCGTCTTATCTGGTTTGGGGTTCCGTTGATACTCTGCCTCAAGGATCGCGTGATCTTCCGGGCTGTACAAGAACAGCAGTCAGCGATTGTGTAGAACATTTGACGAGTGCGTCCGGGTTCATTGTGTTGTTGTGGTTGATTTGTTGGGGTAGTTGTGTATGCATACCTCGTCCGACGCCGCTTTTGCCGTGCAAGCAATTTGTTGTCGACCCGCGGAGGAAGATTTTGGGTCAATGTTTTCTGAGAGTGTACCAGGAAGGCGTAGTTGATCGGCGTGGCGTCCCATGCTTGGGCTGAGGGGGGTGAAGATGAGCATGGTGCTTCAGTGGTGTGTTCCAGATCAGACATATTGGGCAGCCGGAGATGAAGATGACGGCATAGGGAGAAAGAGAGACTGAGAGAGAGAAAAGGCAGATAAGGAGTAGAGAAAAAGAGAGTAATGTGAAGAATGTACCGGAACACTGGTCTGGTAGAATAATTGAAGTAAAAGAGAGGAGATGGGAGTAAGAAGTTTTTAGGTTGAGGTGGTGGGAAACGTGCCTCAGACGGATTGAGGAGGACGGAAAAGAACGCTTGCTTGATCTAATCGCGTCGCGATGTGTGACGCGGGCGGAGGGCGTGCGTGGTAAGTAAAGTTGGTTTTGACCATACCTACTGTATGGTCCAGGCCGCCCCGTGTTCCGCCCCCCTCCCCTCGCGCCGCCTCGGCCGACCGACCGGTCGACCCACTTCCGCTCAGCACGAGGCGGTTGTTCATTTTACAGTTTACAGCCATCTTGATCCCTATCTTTGTTCTTGATTGAGAGTCAACTCATTTTGATCAATGCGATCCGATTATTGCACATTTAATATACAGTTGCCAGGCCAGGAGCGCTCAGCCCGGTTGTATCTCCCTCATCGTCGTGGCCAGGTCACCGCGCGTGATGCAGCAGCCTGTAAGCTCGGAGTGTAACAACGGAGCGGAGTAAAGACCGCGCGCGATAACGATCAGCACCGTTCAATAGGCGAGGACGGAACGTCACGACTTCCCGCGTCTATTCGCGCGTGTTCTATAATGTGATAGCTGCATTCAGAAGCACCATTGACACGTCCTCTCTCACATAACCTGGCCATTGTCTCTGGAATGACTTGGCGCGTTAGGAGCTGGTTGTCCGTCCGCTGCTTGAATAAATATCCTTATCTGATGGGCGGAATCTGACCTGTCAATCGCACCCCGGCCGACACGTTACACAATTCTACCTTTGACATAATTTGGATAGTTGACTACGTAGGCTTCCTCATACAACGCGTGGGTTTGATTCATAATTTTCTGCAGATTGATAGGCTGCAGCTGCTTTGTTTACATGCGATACCTATGCTTCCTGCTGGTTCATGTGGCTAGGGATGTTCCATGGGTCATAATCCAGATGAACAAAAGCTCGATCCACGGTCGGCACGCTCTCAATCATGTACTGCAAGCTTTCACCCACATCGTGGCTGTCCAGCAATCTCGTTCTCGGCTCAAGCACGATATTCATCTCCACATTGAGCTTGTCCCCGGCATAATACGCGTTCAAGTCTTGAATCTTGAGAATGGCCTTGGAGAAGCGCATGGTCATATAGAGAAGAATGCTGTGATCTTTGGGGGATGCAGCCGCCCCAGTCAGATGCCCGATATGCTCGCTGGCCGTGCTGCTCCAGTTCCAGATTACATATAGCGATAGGAGCAGGCCACCGAGGGGATCGACGAACCAAGTGTTGGTGAATGATCCGACTTTGAAAAAAAGCAATACAATTAGTATACGTCGTCCAGTTCATGGCGATCATACTTACTGAGCGGAAATAGAATACTCGCTAGGTTGAAGACCACATCCGTCATGGCGTCTTGTGCTAGAGCCTGGACACTCGAATTCTTGATCAGCCGGCACCAAAACCAGCAAATCAACTTAATAATCACAGTACTGGCCATGACTGCGATAGAGGGTATTGTAAGCTCTACTACAGAATGATCTGACGAGAGCAGTCGACTGAAAGAGGTCAAAGCCACCTGAACGAAGGATGTTACTATCACAACTGCAAAGACCAGCACACTCAGCGGCTCCAAGCGACGTCGGCTAATGGGATACCGGTAGCGGTCCTGTCGGTTAATCAAGGTCGTCGTCACCCAGACAATGGTAGTACTGAGAAAGTCCAATGCTGCGTCGACCAAGCTGGCAAGCACTGAGAGAGAGCTTGTCATTGACATGACGACGATTTTAGCTGCCAGGAGTATCACGTTGGCGATGAAGTTGACGTAGATAGCGATGATGACTATTCGATCCCCGCTCTCAACAAAATCGTCATGCTTGAGCATGATCTCAGGTGGTGTTGATAGGTTATCTTCCGATGGCGGCGACAGCAGAGGGGTGCCTTCATCTGGGATACGGTAGAGGTTGCGCGGGGTCCGTTTGATTTTCGCTGTGTGGCTGGGGTCAACTCCAATGTCGGCATTGCTGTTAGGCCCGGATTCGCGTGTGCTTCCGTTCCCCGAAAATACAGAGGGTGCATCCAGTAAAGCACGAGGCTTGTGATAATCAACAATTAGGCGATGAGGTAAGGACGAGTCAAGCAGTCGATCGATGTAGACGTATTGTGAGATGAGATCATTGTTCCGTTCGTAGTATTCGCGCCTGGGATGGAAGCGTTCAGCAACGTTCAGCTCTACCTGCGGGTTGTATAATGGATTGCATACAGCGGCTTCGACAAGCCTTCTAAAGTGGCTGGGTCACGGTAAAAAAATTGCCTTGGGGAGTGATCGTCAGCCTTCAAGTTTAGGTTTTCGGAGGATAAAGCGTACCACCGATAAAAGGGGCTCCTGTCTCCGATTAATCGCTTTGCACGTTCGAAGGGAGGACGATCCATTCGCTCCCGTGGAGCAATAGGCTCATCCCATCGGTCGCTATCATCAAAGCCGTCGGAGTCATAGAAGGACAGTGAGCGCCGCCGTATCAATCCTGCTAGGCGCTGGCCACGCGTGGAAAGAATGTCGCGCTCCAGGTCAAGGCTCGGCTGTCTAGGTCGTATAAAAGAGTCGGAATGGGATGGAGATGCCTTTGCAGGCTGGGGAACGGTATTTGACCGACCGGTAGACGCCATTCTCTGCGTCATTTGAGATCAGTGTAACTTCTGTCCAGGTTGGCTGAGTGATAGTGATGAAAAGCCGTCACGAGCTAGGCTGCTATGATGTCGTGGGTGGCCTTTGGTGGGGAAAGGGTCTTGGTGGAACCGGGCTGGACCGGATCCGATTTCGCAGTCAAGAACCAGGAACCGAGTCAGTTAGCAATGACAACACCTCTGGCTTCTTCATCGCTCTGACAACCAATTTCATGGCTTTACTCAGAGCATTCTGTGCACAATCTCATTCTGTTATTAGTAGCATGCGCTGATAACATGGCACCAAGCGGACTAGAACCATCTCCTTCACATGACGTCAACTACAATGGTCGAAATGCGAGAATCTTAATCGCTTATCTGATTAGATCGGATTAAACATGCCAGATATAAGTGTTCGGTTGATCGGTTATTATGCAACTAGACAATCTGACTGGGATCGCCTCTCATGGCCTGGAGCCCTGTCAGTACTCTGATTCTGTCAGTGATGGATGTCATTGGCTGTGAATTCGACTTCACAGCATCGCCGGCAACACGGGGCAGTTTATCCCCTGTGCTCCCAAGACCGGCTAACAGCCGGAGATGAGGGTCTTACCGGCTAGCGCATCTACGATTCTAGAGATCTAGGAAAACAATCATACTCGTATACAAGCCACAAGCCACATAAAGCCTGCGGAGGTCACGCAACAACTGTACTCGGACGGAACCACAGCCTTTACTAAGTCAAGCTGTTCCAGGGGAGACAGGCCGTAAAGTGATTCTGACTCCAAGGACTTGACACTGACTCACGCCTTTCGAACTGGGCCGTGAGTCAGTCTTCGTGCACCCTGGCTTGATCAAAACAGATTCGGATCCGACCCCATCTTATTGCCAGGTGGTTTAGAATACGAGACTGTAAATAGCCGGAAACAGTCCTGAATGTTAGCGCGTGGACGAGGGAAATGATAGTGTCTCAAACTGGTTTAGTTCCTCATCTGGGGGGCCATCTTTTATTGTCTGCAGGGTTCCCCAACCATACCTTACCGAGTTCGGCAGAGCCCGACATTTCACGGAGTCGTCTCTGTCCGGGATTGGTGCAAATAGTCAAATCGCTGTGAGCTGCATTCCTGCAATCTTGGCTCAAGGGTTTTCCATCAATCGAGGTGCTTAATACCTGTCTTTCCCCTGCAAGTATGAGCCCAACTTGATCAGCAGATTCTGAAGCCCATTTCAATGTTGTGTGGGAAGGCAAATTTCGGCTAAAGTTGGTAACATAGGTATTCCAGTGAGACTCGAATTCATTTTCTCTTGCATTTAGGCTCTTGCAGGCTCAATTCGAGCCCACCTGCCTCGCAAAGCAGTACTATGCAGCACAACGTGGTCGGTGAAAAACTCAACTGATAGCAAACAGGTGGTGAGTCTATGGAAAGAGGCTAACAGGGATTCAGAGGTCAGCTGGTCAGCACGTGGAAATCGCTGGCGTCTGAAACAAAAATCCTGACCTGCGTTACTCTGGCCCGCCTAGCTGTCTCTCAATCCCGCCTTTCACCGGCTCGGGCATTCAGCAAGATCACAGATCTAGTCCGGGCTCAGACAAGCCTAGAACGCAATTAACTGAGAGGATTGGCAGGTGCAGTCAGTGTGCCACTGTGCCTCGGTGGACTGGGCCGCTACCCCGGGGCGACCAAAGCCATCAGTGGCGTGGAAAATGCCATTTAGCCAAAGAGTTGCGATATCTAATTTACCCTATTGGTTTGGGCGGGGTTTAATCAACGGAGTTTCACTTTTCTAGGACATCGCTGAGGCAACATCTGTCCCTGCCCTGGCTGAGCCTCCCGCGTGTCAGCCAACGGACCGTCAATGCACACAGACCGGTTCTCGCCTGGCGTACAGGCGCTTTGCTCGCTTAGTGGAGCTCTCACCAATTGAGTCGTCTACTAATCTAACATGGTTTTGGCGTAAATCCAATCAAGAAGGCGGCATGGGGCCTAGTGACGGTCTAGTCATTCGTCCCCCGGATTTTCAAGGTCAACTGCAAGCTTTTGTCCAGCGCCACTGTTTTCCGTCCACGCTGTCAGCCCATGGTGGCTCGGACTAAATAAGGGTAATATCGATTTCAGACCAGGGTTGGGCGCAGACGGACTCTTATATAGACAAGCCCGCCTGCCCCTCCCCCTCCGGCTGCTCTTTTCGCTTTGCGTCCGGCGCATGAAATAAGCCTTCCCTCGGTATCCCCCCTTCACTGTCGCCGACATGGGACGATTCTTCACCATTTCCCTGGCTGCCTTTGCGGCAACAGGCTCTTTCTTGTTCGGTTATGACAGTGGTGTCATGACTGATGTGATTGAGTCGAAGAATTTCTTGGCATTCTTCAACACTACGCAGACATCAGCTATTATCGGAGCGATCAATAGCACATTTTCAGGCGGAGGTACGTTCCGTGGCTTCCTGCTCTTAAATAACACTTGAACCTTTATCGGCATGTGGTCTCCTCTCAATCTGCGCTTTTAGCTAATTTTAGTGTCGATAGCCGCTATTGGCGCCCTCCAGGGTGGTCTCACGATGGACCGTTTTGGACGCAAGTTCACCATCCAGATGGGGGCTTTTATCTGCTTAATCGGCGCCATTTTACAGTCCGCAGCTCAGAATCTGGCTATGATCCTGGTTGGCCGTATCTTTGCTGGATGGGCGGTTGGCCTGATGTCGATGTCCGTCCCAGTGTACCAGGCTGAAGTCGCGCATCCACGCTCCCGTGGTCTGATTGTCGGCCTGGCACAGCAAATGATCGGAGTCGGCTTCATCATTAGCACGTAAGTACGCTCCGATACTCCAGTACTGTTCATCCATCAAACAGCATAACTGACTTAGCTCTCAGATGGGTCGGTTACGGATCTCTCCACGCACCCGATACAAGCGAATTCCAATGGCGTTTCCCCTTAGCATTCCAAGCCGTCCCTGCTCTTTTGCTGGCAGTGGGCATGTTCTTCATGCCTGAATCCCCTCGTTATCTGGTCGAGGAGGGCAAGTACGACGAAGGACTGAGAATCCTAAACAAACTCCACTTCGATGGGACAAATGCAGACTGGATCCAAAGGGAACACAACGAGATCAGAGCCACAATTGAAGCGGAGAAGGCTGTCACTGCTCCGGGCTGGCTGATTATGTTCAAGGTTCCCCAATGGCGGACTCGGCTGCTGTGCGTCACCCGGACCTCCTTCTCTCTTCCTTGACTCTGGCCATTACTAACGAGCTTCGTCTATTCAGTCACGGTACTCTCGTCCAGGTCTTTACTCAAATGACGGGAGTGAATGTGATCGGCTACTACCAGACGGTGAGACGCCCGACGCTGATTGGCCCGTGGGCTCAAGGAGATAACGCTAACGGTTATCAGGTCATGTACAATACGCTTGGTATTACCGGTAACCGTAATACACTGGTAGCTGGGATCTATAATTGCGTTGGCCCGCTCACCAACCTGATTTTTATTGTCTTCCTCCTTGATCGGGTCGGCAGACGGAAGCCTATGTTGTTTGGCACAGTTGCTATTACTATTGCCCTGATCTGTGAAGCCGCTCTAAACTCGCAGATCAAACCCGGCGAAGTCAGCCGAGGGTATAGCATCGGCGGTGTCTTCTTCATCTTCTGTGTCACCTGTTTCTTCTCTCTGTCATTCGGTCCCACCAGCTGGTAAGTCCTTCTCGGTGCCAAGCACCATTGTTGTTCGCACTTTCTCAGAGCATACTCGCTAACATGTCGTCAACAGGACATATATGGCGGAAGTTATGCCGATGCAGATCCGTGGCCGAGGCACTGCGTTTGCGACAGCAGTCGGCAACTGGACTGTTAGCACACTCTGGGCGCAGGTGTCCCCTATTGCTCTGGGAAGCATCGGCTGGAAGTTCTACTTCATCTTTGTAGCCTTTAGTGAGTCCCTCTATCCCCTGCTGTTATCTAGCTGGTTCTTTCTTTATAATGCATCCCCTGGCTAACCGGTCTCCAAACCAGACATCTGCGTCACGTTCCCCACCGTTTTCTTATTCTTCAAGGAAACCAAACAGAAGTCCCTCGAAGAGATCGATCTTCTATTCGGTGGCCGGGCCCTTGGTCACTTGCCCGCGGATGTGGAATCGAAGGTGACGTCTGAGACCGAGAAGGCCGAGGAGACGGGAATCTCTGTGACAAATGTGGAGCACAAGGCATGAGCACTAGTCTAATCATGGAGGTGGAGTGCGCAGACAAAGGATCTTTACATTAGATATGAACTAGCTCACTCTTGGAATATACTCCGCTATAACGAGCAAATCCATCTGCTGGAATTCATGGAAACAAAGGTGGCCGATGCCGCATTAAAAACAGGAGTCCTGTGATCTGCTTCAATTATGATGTTGTTTTGATAAGTTTACCATATTACTAGTACGCTTACTGTCTCAAGTCAGTGCTGTAAATTACAGTATCCTAATTTTACTACAGCAACGTTCACAACAGTCTTAAAGCTTCAGCGCGCTGATGACTACCCGATGATAGGTCGACTCCTGAGGATTCCTAACTTCGATCCTATTCAAAATGATCTGAACCCTCGCCTTGTAAGTGTGTATCTTCGCGACTAGATAGCTAGCCTTGCTCTCCCAACGCAAACTCTGCGCCTATCCATGCAGAGACGGTAGTTCGGCGGTGACCTCGCGTACTTAGTACAAAAAGCCTACGTCTTTAACTGGCCGAGTGGGTTGGGAATTGCTTTCCCACAGTTCTCTTGCTTCCACCGTGGTGTAAATGAGAGCTAAAGTGACCAGGCAGCAGTAATGTACCGTGGGCAGACCATTGTAGTTATATTAACATACGCGCTGATCGGTTACAGCCAACCCTGGCGATATCTCCTTCCCAAGAACATCACCCACTACTGAGGAGGAGGGCGCAGTCAACGAAGCTGACTGATCAAAATTGATTAAAGAAATGCGGTTGTTCATGATGTGTCGGAAGACAAGCTTGGTGTCGAGTGTTTTGGCTATTGTTCTGGAGTGCTTTACATACGCGAAACCCCAGTTACGGGTGGAGCGATGTTCGGTTTTCCCCGCAAAATAATCAGTGACTGATGCAGACCGACCAGGGAGGATGCATGGGAAATGTGGGGGCGGAAAGAGGGGAAGGAGTTGGTTCAAATTACAGTCGGACCGTGCATATCGACGGCCTTTAAATGTTCAAGTTATTTGTAGTAAATGTAAATATGGAATTCTAAGTTGTAGGTGGACGATAATAACCTAGCTACTGCTTTTGCCGGCAGAATCTTAAGCAGAGCACTACCAAGTGATAGGTTCCACTTCTTCAGCTCGGCGCGCACGGGCGCGTACTGTATCTTCCGACCAGCCATTGGTATGCCTTGTAGGGATCATTAAATGTCTCAAGAATTCTCTCAGTGTAATAGTCGACATGAGATCGAAGAAGGACACATGGCAAATCGTTTATCATCGGCCTGTTTCTGCTCCCATTCTTTTTTATCCCGAAGAAATTTACATTTTACTTCCTTGAGGCCCTTGAGATGGACGGCCAAAATCATAATGGTCATCCTCGTCGTCCTCAACTGTGTTGTCCGGAAAAAAGATTATCTTGCAGGCGTGGTTGGAATAATCTTCGAACCGTGGTGCTTTGGCTTCAGACTCTTCACCAGTATACAGGTGCCAAAACCGTGATACTGAGCGACAAGCTTCATTTCCTCATTCCACCTCGGGAAATGTTCACATGCAGATACCGCCCAATTTAATGATTGGATAGGAAGCGAGTTGCTGTTCAGTGGGATTCGGGGTAAGGTCGTCCGTCAAAGCCATTTTTGCGGAGCTTTCTCGGACTCACAAACTGCTCAAGATATGATTGGACTTGATGGTATCTGGAAGCCTCGAGGACTTTGATACACGAAGGAATCAGAGACGGTGGTAGGGAGTTTTATAGGCCTTCTATAAAGCCAGAGGCGCGACAATCAACCGGTCGCCCCACGGCCAGGTGCGGTGGTTTTCAGTATATCTCCCCAGAATTCTCCGAAAAATCTACTAAACAAAAGACTAGATATACTGAAATCACTGAAATCTGTCTATCTGGTGATCGGTACAGTCGCTAGAGGCGAGCTATAACTACTTTCAAGATAAGGAAGCAAGGCTATATTCACATCACGGAGTGAGTAGGCATCGATAAGATTCATCTGCATGACACGTGATCCCTTTTCCAACAGTTGTGATTGCCAAGTCGACCTACTATCTAACCATGTTTGAAGGGTGATTGATGACCTGGGGAAATTATCTCAAAGTGGTCGCTTACCGTGGTTGTGCGGGGAGAGAAGCAAGGATGTTATTGGACTTGTCCTTATGAACTGCCATGTCATCGTTCACACATCTCTTCGGGTGACCTTGGTGCAGTTGGGGGAGGCGGGGGTGCTGGGGGCACACAATTACTGTTTATGAGGGCAGGAAAGAGGTAGATTTGCGTCATGATTGTTTCTGTGGGAAAAGAAGCATAAATTATTTGGAACCATGATCAGACTGGACCGGATCATCGTGGCATGACCTGACACGACATTCATGGCATGACCAGTGAAAAAGGTTGGTGGCTCAAGTCACGGGCATTTCTCTCCCTCTCCATTTTCCCCACCAGGAAATTTAGTTTGAGAGCTGCAGTGATCGCCCGATCATGCTCGGTTTGCTTTTGCGAGATGTATCTATCTTGTTTGAGTAAGTCAGTCACCGGCGCTACATGCCTTAGACTGGCCTTGGGGGTTACTCGTCTGGAGACTAGAGAGCTGCATGGGGGAGGATTTGTAGGGAATGTGAAGTAAGGCAACTGGAGGCGAGATGTCCGTATCTGGTCATCCCGAAGATGAGGAGGATGACAGGCATGTACGAATGTATGTTAGATACCTACCATCATGCACAGTATGCACAGTATGCACAGTATGTAGCAAAATTGGGGATAGCATCGAAAGGGGAGAGATTGCGGCTGGAGAAAGATTGTGGCCGTGGTGGCGACATCGTTTCCTCCATAGTTCAACAACAACCGAACTCTCCAGTCTCCCCTTTGTTGGCTCCTCTCCTCATTCTCGTGTTTCACCACCCGGGCTGGCCACTTCTTTCATCCTCAACTGATGAGTGAATGCTCTTCGTCCCACCGACATCTGCTGATTGAGACTTTTTTTTTTAAAAAACGATGGCCTGATAAAGTCTGGTTGGTGCGCGCGCAAGCCCCCGCCAAGTGCCGACGATCAGACTGCGTGAACACGATTGCGATCGAGGGGACAGCATATATTAGAGGAAAAGGAAGCTTTGCGGAAGGAGGAGGAGAAGGAGACATTTACAATATTACATTGTCGCAGTTGGTTTGTCTCCCCTCAACCTCGTCATCTCCACCCTCCTCTCTCTTTCTCTCTCTGTGTTGTGTTTTCTTTTCCCCTCCGGCGGCCGCCCACCCAGTCCCTGTGGCGCGGACGATGGGGTTGTCGTCGGACAATCAGTCAGAACTCCAGTTAAATAGTCATCTCGCCCTTGTTCTAGGCATCGGACTCGGGATTGTGACCTTGATCATCATGTGTTTGCTGTAAGTTGCTAGCTCTCCGTTCTCTTTTCTCTCGTTCATGCCATGGTCGCAACCGCGATCCCCCTCCCTTCATCACCCAACACAAGTCCCAAGATTCATTCTCCCCATACTGACACCAATGAGGCTCAGTTTGAGTCTTTTCGTCAATCGCCGCGAACGCCGTGCCCCTACTACCAAGACCAAAAGCAGAAAAGGCGACTCGCACGACAAATTGCGTAGGCTGGACGCTGTCTCACCAGCTCGGACCCTGGAGGATTGGTGGTCGCGGGCCAAGCTACCCTCCGAGGGCGCTGATGGCCAGTTCATCTGGTATGTCCAGGTCAGCGACAACCACAAATTATCGCTTTGGCTAACTCGGACCACCTGCAAGTGTTGTCTGCCTCGAATCCGTTCAGCGCTCCCAAGAGATTCGAGAACTGAAATGTTTACACGTTTTTCATCGAGAATGTCTAGAGAAGTGGTATTTGCAGAACCATTTCAATTGCCCGCTATGCCTTCGAGCCTACTACGTGCAAGAGACGTATTCCAGCAACGATTTTGTATGGATGGTATGAGCTTGAGACAATGTGCGACGATAAGTCTCTTCAGCACTTACTCGCATCGATGCTGTCGAATGCGCCCGTCGAACGATATACGAGCACCCTCGGTCTTCTACCACCCGCCTGCTCCGGTCACGGATATGCTGCACCTTCGCTGTTCCTCACGATAAATGGTTTGTGTCACTGGGAGCCATGCAGTGGATCCTCGTCGGGGTTACGATTCTTTTGTTATGCTCATGAGTCATGATTAATGTGATACCCTTATTCTATGCAAATGAACCGGTTACTTTGGGAACAATTTCTGTGTTACATGTTGTATTCTTGGATCCATTCTCAGATATAGTACTTCGCTGCTTTGTACACCTGACCTGGCCACGTCTTATATTTCTCGCGGCTGCTGAAACTCGATAGCCATTCTCCCTACCATTTGCCGACCTTCATTGTCGCCGCGTATCCAGTCCTCCGGAGGAAACAATTCAAACATTCCAACCTTGGTCAGCAATGGGATAGCTGCCTGAAGCGCCGAGCGAAGTGATCTCATCTGACCTTGATTGTCACTTGCATGGGCTTGGTTGTATGCCTTGATGTTGAGCAGTAGTGCCCTGTACGAGTCGACATGAGAATGGACATCTTTGCAATGGCAATCTGGAAATGCTCAATAGCCATGGATCGTGCGTTCACAAAGATCACACCGCATGCACGATCTTACTTACCCTACTGTGCCAGTCTGTACTCTGGTGCCATCAGGCAGGCTGACTTCAGGCATGACGGTACCCAACGTTGACGAATTGAGCGCAGCAAGTTCTGAAACGGGATGGATGGACATATTTGCAAATGGTTATTCACGAGGAGGACGAATTTTGAATCAGATTGTCTTCGGAGACCGAATTCCCAAGGCAGGACTTGGGAGCACTTTATACTTGCGGTCTACGGCGCTTGTACGGAGACTCCGCGGAGCCCCCGGTTGGAAGGGCCTACCATGCTGCGAGAAAGCATCACTCATACGTGTCTTAGTCTTAAGTTATTGGCCCTAGCTCAGTGCTGTCAAGCACATGTACAGTACAGTCCTCGGCTGGTCAGAATCACCGCGGCTGTCACCGGAAAAGAGTTCCGTTGAGAAATCGACATATTTCGACTTCCCAACATCGCTTATTCATTATGCAAAACGCCAATACGTGAAATATCGATCTATCTCTTCGTATAGCATCTCAGCCATTCTTGGCAGCTAATTATCGATCCATCAGATTCCTGTACACAGTGAATGACATAAGCGACCAGACCAATAGTGTTTACAACAAGCTACTGTTCCCTTTGCTTTGCTTTTTCTCCCTTCCAGCCTACGATGTCATCAATACCTCAAGCTTGCACGGGCTTGAATCACAGCTGCCCCTCCTCGCAGCTCTTACGATCAAAGCATTACCCCGCCATAGAGATTCTATTACAGCCCATAGCAGAGACCGCTCCCTAGATCAAGAAGACTCACGACTGCGATATCTGACAGAGTACTCAATAGATGGAGGAAGGCTTTGAGACTTGACTGCCAGCATCATCAGATCAAAATGCTTGGTATGAAGAGGGCGTTTGCCTATTTCCGCAGACGGTTGATGCGGCATAAATGCTGTGTCTGCTGGGAACTTCCCCACTCGAAAAACATCGTTGGCCTAGTGTGCGGTCATCTGTACTGCACCAGTTGCCTTCGAGACTTCTTCGTCAATGCTACTGATGCCGCGTCCCTTTTCCCTCCCAAGTGCTGCGCAACTCCAATCCCCCTGCGTCTGGCTGAAGGGCATATGACCAAAGAAGAGCTCGACAGATACCGGAAAGCAGAAGTCCAGTTTTTGACAGCCAGCTGGACTCGTTGCAGCAATGCGAAATGCGGTGCATCCATCTCGCCGGACAGGATCACCGCGTATCAGGCCAGATGCCCGGATTGCAGACTCTCCACCTGTATTTGGTGTAAAGCGGCCTCCCACCCCGGGGAGGAGTGTGCTGCGGAGCTTGCTCTGAGGAGGACTCTGGCGCTGGGGAAGAGGTTGGGCTGGAAACAGTGTCCTAATTGCAAGGCTCTGATCGAAAAAAGAGACGGGTGTGATCATATGAAGTATAGTTCCAAGGCCCTCTTGCCACTGTCATCTCGTGCATTTAAGGGGGACTAACTTATGCAGGTGTCGGTGTATGGCTATGTTCTGCTATAAATGCGGTGGGCGACATGGAAGCTGCCGCTGCTGAAGCTGACCAAGTGAGCGGGAGGTCCACTAGCTCTAGTCACGGATCTGAATTTTTCTTGAAGGACGAATAACGACAACGTTGAGCGAGACCTGGTTCATGTCACCCATGAATTCTTAGCGTCGGAGTAGAGATTTGCTTCACAGTTGCTGTCGACGACTTGGTTTTGGTCTCCAGATGCGAAGATGTCGTTTTTTTGGTGTCCTGAGATTTCGGGGCTCCCACTCTTCTTGTTCATGACATTCTGCCCGAGGGTGCGGGTTTTGCTATGCTTGATTAAGCTTGTGCTTAATGACTACCTGGCATGATATATCCAGCCTTATAACTTGGTAAACAATGCTACCGCGATATAAAGTCATCAGTCCAACCAACCCGTCATTATTTCGACTGAACACTATACCTTCACTAATCCAAAGAAACCAAGACACCATTTTTCAATCCTTAAAGACATCCCCAGCCTCAATGGTCTCAAAAGCCTTCATAGTATGATCCCAAACCGTAGCCCTCATCTCAAGCTGATCAAACTTCTCGTACGCCTTGAGGTTAATATTGGACTCGCCCTTCCAACCCAGCGAATAAACACCACTCCCAGGCGTCCCATCCGTCCCAGTAACAACATCACCATCACCACCACCCTCACCTCCCCGAGCCGGATACCGCATAGACGCAAGATCCAGCATGCGCGCCCCGCACTCCCCAGCCGGAACGGAGACCAACCGGCCGAAGAGCGGCACAAACACCCACCGCCAGAGCACGCGGAACCAAGCGGGCAGCTCGGGGTTCTGGAACGCAGGGCCCAGCACCAAACCAGGGAAGATATGGACGAGCCGCAGCTTCTCCGGGTTCCGCTCGGCCACCGTCTCCATGAACCAGGTATGCATGTAGATCATGTGCGAGCGCGCCTGCGTGTAGCTGTAGAGCTCCGGGTTGCGGAGGGAGAGGTCGTCGGCGTAGAGCTTGCCCTCGAAGCCGGCGGCGAAGACCGAGATGATTGTTGCGGGGAGCGGGGATTGGGTGAGTAAGGGGAGGAGTTTGGTGAGGGCTCGCATGCGCGAGTAGTACATGAGGGACATTGTGATGTCGAGGCCCTCTTTTGTGTCTGTTTTGCGTGAGTTTTGCGTTTGCGTGAAGGGTGATGAGGTTCCGGTATGGTGGGATAGCAGGCCGGTGAGGGCAGGCATGTTTACCTTTTCTGGGCTGGAAGGGCGCTCCACCCTGGGTTAGCATCAGGTAGTCGATTCTCGGGTTCTGGCTCTTTGCTTCCTCCAGACTGAGGATCTCGGCGCAGACCCGGTCGACATCGCGGAGTAGGGAGAGGTCGGTGGCTTGGATGAAGATGAACTCGGCGTTGGCGTGGCCGCATAGGGCGCGGCATTCGGCGATGATGTTCTCGGCTGCTTGCGCCTTGCGGCCGACGATGTATGCGCGGAGGCCTTTGCCGCTGCGGGATCCTTCGGCGGTGGCCAGTGCGCTGAGGGTGTAGTGGCCGATGCCTGAGGTGCCCCCGAAGAAGACGGCCACCAGGGGTTGGCTCTGGACCAGAGCGGTGTTGGAGGCGTGTACGGCGTCTAGAGTGACCATGGTAAGACTTGTGGACGGTGGATTGTCAGGTGAGGGGGGATTTAGTCACGGTGAGTGTCTTTGGCTTCTTCTTAAGTATTAGTTGTCGGGGATCTGGTTGGTATAGAAATGGTCGATCGTATGAAGTGCCAGTCTGGGGTTAGCGGACGGACTTAGCTTAAGCCCGCCCTCCCTCTCCTCCCCTTCATCGTTCATTCCATTTGAGCTGGAAAACACTGGACTGTCTCTACTTAATCTACCAGTATGGCTAGTAGTCCAAGGTATGCTCATCCTCTCACCCCACTCACCCCCATATCTGTCTTATAAAGTACCTGGAGATCATGACTTCATGATGCTGAACCGGGGATTGGAGCCAGACGAGATCTATACATCCATTACTTTGTTCTAGGGTTGCTTTTTGAAATTTCAACAAACGTGTTTGTTGGTGAAACGAATAAAAGGGGGGGGAGTGAAAAGCAAAAACAACGATATATAGGGCTCTGTATTACGCTAATCCTCTTTTACAAAAGCTTGATTATTTAGCTAAAAGCTGATGAAGAAAGGCCCAGATGTGAGCGTTGCAGAAGGATAGGGTCCACCTGTTCGTTGGCGGAGCAAGCCCCGAATCTCACTTTTGTTCCATCGCATCCGACTGGCAATTTGAGCGAGTGCACTGGCAGTGAAGCACTCGGGTTTGGATTAACCTCGTCCAGTAGACGCGCTGCTGAAACTAGCACAAGCGACCACCCCTCGACCCCATCTCTCTTCTTCTCGTCCTCCACCACCACCGGATCTCCAACGACGAGATCAGAAGGATTGAATAGTGCGGGGTGCTGCTGTTGAGTTTGGAACGGGGCCGGCTGAGGCTGGGGAATCGCTATACTCTGCATACGGCACGCGATTGCTCATGGGGTTGATCCATCCCCGGGACACTGATCCCTCGCCCTGGACCAATTGGGGTCCGCAGCTCGGCCTGAAGTATGATTACCTACAATACAGGATATTGATTCTAAGTGCTCTACAAATAGTATTAAGCGACGTCTCTCCCGAGAAGCATTCCCCATTCTCAAGGCCCAGAGAGCGTGTGTGCCCTCTTCGCCTTTCAATATATCATACTCCTGTATACCTGGAATCTAGCTCTGCACCGAGCCTACCAAGAGTCCGCCTGACAAGATATCTGACATTTCGTATCTTTACCACCAGACACGGCCTCAGGTCGGATACAAGCACGAGGACTTGCTCGCGACGCCTTAGGCCAGGCTATCCTCCGCCACCTTCGGACCCGGATCGTGAGCTTCCATGGGAGGTCGAGGCTGTGCTCGAGACTCAGTACACCTCGGTCAGCCAAATCCTCAGAAGAGGGTTCCTCATCGCGCTCGAGTATAATAGAACGCACACGAGGTATGGCCCCTTCACCGTATAGGTAGATCCGGGATTCTGGACAGAAGTCCGCGTAAGGGAGCCCATGGCGCTCTGCGTTCTGGCAAATTATATGGTTAAGCTACATTGGCGGAGTCAAATCGTCTAGTTTGGCCCTCTCACAAGGACCGCAATCAATGCGATTGGTCAGGGGCTTGCACCCAAATGGCACCCATGCACCGCCTGGGCGATTTCAAAGACGGAACGTATGGACAGCAATCAAGGACCCGCGGTATCATTAGCATGATGTGGCGTCGTAACCCAAACCTTTGGAGAGCAGAGTCCTGCTGGAACAACTGATCGTACAAGACCCCAGCATTGTGATACAGGAGCTTCCTAAGGTTTAGACAAACCACCTCCAGTAATTATACAATACGAGGGGCGGAGTTTCAAAGCAGCCCAGCGAATAAGCCAATACCCACATCCCATTAGCCTGCATCGCGCTGCTAGCCAGGATTCGCGAGTTGCGTGCTAGACTAATCCCTGGAGCTCAGACAGAGAGGGATTTTCGTTGCTTTGGATGTCATATCTGTTCTTTCTCAGATGAGCTTTGGATTGGCTTAGCATGCTCCATATCCGGTTTCCGAGGCATGTTTGTGAAACAAGCCGACAAGCCAACCAGAATCACAACCTGTGTTGCTTTGTAGGTCAATGGCAGCGAGAGCTGTACGGGTGGTGGAGATACCTGTTTTTGCAATGAACGAGGGAGGTGTCGTACCAAGTGACCGCAGCAGCAGATTGGAAGAAGTGGTCACGAGGCGGGGCTTAGGACTATCCTGGAGAAACATGCATAAGTCTATTCTACATCACGGACTATATCTTTCAACGTGTCAACTCATAAACTCTGAGAGGGATCATCGCAACATACAGGATAAACTGCAAAATGCGCCGAGCAGGTAATTTATCGACACATTCTGCTCCGTTCATCTTGTCCATGAGCGTACCACTGAAAGGGTGCCAGGATTTTCAAGGCTGGAAACTACATTTCAGTAGGGCATTATCCGTCAGTTCTGAAAAGGATATTACCCCAACGCGATATCCTACATCCTTGATTATAATGCTACCAGGACTTTACAAGACTACTCCGCCCTCGTGGGGAGGGCCTTTAGTATCGGTATTCATCGAATTCGTGACAGAATTGAGCAAGACTTAACAAGCTGATAGCTACCATCTTAAGTCTCACGGTGTTCGGCAATTGAATGTGCTCAGCACGGTGTTTCAGCGTCTCTGACAGGTGGGATTACATCCCTTTGGAGTGTTGCTTTTAGGGAGGGGGGGAAGGTGATAGAGTTCGCTCGTTTGCTGTGATGGAAGGTACCTAGTAGATTGGTTGTTGTGAGAGGGATTGAGGTGTCAAAGTAGTGAGCGCGATTAATAGATGCCTCAGGTTCGGGATTGGACAGTGAAATCGGGGTAGAGAGAGGAGGATTGGAAGCTGAGCCTTAGGTTGTGATCGTACTGACGTGTGGGGTACCAACTGGCTCGAGATTACGCTTGTGGCACAAGGCTGGGGTGATGACAGCCGACGGTCGAAGACACCTCAGCAAGCCCCAGAGCTGTCAAAGGCGCAAGGTAGTTTGATCCTTCATACGGGAGGCTCCACAGTTAAGCGTTTACTTTATCGGTCATCAACCAATTTTGTCATTCCGACGTAGATCATATACATACAGTGTCAGGGCTTGATCGTCACGCTAATCACTAGACTTGTTGTATTCAGTCCAAATTCTAGATCGACCCACTGTCCAGACCACACCGAACGCCTTGAAGATCCCGACCCCATGAAAACCATGCCAGACACAAAACCCCGTAAACACCCTCGAAGGCACTGTCATATGGAGAAGACAATGCAGTATGCAAGCCGATAATGAAACAAGAAACTCAGGGCCTATGCACAGATTATGCCCCACGAAGAAGAAGATAGGTATTGTACGAAGTGGATATCTGAAAGCACAGGAAAGCGAAGAAGATGAACTAAGCAGCGATGAAGACGTGCTCATTTCACCCTTGTAGGGCTTCCAGCGCTCCCGACGCGCCCACTTGCCTTGCGAACTCCTTTTTCGCTACGGCTATCTGTCACACGTCTGGGGCTTGTGCGGACCTTGGTAACGGAAATCGCCCCAGTGCCGCTCTTGCTGCTCACCGGAGTCTTGGGTGCATATGCGGCCGCGTCTCCCCAATTTTCCCGGTCATCATCATTTAGAGTATAACTGGCAGTCACAGTGGCAGAGTAACTGACAGACCGCTGGTTGGGGGATGCCACAGGAGATCTCGAGGAACGCTTGGCCAGCATACGCAACTGGATTTCTTCCTCACTCTCGCTACTATCGGTACTGAGGCGGTGAGAGGTCTTATTCGTGTCCTTTTCGACAACAAGGCTACCAGAGGTTGTGCGAGAGTAGGGATGGTGGCGGGAATCTTTGCGAAGGGACTTGCGAGGCTGACCAGGCGTGGGTGCTGGCAAGTTCTCCTCAGCTTGGGTACCTGCCCCTTCATTGTGGTCAATTTCTCCGAGAGCGGCACGCTTGGAATGGCCATTGTTTGGCGGGGTGGCGACTGGTCCGTTTGCGCGCTGGCGCGTAGTCGGCCGGCCGGGCGTGATAGGTGCCGATTGCAATTGAGCGAGCTTCTCCTTCATGCTGTCCTCGAACCACCATTCGCGGAATGAGCCTTGGTTGAGGTGCAGCCAGTGTTGCTGGGGACCAACAACCATTCCTGGGCGCATGAACCTCATGAAAGCAATGATCTCGTTGGCGGTGAAACCATATCTGTAAATCAAATAGGCGCCGATGAGACATCCAGTGCGGCCAAGGCCCGCCTTGCAGTGGACAGCAATTCCTTTCTTCTTCTGTGTAATCATCTCATGCGCCATCTTGATAAATCGGCGGACGAGGGGCAGAGGAGGGCAAGTTCCATCCTCGAAGATCATGTCGACGTGATTGATTCCCAAGGCAGTGAAGTAGGAGGGCGAGTATAGCTCAGAATTCAGTCGGACAACAAGGCCCACGCTCCGGGAGGAGAAGTGGGTCAAAACATTCTTGAAAGGAGTAGGGAGCTTTGAGGCTTGGACTTCCGAGACAGTAGAAGGCAGCGCAGCATATTCAGGCGAGTCACGCGGAATGACATCAATTGGTTGATGTTGTGGAGAGGCGAAGGCCAGGAACTGTGGGGTGATCCAGTTGAAGTCACCCATGTCGACGCGTTCGTACTTCTCATACCTTGTTATTCAGTCAGCATATGAACCACAAGCGTCTGTAGGACTGTTCATACTCTTCGAGGCTAAAGTCTCTCAAGCCACACAGTGACTGCTCCTTGGCCTTCCACACTCCGTATACAACATCCTGGATGTTGAGAATGTAATCTGCCTGACTGTATCCAGCGTCGCGGAAAGGCATGTATGGGGGATCTGCCTGCGCAATCGGAGCTAGGGCCAAGTGTGGAGGCCACGATTGGATCAGAACCATATAGCAAGCGACTAGGCAGGCTGCGTTCGCGCGGCTGCGCGAGTCTGTCTTGGAGTAGAAAACCACGGCGCGATCACTGTTTGCGGGGTCTCCCAGTATCTCATGGAAGTGCACTGCAAAGCGATAGAGGTGGCCGATGTGTAGAGGACCGAAGTCCGCATGGAAGGAGTTGTATAGAAGAACATCATCGACCGTGAAGTATACGGGGCTGCGTTTCTTGCTGCTTGGAGTCGTAGGCTGAGCTCGAGCAGATCGCTTGCTAGGAGACTTGGGTTGTTCAGGATAGGGAAAAGGTGTTCTCGCATCCGGAGGATAATCGTAGGAGGCCAAATAGAGACGGTCTATTGTGAAGCATTTTTAGCACCTTATAACGCAAGACGTTGGACGAGGGACCAAGATAGTCACATATAGCTCGCCAATTCTCTACTCAGCAACAGGTCGAATGACATACCTTGAATGTACTCGATCACCTGCCCATAATCACCACTGCGTGTAGACATTTTGACTGAATTGACGCGACAACAAAACAATAGGCGCCGACAGTGAAACTGAGAAATAAACAATCGCAAGAAACTCGCCGAAAGAAGGAGTTATACGACGTGTCGAATAAGAGATATGGTGCCGCTATCGATGGTAAGGACTCCGCTGGTGAAGAACAGAGATGGGATCCAAGCAAGACGTCGAAGCTAGATACTCATGATCTGGTCTGGTGACCCTCCCAAGCACAAGCAAGATGAAGCTATAATGGACGCGGGTGGCGGGAAGGGTAAGGATAAAGGCAGCAAGGCCAAGGCAGAAGAGGATATACAGGTGATCAGCGGAGTGGGCGAAGGTCGAGTTTATAATAAGAAGAGGGGACGAAGGGAAGAGAGAGGAAAGTGAGGAAAAAGTTGGTCGGCACGAGAAGAGGATAGGCTCGAGGCCGATGGGAGACTCGTTTGGGGCAACTGCGATGCACGCTAAGTGGCTGCTGTTATGTTGTGATGAGCCGAATAAGGTCTAGTGCATCTGGTTGACAGGGAAACCCGACATGCCTCAGGCTGCCTCAGGCTGCCAGTCGACGTTCAATAAGCTGACAGGGGTATTTTTCCTCGAATTTCCCTCTTTGCCCCCCACCAATTACTCCGTAACATACAAACAAACACCCCGTAAACACAACAACATCTGGCGGCCCGGCCACGTGAGCGCCTCCTTACCGGTGTTTGTTATGGCCCTGTTATTGTCTACCCGTTGTCAGTCCAACTCAACTTTGACCGTCCGCATTCAATAATCCCCTCTTGACTACGCCATGCATCTGCCTTGGTGCAGTTGCGACCCCCCAATCTGAGGTCATTGCCCCTCACTTACCTCGTACAGCAGCCAATTGTGTAAATCTATTTATTGTTTCCGGAGAGATCATGGTTCCATCATCAATATATTTCCTGCAAGATGCACAGAAAGATATGCTTGCCAACACGTCTTGGGAGAAAGTCCATGACGCCAGCCAAACCGCGAAGCTTTGATCAACATATGAGACTTATTGTAAACTCGTCCACCGGAGCCGTTGTTGCTGCAAGATCAAGCAACCCATCCAGAAATGTGTAGGCCGAAACAGGCGGACGATATCGGGTATTTGTGGTCAATTTCCATCTCCGACGGTCCGACAATCTGTGTTCATCATCTCCGAGAAGTGATATGGAGCAAACCCGGGGTATGGTATAACAAAGAACAGGGATTACAGTTTTGCCGGCGTCTAGCACCTCGAGCGAGGTCGCGTCAGTGCTTAGTGCAACGGGTTGATTTGGCATTGATGCATATTTCCTTGCTCATGCACCTATTTATGTGGTCATCATCTGGAGACAGTAACGGCGGCCGTCTTCTGTGCTTACCTCACCAAGGATGAACTGCACAACTCTGGATATGAGCGCCTTGATGTCGGCCATGGAACAATGCCTAAAATCAAGTATGCCGATAGTAGCACTCGATCTTACTTCCCCTAGACATCGATTCTAGTCTTTGATGGAAGCCAGCACGGAACTTTCATTCAGTTTTGTGACTCAGATGTTCACATTGTGGAAGAGATACAATTCTATAAAACTTACTTTCGGTTGACAGATTGTGCGTCCAGGGCCCTCTTTCACGCCTGATTTGGGCCATCCTTCCCTTTAGATGAACATAACCGCAGCAACATGCACAATGACAGAGACCAGACTAGCTGAGTAGAAGATCTCGTGGAGCTGATGCCGACCATGAGCTAAACATAAAAGGCCGATCTCGGCTTGTCTCTGAAGGGAATCCACGCAGTAGCGAGTGTACATGTAGAAACGCTACGCAATCGTCTGTGGATCACTTTACAAATTCTAGAAGAGGTAAACATACTACTAGCAGGCATTTCAGAGACAATCGACACGTGCTTCAAGGCCATAAGCCAACGCGAAGCAAAGCTCCAATCCTGGCGCGAGAACAACTTTCCCGAGAACTATAGCACCAGTGACTCGAGCCTGAGGCATGAAAGCTGACTCATCTCTTATCCAGCATCCCACTTCTCCCCGCCTGGACTTGCTTTGGTGGGCTCAATCACTAAACCCCGACCAGACTACCTCATTGATCATAACCACCGCCCTGAAGACAATCAGCATACACACATCCAACCACAGTTTCACTTCCAGCGAAGCCAGAATGAACGCCCCCGTCTCCGCCGCCGAGTTCCCCTACAGCCTGTGAGTTTTTTCCCTCTCCACAATCCAGCCAACGGACTGAATTCCGAACCTTCCCCGCAACTGACAAATTTTTTGAAACCCCCGTAACAGAACCATCTCTCTGCCCCTACCAACCAACCGCCTTGCATCGTCTGCCCTGCGCACCCTCGAAGTCGATGCCGAGCTCTCCCCCTTCGTCAAGCGCACTCTGACCCTCGCCAGCCCGGACAAGGATCAAGCCGCCGACGACGCCGCGAAGACCGTCCTGGAGACGACGTACTATGCGACCACGAACCGGATGCTTCGCGTCGCGGTGAACGGGTTCATGGAGAGCCTGGGAGTGGTGCTCGGGGTAATGGAGGAATTGGATGTGGATGTGTTGGAGATGGAGAATGAAAAATGAGTTCGGTTGCGCTGAGCTAAAAAGAACGAGGATGGGATCCGACCTCGATACCTAGAAAGGTGGAAGAGAGATGAGGAGAGCTTCCTCGGATGGTCGTTCTGTCTACAGGTGACATGGACTACCGTATCTCGCAAAGACAGGGGCAAGGGTGCACCAGGTGTTGATCAGACAAACCGGAATCGGGTCTGATCGGGCCATTGTAGGGATTTCACGGCAGATATGGCCTTGCACTTCGCATGCTGTGTCATCATCAAAGGAGCCCTAAGTCCCAAACTCGCGCCCCAGGGGATTTACGGAATGAATGTAGCTGTGCGCGAGCCTCTAGATTCCAAGTTGGCGGCGGACGACACTAGATTCTTCGACTCCCGCCTCGGAGACATACTACGTCTCATCGGATTTTTTTGTTCGATTGACGAGTATTCAATTATGGGGTCAAATTAATCACACATGCTGGATTCATGTATAGACACTTTCATAAGACTCAAATAACCCATTTTGAAAGCATTTTGAAGATACCAACCAAGCGGCGGAAATACTGAGCATAAGCGGAGCCGAGACCCAGGCTATCATTGGATCAGAACAGTCTGTAACTGCCAGCGTGGAACAAACCCGACTTAATTCTATCGGGCCATTTTCCGGGACTGTAGCTTAATGGATAGAAAGTATTTGGAATTCTGCAGCCGTCATTTACATGAAGATGTTCGCCCCGCACCAGGATAAGGGCAGCAGATGGTCATATGCAAATTGCATAACCGAATCAGCCATGAAGATTGTCAAGCAGACCGGGCAGAACAGGCGCACCTGGGATCCCAAAGTAGCAAAAAGACCGGGGCCTTCAACGGGTTCTGAGAGTCTGGACAGCGAAAGATGACAAACCATCCCTCGGGAATCAAGCGCCATCGATCGACCGACCCGCGTTGAAGGATGATGATGACATCGTCTTTCTTCCTTCTTTTTAGGTGGGAGCGTATTCCTTTTGCTCCTGAGAGCGTATCCTTTCTGGCTTTCGGGTTCGGAAACATCCTCCTCCGTGATCCCCCATTCGAGACTGTGGTTCAGACAGAGTTTACCTTGAACATCCGAGAAGTATCGGGACTGCGGTTTCAATAATAAAAAATAATAATCATAGTATTAAACTGGGTTACTGGTCTTGAAACGACCCGACGGTTCTTCCCATGCGCCCACCAGCCTCGATCGTGACAATAGCATATAAACCAACCGCTAGACCGCGGTTAATCCTTCCTTCCTCACTTGCGCATTCCATTGCACCACCACTTCCGTTACCGCTCAACACCTCCTTTGCGACACGACGACGCCCATCGCAACTATACCACATCCCCTCACCTCTAAACTTTCTACGAACCAAAACAACACTCGCAAAAATGTCCTCCGCCACGACTTTCTACGACTTCGAGCCTGTCGATAGTACGTCCGGCCTTTTTCTCTTTCCCCGCTTCCCAAATCCCCCCTCCCTCCCCTCTCCAAACAAACCAATGAGCAAAAACCACCTCTCAACTAACCCCCAATCTTCCGTCACACAACAGAAAAAGGCAACCCCTTCCCCCTCACCGACCTGAAAGGCAAGGTCGTTCTCGTCGTCAACACGGCCTCGAAATGCGGCTTCACCCCGCAGTTCAAGGGTCTGGAGACGCTCTACCAGGACCTCAAGGCCCAGTACCCGGAGGATTTTACCATCCTGGGCTTCCCCTGCAACCAGTTCGGCAGCCAAGATCCCGGATCCAACGACGAGATCCAGTCCTTCTGCCAGCTTAACTACGGCGTCACTTTCCCGGTGCTGGGCAAGCTGGATGTCAATGGTGACAAGGCCCACCCTGTGTGGACGTGGATGAAGCAGGAGCAACCGGGCCTGCTGGGCATGAAGCGCATCAAGTGGAACTTCGAGAAGTTCCTGATCTCCGCCGACGGGAAGGTGGTCGGCCGCTGGGCGAGTCTGACCAAGCCCGAGTCGTTAAAGGAGACCATCGTGCAGGAGATCGAGAAGGCGAAGAAGGAGGGCAAGCTGGCGTCGCAGACTAAGGGCACTGCTACTACTGCTTCTGAGGAGACCCCTGCGGCGGCGGCTGCTCCTGCAACTGAGGCTCCCGCTGCGGGTGCTGAGACCCAGGCTTAATGATCGTAAGCCACGTGGGGTCTATCCGGCTTCGTGGGAAGGAGGGGGAAGTTGTTTCAACTGTGTGATACCAATTTCTTGTTTGTCGTTCTGTTTCCATCAAGTGGGTGATTTCCGGTGTGTTAATGGATTGATACTTGCTCGTCCTACAGAGATCCCTTGTTTTGTAATGATTACTATGTCTCAGACTGTAATGAACTCTTCAGATAATGCTTGACGCGACTGAGCCGTCCCACCAAAATCATGGCCATCTATTGTAATCAAGCAGCAGGACCATCCTTGGGAATCAAGTTGCGCAGCGACAAGTCGTAGACAACGTCTTCCACTTTCTTGACCTGCACAGCATCTCCGTTAGCCTGCCTTCCCTGGCCAACAACCGCGCCGCGAGACTTACACTGTACTTAATCCCATCGCTCTTCTTCCGCAGGATATCATTCTTCAGATTCAGCAGCTGGAAGCCAGCAAACAGCTCCTTGATGAAGTTGCTGATCTGCATGGGCCGGGTGTAGTCACCCAGGGTGACGGAGTTGACCGCCAGACGAGACTATATCAATTCGTTAGAAAACACAGCCAAGAACGATCAAGAGGGACCGAATAACACCCACCAGTTCTTCCACCATAGCAATAAGCGCAAGTAGGTACTCCTCAATCGTCAAATGGAAAGCATCCTGCTCCTTGAGATTGACAGGCACTGGGTGAGTAGTCAATACACCGGAACACCCCCATCTCAAACTAACCACAATCACTCACCACCGAGAAACTTCCCCACCTCCTCGATAGTCAAGAACGAGGCCGAGCTACCAGACTTGTACTCGTCCAGACCGCCCAGCCAGGCGCACAGCTCAATCGACGAGACCTGTAATTTTTACCATGAGTTCATCATCATCATCATCATCATCATCACCACCACCACCACCACAAGTCCTCCAGGACATAATGGCACCGGATTTGTGGGGAAGGGGGAGGAGAATGAGAGAGGGACAAACCAAATTCTGAAGCTCCCGCGTCCACACGCCATTATATTTATAGAAAGGGTGCCTATCCGCGACGGTCTTCAAGCGCGCAACCTCATCCCGCTGCGCGAGGATCGCCTTCGTCACATCGTCAAGAACAGGTTTCACTATCTACATCAGCAATTCCGTCTCCCTCACTTCCCTCCTTCACAGCCAGCCCAGCCCGGAGAAGATATTAAATACATACACTGCTCCGCCGGCGTAGAGTGCGCTCGCGAAAGGATAGCCTGCGTAGATCGTCCTATTCCCACATCATCAGAAAATCTTAATCTTTCACACCTTTGAACTAACGGATAGAGTCCCTAATCAGGTGTGAGGCGACAGAAAGAAAGAGGCAAATACCCTTCCGTGCAAGCGTCTGCACGATATCATGAAGTTCCTGTTGGAGAGATTTATATGTTCAGTTTGCTTGCTTTGCCCGTTTTTCTGCGGGCTTGGCGCGCGCGGAAAGCTTTCGTTCTTACATCGCGGACGGTGGCCTCTTCGTCGATTTTCGACTGGAGGTCTTCGAAGATTTGGTGGTCGATCATTTTGAGTCGTTGTTGAGCCTAGCTTAAGGTGTTCTTGTTGGTTAAGGTTGGTTGGCTCGATTGTGTCTTTGATCGTCGATAAGGTTGTGGTAGGAGGATGCCCAGTGGTGTTTGCTTGTTACGTCAGGCGGCGCTGAGGGAAGAAATTGTGGGGCAGATGGAGGAGATGGAGATTCTGTCCGCTCTGCGAGGTGCAAGTACTGTACATTGTAGAAATAAGGGGATTAAGTTGACCAGCTTGTAAGTACGGAAGGAGGCGAGAGGCTCATGGCATTAGTAACTTGGTCGATGTGTCTATTTCGTGGAGGTTGAAATTGCCTGCATTGTGATCCGCAACTGCTCTTTGAGCTCTCTGGCACTTCCAGTTTTATATTGCGGACGACAAGCGCCAACGAAGAACACGTACGACTACCTCTCATCAACCAATCTACTAAGATCCCAGCAATGGCCACATCTACCAATCCAATCCATTTCATAAACTCATTAAACCATATAAACCAAATGGAAGCAACCTCCACCACCCCGATCCATTACCAAGCACAGCACAGCGCAACAAAACAACCTCAGTACCGATACCTCGTCGAATAATCTTTGAAAACCCAAGCCAGTCAGTCAACACCCCTAAGAGCCACACAAAACACGAACAGCAGGGGAAACATACCCTTCGGACTAACGACCAGACCGCGCCCCTTCTTGGCGCCCTTGTAGATCGTCTCAATGATATCGATCATCTCCTGCTTATCCTCGAGCACCCAGTTCAACTTATTGTTGTTACCCGTGCCAAAATCGCACATCATGTGCTTGTTCCTATAAAAGAACATAATGGTCATCGGGTCGAAAAGCTCATACATGGTGTTGAACTCGGGCACCTCGTCGATGTCGCAGAGGTAGATCACGGCGAAGTCTGTGGAAATAGGTGAGTTACATGCGAAAAAACCTCACAACATTTCTGGGAGACGCTGCTGGTCCAGCCTGCGCAACCAAGAATATTGGACTTGGGCTGAGGTATTGGGAGAGCTATGTACGTACTCTTCACCCTCTCGGCGATCTTGAAGAGGACTTCATCCTGACGCATACCTGGTTCGGCGGAATTAGTAGCTGAAGTGGTAGGTAGTGAGGGGAATGAGGCTTACAGTCGACGTCGTGGTCGCGGCCGAATCTGATAACCTAGATGTTCCACCCATTCCTTCGTTAGTTATCAGATGTAGGGAGTTTTGAAATGCGTATGGTTAGATAGAATCCGGACGCACCACGAGTCGGTCTTCCTCGGACAGGATGGCCTGGTCGACGTGCCAGGCGGTGCGGAGATGCGGCAACACGACGGAACCCATGATGAGCTAGCTACTGATGTAACGACGGTGAGAATCGCACGGCGGTAGTTGCAGGGAAAGACAGGGAATGTATGGAGTAGTGCTGTATGTATCACGTGAAATATGAATATAGAAGAGCAGGGAACTGTGACGTTCGTTTACTTTTGCTCCGGCCGACCATGGAAGGTTCGAGGTGTCTCAATTTCAACCGCAGTTATCTATCTAGCTGATGAGTGGCGCGAAGTGACGAGCGAAGCGCCGCGTCGATTACAAGAGTTATTCATGGAGTTTTTCTTCTCCAATCAGTCGGCAAGCCGACCAAATTGATGAAAAAAAGGGGGTTCGCGTCGATTGGGGGTAGTGTAAGCCCAATGACACTGTGTGGTCCGACATGCGCAAGCACAGAGGTCAGACCACAGGGTACAAAAATAAGATTAATCAATGTTGTGTTCCTTAGAACACTTTCAGAGATTAAACTGAAAAGAACAGATACTACACTTGATCTAAGCCAAAAGGCAAAGAGAGCTGGAGAAGAAAAGAAAAAAAGTCTAAAAGATGGTGGGCGGCGCGAGATATTTATCCCCAGGCCAGAAGGCCCGTGCGCCGCTAGCTCACTAGCGTCGGCTACCTTAACCATAAGCGAGATCAAACTTACTGCCTGAGGCAGGAAAAAGCAGATGAGAGCCTCAAACACCAGGCCGCAAGAGACCAACATGCACATGATACGCTGAGCCCTAATCAACAAAAACAAGCCCTATCCATATTACCCAAAGAAGACTAGTGGGGCGCACTCGACCCTCACCAGCGAGATCTGACCATCCTTACCCTAGACGTTTTCTCTCCCATCTCCCATCAGGCGCAGGATACTCACCTCTTTGCGACCAGCTACTTTCTCTCTCTATCCCCCCGAGAAACCCACCCCCCCCTACAGTCACAATGGCTCCCGTTGCTGTATGTTTCCTTTCCACAAATCGCTTTGCTGTTCCCCCATGAGAGTTCATCTATCCATGATCGTTTTGGACTTCTCATAACGCCGGCGTTTGGGAGTCCAAGACGGCTTCGAAAATTTCACAAGTCACATCATGGATACATGAACCTCTCTATTTGGGATACCGACATTATGGAACAGTAGGCTAATGGTATCTTGTTTGCGGACAAATAGGCTCGTGGTCGCAAGGCCCAGAAGGTCACCCAGAAGGTATGTTAGATCGCAGGACCCGCATCTCAAGAACCCTTGCTGGTATAGTCCGAAACTAATCCTCCCGTTCAGTATGTCATCAACGCTTCCCAGCCCGTGAGCGACAAGATCTTCGACCTCTCTGCTTTCGAGAAGTTCCTCCACGACCGCATCAAGGTCGAGGGCCGTGTCGGCAACCTCGGCGACAAGGTCGTCATCTCCCAGGCTGGTGAGGGCAAGGTCGAGGTTGTTGCCCACATCCCCTTCTCTGGCCGCTACCTCAAGTACCTGTAAGTCTAACACACTTCCCAACATACCACCCGACGAACGGAAAAAGAGCCCGCGCTGACTGGTTTCCCACTCCACAGCACCAAGAAGTACCTCAAGAAGCAGCAGCTCCGTGACTGGCTCCGCGTCGTCTCCACCTCCAAGGGTGTCTACGAGCTCCGCTTCTACAACGTCGTCAACGACGAGGGCGAGGAGGATGAGGAGTAAATTCTCTCCTTTTAAGAGCATCGAACAAAAATAGACATCCTTCAAAAAACGCGGAAAAAAACAAACGACCAGACTCGATGAAAGTCTACTCCGGCTATTTGGGGGGTCTGCAAACGACAACTTGCTTATGCACTGGGGCTAGGATGGAATGAGTCTGGTTGGAGTATATAGGTTTGCGCATTGGGAGGGATTCCTGCATGGCAGCTCAACATGGACTGGGATAGCGGATATTCTTGCCTGAAAAGGTGATCTCTGCACTTGTCCGTTGGGTTTCGTCGCGGCTTTATCTACTCATGACGTTATGACTGGTAGATATGAATCAATGGAGCACTCCGATACTTAATCACTTTGTCTTGCACGTAGACGTATCAGCCTGGGTATCATATTGTATAAGGATAATTGCAGTATGGCAGTTTTGTATTGATGACGTTCAACGCCCCGGACTGGAATTCGCTCTCTTCTGGCCCGCCCCGGGTCCAAGCCTTCCTGCTGCTGCCCCGGCCTCAGCCCCTTCTGTACCTGGTGGGGGTACAAGCTTGTCGCCCTGGATCTGCCAACCTTTCGATTTCAATACCTTCCAGGTCTCGGCTGCCTTGACTCGAACCAAATCGCCCGTAGCAATTGCATCTTCCTTTGAATCATGACCAAGACTTCCGCCTGTTTGTATTTCCCGCTCGAGATGCCTTCGGCATAACGTCTTCAGACTCATGCGATTCGGTAAGCCCCGCGGATGCGGATACAGCATGACAGTATCAATGATTGTCGGGTGAATTATCCGACAAACATTCAGATCATTGTCGATCGCATGCCCGATCAGAGGCGTATCAGGTTGAAGATGGCGGAACAGCAGAGCGCGGGCTGCAGCCGGCGATTCAACAACCCTCAAGGCTGGCTCCTCTACCTCGCCGTCTTCATGTGCTGCCGATCCCGGCCCCTCCTGAAAGCTGTTATAGGGTATAGCCTTGTTGTAGTGTTCAGGGAAGACCCCGGAGAACTGCGAGTTCAAGTCCAATACTTCGCCCATTGGTCTGACGAGGACATCCAAAAGTGCTTTGCCCTGAGGCCAGCTGACTGCGGTCAGTCGGATCAATTCCAGGCCTAGCGTGGTATAGCCCATCTCACAATCAAAGCAGACAGGCTGGAGTGGCCCCTTGAATGGTTGTACTGGCGTCTGCGTGAATTGAAGAACGGAGGCAAGTCGTTTGGTTTCCGACACTTTGTAGACATGAGTCTTCCCTCTAGTACAACCGGACGAGGTGCCCAGCGTTTCATTACAGCAAGAATAGTAAGCTTCCTTGTGTCCTGTGATATGATCTGTTTGCTTTCTTGGAGGATAGAAGGGCTTCCCAGGATGATGAATGCATTCACCCCCAGACGTCAAAGAGCCATCTTCGCGACGGCCCGGGAAGACCTGAAACCTTCCACCGCACCGATCACACTTCTCCCAGCCTTTGGATTCGGCAACACCTTTCTTGGCGTTCTCGACCTCCGCATCTGATGGGGCCTTGGTGACATAACCATATTGTTCGAGACCTTCGACTGGCGTGACTAGTTGGCTTGCCAGTGCGATTTCCTCTTTAGCGCTTAGTCCGGTATTGAGAGTCTGCGGCTTCGACTGCTCTGCCTTGGCCTCAATCTTGTAGTATCGCTCATTGAGGTGGTTCTTGACTTCCGTAGTCCATTCCTCCTTGCTCATTTTCATGAGCCTGACAATACGAAGCTTGATGACGTTGGCATATATACTCGGGTTGCCTTTGGCGGTCTTCTCCTCTTCGTCTAAAGCCATTGTGATGAGTTCATTCGGCGTAAGAACAAGGTACTTGTCCCTGCTATCTGTGTCCTTTGCTAATTTCTCGTTTTGCGAAGCCATAGAAGCATGCAATTTCGTGAGGATAGCTAATCTTGCCCCGTGCGGTGCGGGCGCTTTCGTCAGCATGCGAGGATTCAAGCTTTCCCGTGGAGCCTGCCTCGGTGGTCGCGACTTCACTGCTGGGGCCCTTGTAGGTGTGGGTGTGGCCGTCTTCGCCGATGCCGATGCTGGCTTCGGCGGCGGAGACACTGTTCTGGACAGTGACTGCAACCTGACGGGCTTCGAGGGCGCCGGCGGTTGAGGTACTTTCGAGGAGATCAACGGCGCACTTGGCTCGAGGTCTGTGGCTTTAGGTAATCCTGGTTTGAATTCCCTCTTCAATAGCTTCGTTCCTCTTTCACCCGTATCTGGTGCCGCTGACGTTGTGAGTGCTGAATTTCCAAACATCGCAGCAATGTCAGATTTGGTTTCCGGCACATCTTTGCCGTTTGCGGCGATATTCGGGCCATCGCCAATTGAAGTATGTGAGTTGTGGGAGAAGATGCAAGTCAGCAGAGAGCAGTCCTGGCCCTCAGGACAAGGTATGTCCTTAAACAAGCCGAGGGGGGCGAACATTGTGAGAGATGAGTAAAGATGTGAGGCTTGAAGAGAGAGACGGGATAGAGTTTAAAATCATAGCCAAAGAGAAAGATAATCAGCGAATCTCACTGCTACATAGCAAGCATCAGATAGAAGCAATCAGGCGTTAATAGTCTTGTTGTATGGATAATTGACTCCGCGGTTGGCAGGCTGCGAGGGAAAAGCAAAGCGGCTAGTACTCAAGCTGGAACCAGGAAGTCACCGGACTGAGAGATCAGCGAGAGATTATATTTAGCAGCTGACCAAGATAGTGGGCTCTTTCGATCCTCAGCAGAGAATGCTTTGAGCAACAAAGAAACATCGAGCGAACTTCCATTCCAAATGGAAGGCGTTCAGAGGCCAGACTGACCGACTGCACGTGTCGGAGAAACAGACAGTGCAAAGGATGCAAACTCCCGACACGAACAGACAAAGACGCAGCTTTCGCCGATCCTCAATTTCTCAAATGACCGCCACTTTTGAGGCTTAGACAATCGACCGATCGACTTTCCTATGATGTCGATTCCTCCCTTGTTGCGCAGTGTTCAGTCCTACAATATGATGTTGTCTGCCACCGGCTCTTCTAGGCCAATTTATTCTCATCAGGCACCCACGATGACGTCGCATTTATCCGGGCTTAGTAAGCGCTCGCTGGCCTCCCTTCAACTAACTAGAGAATTGTCCTGGACGGGCGGACAACGAAGGAAGCAGCCACATGGACCCCCTAATTGCGCTAAAACCGTGCTTAAGTCCGGCGGCGACTGGCGGATCATGTCGAGTGGGCTATATTATCACTGCTCGTTGACCCTAATCGCAAGAGGAGACTCTTGATCTCACATTCGGACCATGGAGCTGGAGCTGGAGCTGGATAACGGCCGGACGCCGGCTGAGACGTCGCGCAACGCAGATCATCTCTGCGTTTTGGTTCATGGGTAAGACCGTTCAACAAGCCCGTTGATCGAACAGCTTGCTGATTGTCTTGCCTCGTCAGACTATGGGGTAATCCCTCTCATCTGGACTTTATCGCCACCTCGCTGAGGGATCGATTCAAGGAGGACCGCCTCCACATTCTGGCCGCAAAGCGCAACTCCGGGAACTACACCTACGATGGGATTGAGCTCGGCGGAGAACGCCTGGCGCACGAGGTTGAAGAGACCCTCGAGAAACTCGCCAAAGAAGGCCACAATATCCGGAAAATAAGTTTTGTCGGGTATTCACTCGGAGGCCTGGTGGCTCGATACGCCTTGGGGCTGCTCTACGCTCGGGGATGGCTCGATAAGCTGGAGCCCGTCAATTTCACCACCTTCGTTTCGCCGCACGTCGGGGTGAGGCTCCCGCTCAAGGGGACCTGGGGCTTCTTGTGGAACAACGTAGGCCCCCTCACGATCTCCATGTCGGGAAAGCAGCTGTTCATGATCGACACCTTCCGCGACTCCGGGCGCCCGCTGCTCAGCGTCCTGGCCGACCCGGACAGCATCTTCATCAAAGCATTAAAGACCTTCAAGCATCGGTGCATCTACGCCAACATTGTCAACGACCGGTCGACTATTTTCTACACCACGGCCATTTCGTCGACCAACCCCTTCCAGGACCTGGAGAATGTGCAATTCGACTACGTCAAGGGATACGAGCCCGTCATCATCGATGCCACCAAGCCCGTCTCCATTGTCAAGCCCGAGCGCCCGTCCTTCCTGGAGCAGCTCCAGCGCCAGATCACCAGTTTCTTCACGAATTTGCCCTTTCAAACTTTCTTCACGGCCTTCGTCATCATCGGCGTGCCCCTTTTTCTACTCAATGCGGTTGTCCAGAATTTCCGCAGTCAGCGCCGCATCCGCCGACACGAGGCCGCGCACTCGCGCCAGATTTTCGACCGCTACCGCGTCCCCGTCATTGTCAACGAAGTCCAGCACGTCGTCGAGGAAGTCTTCGAGAGCGCCGGCGCTCGTCAGCAGCCCGATTACCTTTCGTCATCGTCCACCACCACCACCACGACGCCCGCATCCGACGCCACGAAGAAACATCGAGTAACGATTTCCTCATCATCCGCGACCGACTTAGAAAGCAAGCTCGAAGAAGACGACATCGAGCCCCTCCTCCGACGCAGCAGTACGACCGACAGCTTCGAAAGTGCAGCAAGATTCCCCACGCTGGCTCTGACCGCGGCGCAATTCTCCATCATCGATTCTTTAAACGCGGTAGGCTTCCGGAAATTCCCCGTCTGGATCCACAATCACCGGCACAGTCACGCCGCCATCATTATCCGTGTACAGAAGAGGGGTTTCGATGAGGGCAAGGTAGTCGTGAAGCATTGGCTAGATCAAGAGTTCGAGATATAGACGTACCTGCGACCGAGTATTCTTTTTTTTGTCTTTGGGAGTAAGCGCGACCCGTAGATGACATGCCTCTATTCTTATTTGAAGCGCACGCTGCACGATACTAATTGTTCTATACAAAGTGTTTGTTTCATGGATGTATGTAGAGAAAAACTAGAAGTAGACAGACAAGAACTACGAGATGTACGACACCCATATGCTTTGCTTCCTTCTCGCACAAGAAGTCCAGGGCAGTACACGTAAATGAGTTCCCAACCAGGTAGTTTCTATTTGAATCCCAAGTATATAGTTTTCCAGACCCTCAACCCGCATACCATCTCAGTCCCGATGGTAACACCAACACCTCCAGAATCTCAGCCCCTTAGCCCTAACATGTCGTCATCACGACATAGCCCCAAAGATCAAGCCAGCAAGACATCTACAGGTTGTGTAGTGTAGTGGTTATCACTTTGGATTTTGAGACCTCACAAGTTCCAATAACCCCGGTTCGAACCCGGGCACGACCTTTCATCTTTTTTGCTTTTTCTTTTTGTGGAGGTGTCTTGCCGCTGGTCTTAGCGGATACTGCCTGCAGTGCCCTGATTGGGGGCGTAGCGCAGAGCATTCAAGTTACCTACGTTGAACCGATCGCAAAGCTTAGGCGTAGTGTTGCATACTGGCTCTGGTTGGAGGTATGGCTGACAAGAGTCGGTATGGTAGCTAGCCCGGGCTGAAACTTTTTCTATCCTTTATATAAATGCGGTGGACAGTCACTGTGGATTGGGTAAGTAAGTATCGCTACATACTGATCTGTTTTAGCGGGGGGAGAGGGGGATGTGGCTTGGGTGATTGGGATACCGGTTTGTCTCCTACCGTGAGAGTATTTAGAACATGGGATCGAGTGTTGGGAAGAAGATGGGGTAAGAGCGAATGGGATTGGTAGCAATGTATCTTTGTCATGCTTCACACTGGTATACACCCTCGGTGAATTTGACAATTGGAGATATTGATCAGGGAGACCAGGACAGAACTCTCGGACCAAGGCGTCTATTTACCCATTCTTAACATTAACTAGTTCATCCTCCGGTCACCATGGCTATTATAGAGAGATTCAGCGATACGACAGCCATGGCTTCATGGAGATCGGTACTACTCGCCCAAGAAAGTATTGGCAAGCAGAGATACTATCCGGAAAGCTCCATCCAAGGACAAAGCATCACAAGGAGACCTACGTGAGTAATGGGTACTTGTTGCGAAAGCTCAATAACTATAAGTACACAACTTGCACGCGGACTTGGACATGCTTCAGATGCGAAGGCGTACCTGTGTCCAGTATTAGTCTGAATGCGTAGTCCCACTCTCTCGACAGCGCTCGCACTTCCACGTACATTTGATATCTTCACGGCTCTAGAACAGATCCAGTCGAGGTCCGTGTAACACACAGCCATACGGTGAGTGTAGTCATGTACGAGCCCACTGACACTAGCGGTACTCCCTCCCAGCCCCAGACACTAGACAACGACGACATAATGCGGGAGATGTCTGATTGGTGGGCGATGCTCCCTGATGGCGACGCGGCGGACCGACCGGTACGGCTGGAGAACCCAACGTCGGAGCCTTCGCCTCTTAATCGCCCCAGGGAGCAGGGTGAAGTGCGTTCAATTCTCAGCAGTAACAGTTCGTCGGAGAATGGGCCGGACCCTAATGGTGGAAGGCACGGCGTCGAGACGGAGGCCGAGCCGGAGGGCAAACCGTTGATCATCGTTGTTTACCTCCCAGGGGTGGACGACAGAGACTGGCTACCACCGAGGATACTGTCTCCCACAGTCGACATGATATTGACTTGCACTATCGCCGGATTTGAGCGGTTAATCTGGGATCCAGAAAACAGATCCGGCGACGACCTGTCGCCTAGCCCCAACCCGCGACTGCGAGGGGTGGTCTTGACCACCCTGGAGCTGTTCGACGAAATGCCGGAGCTTACGCAGCATATCGAATACCGGCACCAGACGTCAGGAGCGTCGTGGCCGTTAATCCTGGCACCTGCGATGGCGACCCACGAACAGGACGTGGAAGCTGAACGGATTCTCAACGTTCAGTGGCGACTGCCCTGGCGGATCTCGGGCTGGACACGCGGCTTATGTTTCTTCGAGGTGACCCGCGAAGCCGAGGTGCTTCACGAACTGAACTTGGAAGACCCGTGGGAATCGACAATCGCGTTCTCCGGTGGAATTTTTCGGCTCCTAGGCGTCGAGCGGAATGACCAATTCTTGCAATTGGCGCCCGGAGAGCGCCTGCGTCGCCGCGGGTACGGGGACGTTTTTCGGGCCGTTGATCCCAGTTTTGTGCCCACAGACTCCGACAGGCTCGTATCCGACACCGGGGTGCCCCTGACCGAAGAACATGACGAGACCCTGTCCCTGGCGCCCGATTCCGACGAGGACCTGTCCAGGTTCCTGGCGTCCGGCCCCGACGAGGTCCTGACCGAGTGGTGCGCTGCTGCCCTGGACTCTGGGACTCGCCGCGGCTTTATAGGCTATCTAATTATGCAACCCGCCGTAATGCGTACCGTCCTGTCGATGTGTGGTATTCGACACGGGCATATTCACGACAGCCTTTTTACTCGTGACAGGGACCCGTAATGGTAGTGTGGTTGATTGTCCATCCCAGTCCCAGTGACCTTGTGATCAAACTCAGATATATCTCGAAAACACGTTATTCAATCTGATAATTGTTATCTTAGCCCTTCAGTAGCATAGCGTACATACTCTAGAGAGTGATATTATGCTTCATTTCGCTCATTTCATCGCATAGCAAGCATATCTCAAGCGTGAGAGGATTTGAGTAGCTGTGAGAAGAAAAGCCCCAGAATGGGTTGTGTATTAGCACAATTAAGACCGTTGTAGAAGGCCAGATAATAATCACCGGCTCGACTTCATGTCCGGCAACACAGCATCTCATATACTCTGGGCCTCTCACACTTGTCCATTAGCTGCGGCGGACGCTGTTAGTGTATAATAGGATCAAAGTCGCGAAAGGCCACTGCATCAATGTCTACCGAAGACTTAACGCTCAGCTTGATAGTTTTTTTTTTTTTTTTTTTTTTTTCTAAAGCGTTTCCAGATTCTATGCGCAGTATAAACACAGACCCGTGTTTATGGGAAGTGGTAATGCCTAACATTACTTCCAGCAACCGCCCTCCCCTCCTGCCCAAAGCTCTGTCTGACATAACAGCGCAGAGAATACAATGGCTTCCCTCAGAGTGTAATTCAGAACATTAGCAAGCAGCCAATACATCAAAACATGATATAACTTACCCGTTCTCAAGCGTATGTCTGGCTGCAGAAGAGTTCCGCGTGCAGACGAACAACCAATCATCTTACGTCACCAAATAGCGATGAGGATAGATTCTCACGCAGATGCTCACCGCAGTCAAGAACATCACAACTTCAAAAAGCGGGCTGAAGGACATTGAAACCACGGCGAAGACATATCGACTCTCGCCAAGTCTATCCTGAACATGTACCGATTTGATTTTGATCCAACAACACTGGCGGGCTCAGCTGGCGGCGGGCTACCGAGACCATGGTATCATCACTCGAGTGGATGGTATCGCTTAGTCTGGCAGCACCCTTTCCCCCGCCGACACTAGAGCGTGTGGTGAGATTTAAGTGTGGCGGGGATGACCGGGGTCTTGCACGGCGCTTGGGCCAAATTCCGCGCGACTGGCTGGGAGGTATCCTGAATCGGGATACAGAACTGTAGAATTCCAAAGCTGGAAGGTTTCTCGATTGGAATGTGTTTGCTAGGCGAGCCGAACACGCCCGGTGTCTCCTGGAGACCTCGTCTGCTCAACACGTTACCTAGTAGATAGGTTACTGCGGTGCGATTGGATAACCAAGAGCCCTAGGGATTCGCGGGGTTTAGTAGTCCTCACCTATTAGAGAGAGCTTGGAGAATTGATTCCCTGTTGACGAGTGGATATTGTGAAAGCGGAAGTGGTGCACAAGTAGTGTGATTTGTTGACTGACAGGATCCAAGCCTGCTGCTGCGCGGGCTTACCTGCGAGTAAGCGAGAGTGGTAGTGCATGACATCTTTGTGAGACTAGCTCGCCTTGCGGGATGAGCATCTTGGCTGGTGTAGTTAATAATGGCCGTCCTTCATTCGGGTCCTGTATATTGGCACCACGTGGGAAGAAGAAGAAAGAGGGGGAGTCAACATGAAGACGGCTTGATCGGAAAAGGTGGCCTGGGGTTGACGAGGGATTTAGTATTGGACTCCCCTTCCGACCACACAAATCAACACATTGCATACAGAGTACAGTAGGGGGATGTACCCCACGATTTCCCCATACAAGTACGCAAGTACACATGGCCGGCAGTGCTCAGTATGTGATCATCATGCATCGCTAGACTCCGGCCGAGCCTGTCCGCCCATCACGTCTCCACTATCAGACCACTGTCCCTCGCCTACAAGTAGATCTGGTGGGGTGAGTCTTGGAAATGATATCCTGTCAATTTGACTCGTGTGGCCGTAGTACTGAGTACTCGTAACAAGGATTCCCCGCACGGACGACCCCCTCTTCGAGTGCAGTGTGGCTGTGGAGATTGTATCATAATATCCATCGTTAACCGAGGCCTTCCGAAGTCTCCAGCGTGGTTGTTGTCAGCTCGTTAGGACAGAATCCTTGGTCTTGGCTTAGACCATGATTTTAGACATTCAATTAGGAAACATTTGCGAGGTATTAGGTGGTAGTAATTTCATAATATTTCACAACCATCTATAGTGGTAAGCGTTCGAAAACTAATCATGATGAAAGAAACCCCCACACGCCCGAAAACCCAAGCCAAGGTATCAATACTCCACATCCATCAATCCGAAAAGATTCTATCGTAATTTCACCTGTTAAGTGACAACTGGGTGGCAGACACCTGGAGAATCTGAAGCCAGGAATATGACTAAAGAAGATTCCCCTTCGAAGGAAAACAAGACGCTGCGCCTTGACTGATCAAAATCATATTATGCACAAACGATTAGGACAGAACTGTACTGGTCGTTATCTGCGGCAGAGTCATGGTATCATTAGTAAAAAAAGAAAAAAAAAAGAAAACATAGCTGGGGAGCCATCCCCATTACAACATCAAGCGTTGTATTCAATGACGGACGGCTGCGGACTCCGAGTCGATCCCAGAGTCGACATCATCCCCGGAAGTCACTGAATCTTGGCCGTCCTTGGACATCTCCCTCTCGATAGCAAACTTGACTGCATCAAATACATTGTCACAGATATGCTTAGGCGAGAAACGTGGCACGGTTCCTTCCTGGTAGACGCCAGTCTTGACAAGGATCGAGAACCAGTTGGTGTCAGTAGTCTTGTCAAACTCATTCGTACCCCGGACGTCGGACTCTGGGGTGTCTCCGATGAAGTACACTGTGCTTGGGGGCTTGTTGATTCCATGGCTGTCTTTTCGCCATTGCCGCAAGAGTCGAGTGGCAAATTGATAGGTACCCATCTGCGGCTTGCCGAAAGAGATTGTCGAGAGCTCCTTGCCAGTGACAGCTTTGTATAAGGCTTCGAGAGAAGCTCGCAAAGCTCCCATGCCGATGCGAGTGTGCTCGTGAGAGGTAGACCAAACCACATCATTGTGGGAGAAGAAGACCGGCGGTCCCTCGTCGAAGACCTCTGAACGAGTACCAAGACGTCCGTCCTTGGACATGAGAAGATCCAAGATAATCTGCTGATCACCGGCCCAGTCTCGGCTGTCGGCGAATACGAAGATTGCCTCGATTCTAGTCTTGTCGAAATCGATAACTCGAGAGTTCTTGTATTCTTCGTCGGTAAGCTTGCGGAACGGCGTGGTGTCATGTCGTGTCTTGATGATATCTCCCGGGGTGACCACATCCTTGAAGCCATAGCCTTCTGCTACAAGGCGACATTTCTCACCTTCACCACCGACGACCAGCACGGTACCATATCTTTCAGCCATCTCTCGCATCGGAGTGTGGCCACAGATGAATTGACCGGGAGAGACATCCAAGTCCAACTGGCGACTGAGATCCAAACATCTTTCCTCTTCGGTTTTGCCGCCGCCATTGGTCACGAATATGTAGGGACTAGAACAAGCACAGTCAGCTCAGCCAGGTCTTGAACAGATTGATAACAAATCATAAGCAGAAAAGACAGAAGAGACATACACACGAATCCCGTATGGGTTATCGCCATTGATGTACTTGAGAGCAGCCGCCGCTTCGGGGATTGCTTCTCCTCCTCTGATGAGAACGCCGTCGATATCGAAGCCCAGGGCGAAATTATCGGCGGTGGTGAAGCATTGCTCAGAGACCGGAGAGGCAACGCGTGGAGATCCTTCCTCAGACGAAGTCTCGACATCAAATTCATGCTTGTCCATTTTTAGTGTAGTGGTTGTGTTGTGAACATCGCTGGAAGCCATTAAATGCTTGGGAGGGATGGTCACACTAGGGCCGCCATAAAGGTCGGCCTTGGAAGCGTCCAGGCTGGACAGCCGGCATACCCTCTGGGTACCGAAACCGTCTGTAGTAGTCATTGCGGGTAGGAAAGTGGAACACAATGGTCGGGGTGGCGATGGAAGCGTGGTGGGTGGAGTACACTGTGGGCCCGCGAACAAGAACAAGAAACGGTCGACGATTAGCTGCCCTGAGCTAGCTAGACAGATCGATCAATCACCGAGGATTTGCCCCTTGAGAAAACCGGTCTCCGTTGCGAAGCTTTCGGAAAATACTGAGAAAACAAGACGATCGCTGGGTCCTGAAAAAGAGCCAGAAATTATCTCACAAAGATGCTTTCTTTCCACGCAGTCTATTATGATCGAGAAGTTCGACACACAATTTGGAGTGGACACAGGGGTTCACAACGGAAGGGCCGCAGCGTTGCCAGGCAGAGGATGCAATGAAGGAGGATAGATATTGGGGGTTTAAATGGGAATGAGGAGAATCAGGGATCTGGGTGAGAGTCGCATTGGATTCTAGCCCATTCATATAGGAGAGCAAATGTGAGCAGGTGGAAGGGAATCTGGGATATGTGCTCCAGTTGAGGCACTTCGCAATTGGGACAAACCATGCAGCCCGTGGCACCGTCATCGACGAAAAAAAGGCTCGATCCTAGTGGTGAGTTGAGATTCCTGGTCTGCGGTGGTTACAATCGCTGGAAGCGAACCCCACCGTAACCAAAGTTTGTCATTCTCAATGGTGAAGGCCTAAGCATGATGGACTATAGTTACTAGTTAGTTGAGTACGGCGCGGGTTGTATCAGACTTCCACTCCGCCCCATAGTTATCATGCCTGATGATGATGTTGATGGACAGGGCTGAGGATCTGATTCGTTCCAACGCCGTGGTCGGGACACCAAACATGTCGGAAAGTTAACGATAACGAACAAGGGACATGCATCAGTCCTATAGAGAGGGCAGTGATGCAAACCCGCTCTTTCGTGTACGGACGGTGGATGACATTCGTTCATCCATTCCACCTGAATTTCCGCTGCAGGCCGGTTTGAGGGGGTTCTGTCATCACCGTACTCGACGATCAAGCGAAAGTCGGACTTGATATCATAGAACAACCGGCGTGCGTGGTCGAGAACGGGGAGATCCAAGGGGTAGGAAGAGGAGAAGGTCAAAGTGGGGGAGGGGAGACTGAGGAGATTGAGTCGTTGACATCAAGCTCGACTACTAGTTAGTTGAAGAAAGAGGTATTGTTGATACCAAATAAACATTACACAGTGCAAACCGATTCTCCTCCATAGTAGCCACGCTGGGCCACGAAGCGGTGAAGACAATTCCGGTAAGCTCAATACACGGTTTACTTGTCCTACAACATATGGTTCTAGACAAAGGCAAAAAGTACGTACATGGCGTTTTCGACCTTAGTAACATTCATCATGAGTGGAGTGGTACAACCATGCTATGAAAAACAGCAGTAGTGATACTATGAAATCAGCACTGACGTTACACTTCATTTATTGCTTCATTTTTTATCCTCTCTCCATTTTTTTTTATTCTTTTATTTCCCTATTCCCCTGACCCGGTACCTTAAAACCTTCTGCCTAAGATAATGTCTCTGTTGCTTCTATCCGGTTGGATAGTTTCTGCCTCACTGCCTCAGGACGGGTCGCCAACTGACGTCATACACCCGAGAGGCTCCGTCCTCACTTTTCCGACTTGCCGACTCCCTAATCATTCATTCATTCATTTCACATGAATGGGTTGACAGCCTGTTTTCTGTCCGTCCTCGGTTGACATTCCCAAAGCCTGATCTGATATCACCGCACCCACTCATCTCCAGATCCTAGAACTTGTCTCATGTTATTCGCCCATGGGGGTTTGGTGTGGGTCAGGTCACATCTCGGACACTGGGACACTGCAGCTCTCATCTCCCACCCTTTGTCTGCCAGAGATAAAAAAAAAGAGGGGCTTGCATTAGTGTTCTTGTTTCGCAGCTACTAATGATGCGACTAGTCATGTACTGAGTAAGTCAACAAGCGTACTGCGTGTACGCCATATGCATGCTACACTATACGGAGTACTGTAGGCATGAGTTGAGCGAGCCGCAAGCAATCATGTACTGATGATAACGCCGGGCCCTACTTTTGGAACAGATGATTATAAAGTGAAAGTCTGGATATACAATATAGATGAAAATCATCTTTAATTTCTTTGTTCTTGGTGTTGGGATCCTTTTCTTTGAAATTATCCAGAGAAAAGCGAAGCTCACACTATGGTGAACAAGATCAGCTTCTGATGAGGACCGCCGATCTTGATTGACATGAACCGCAGTGACAACTACAATAGTAGCGACCCTGCCCCTCCAGGCTCCAGGTCAGTAATACCATTCACCGGCCAGTGCATAATTCTCAACAGGCTGGCAAATCTTCCGCCCGCGTCGCGGACTCATGCTCAGGTGTCCACGTTTGAACTCGTCGCTCTGCGCACTATAGAAATAGTCGTAAGCTTCACGATGACCCTCATAAGGACTTAGGAGCATGTTCAGGAACGTTGGCAGGATTGTCCCACCAAGGGTCCTGAAGTCGGAACAGAGCGGGTAGAAACCAGTGGGCTGGCACTTGAGCCACACGGCGAACTTGCACAGCTGCTGCTCCCACGGACTCCTGTACATTGCATCGTTTGGACGGAGGTCTCGAAGCATATGCCAGAACATTTGTTCGATGAAGGCTTTGGGCGTCGCGATCACGACCCCAATCTGCCAGCGGCCGACCCACCGCTCCGGTGACCCGCCCAACTGGTCGGCTTGCGGGCTGGGAAGTAGCGGACTGTTCGTTAGCATCCAGGCCTCGTTGTTAACATTGGCGAGGTCATCCGGGAGGGGAATTCTGCCTGGGACCTGTTCCAGGAGGTGAGATTTTCTCCAGGGGTTGAAAAGGCCCCTCTTCCACGGTCCGCTGGGAGGGATATGGTAGTGCTGGGAGGAGAGGAAGTATTTGTCCTTGATATCTGAGGCTTCACAGTATGGGTCCCGACAAGGTTGAAAGCCACGTTGGTGGAGGGCATACACTGCTTGAGGAATTATATTGTCGTCTAGGACCAAATCAATGCTCCGTACTGCAACACTCATACCGTACACCCTAAGGGCCAGGTCCCCCACAAGGGCACACGGCACCCCGAAGTTGTTGAGCACATTTATGAACACTACCTCTAATGGCGGCGGCTGAGCTATTTTGTCCGTTGCCTCATCCTCCTGTTCGGCCTGTTCGGAAGACATTATTCGACGCGTTTGTCGAATGCGAAGTAGACCTGCTTCTGGTGTTTGGGCGCTAGTAATACTACACTCCCTCCAGTTTTCTTCCATCAGCCCTTATATAGACACCCAATACTAACCATATCCAGGAAAGTATCATCAAACATTAACATTCTAGAAAAAGTGATTTCGGGTTCTCACGGGAAACAAAAGGAATTTACCCTTTCAGACTGAATGAGTCCTTTGTTGTTGGTTCACGACTTGCCGGGGACGGAGGAAAGTTCCTTTAGACGGGAGTATGTCTCGCTCTACCAAACCCATCAACATATCAGAACTTGCCATAATGAGTGCTTGATATAGACGATATGGATTTGCCACTCTACAGCGACAAGTCGAAATGTCTCAACCAACGCAATTTCAGAGTGTATATGCATGTGTATATAGACAGATCGAACAGTTTATAATGTACAAAAAACATCTATCCGACAATGAACCAAAAGAAAGATACAACACAGAAAAGGGATGGCATGCTCACTACCCAGAGCGAGCATTGACAGGGCTAATCAATCCACCTGGAGAATGAGATCCGAGCCTCGCCTGGACGGCGTCAAATTGCGCTCGATTGGGACCGGTTTTCTCGGTATATGCTTCCCTTTCAGACTAGCGGCTGATGATACGGAGTCGAAGGACGACCTGCGTGCTTGGACTCCATACCTCGAACCATAGCCGTCGTCACCATGCCAGGCACCACTAGGCGCAAAGGGCCCTGTCGGCTCCTCGTAGGGCTCGGGAGTGACCCGACGGATCTGTACTCTTCTGATATCATCCTGTCGCACAATCCGGGGCCGGGAAACAATTTCTTGCGCAGGGCTGACCGACCTGGAGAGCGGCATGCGAGGGAGGCCGACGGGAATCCGGCTGCCAGCTGATGTTTCATATTGCCAGTTAGGAACCTCAAGTGTTGGGGTCCTGATTTCCCGCACCGGAGTCAGAGGCCGAAGACTCCCTGAATGGCGTGATTCGCACCGAGAGCTCTGAAGCCCGTCGCTAAACGTATGGTGAGAAGCTGGGTCTCCTCCGTATACCAACCGCCGACCTCCCTCCGGGCTATCGTCAAGATAAGGTGATGCTGTAGCCGGTCTTGTCTGCCCAGCATCACAAACAGGCCAGTATTCGTCTGTATAGTTTTCATGACTCAGTCTCGGGGAACGATGTGAGGAACTACCCAGTACATCGGTCGGGTGAGGTGCCGCCTCGGCGGGGCTTCCTGTCCTCGATCTCTGGTAGCGGTTCGGTCCTCTCAGAGCGAGCTTCCCGTCTTGCCCGTCTCGAAACCCATGCAGCATCGCGCGCGGATGCGCCGGTAATCCAGCCATCGGAGGTCGATGATGAGGTCGGCTGGATTGTGGTTTACGCGACCAATTAGAAGGATCTTGATTCATCCGAGGACTGCCCAGGAAACTGCGTGGCTTGGTAACATCCTCCTCGAACAAAGTCCCAACGCTACCGGGTCGCTTTTGCCGACTCCATCGAAGTGGCTCCGGATATAGCCCATATGTTGGCTTATCTGGAAGTAAGCTCGAGAGGGTCCGCGGGGTTGAATGCGCCACTGATGCCTCCATGTCGGAATTAGAAGAGACGGCAAAGCCGATATTGTGAGCACTATGTAGCTCCATGGAATCGTTATTATACCGATCGCGTGGTGCGTCGACGACAAATGTTGGATTATAACGTCTCGGTTCGAACGGAGTTATCAAACGTGACGTCTCCGAGTCTCTGTCTGTGCCACCAGGCATAGGCCTAGGCCCTGTTGGCCGTCGGGGTGGGAATGCGAAATCTGGAGGTTCTGACATGACCCCTCCGATTTCGAAGAAGTTTCGATCTTTGGTCTCTGTATCCCGATGCTTGTTCTTCCTATAATAGAATAACATCAAAGCTCCGATGAGGAAGAATCCAGTCATCCCAGAAGCCACAGAAATGCCAATGACCGCACCAGCGCTAAGCTTACTGTGCGTAGCTGTCGTAGCGGCGGCGGCGGCGGCGGTCGAGTTATGGCTAGTAGTGGAGGTACTGCTGAAGGTGGCCCACGTGCTGCTAGTCTGGTGACTCGGGTCAGATATAGTGGTAGGACTGTCGAAAGAAGTGACAACGACAGAGGTAGTATGTTCGGTTATGGTATGCTCGGTCAGGGAAGGTCTTGAAGTGGATGATACCCTAGAGGTAACACCGTGTGATCCGGAGGATGTGGTAACTACCGTGGTTGCACTATGAACCGACATAATTGTAGCCGTTATCGTTGCATGAGTCCGCGGTAAAGCTCCCGATACTGAGTCACAAATATCATAGAGATCAGACGAGAAAATGGTGTTGACAGAACACAGTGACAAACTGCACCGAAATGCAGCCTCACCCAGTGTATAGCCGCTGGTCGTATTCGTTCGACATAAGCAGTCGAGACTCCATGCTTGTGGGCACGCATCATCTCGATAATCGTTATTGATGAACTCGTCAACACACTGACGAGCACATCTGGGTAGTAGACTGGCAAGGGACGGCGTAGTCGCGGTAGGATAGAGTTGCGAGGCAGAAGCAAGGCATGAGATAACTGATAGTGCTGCTAAGAGTAACCCTTGGAAAAGAGACAATAACATTTTGTGTCAACCTAAGAACCCTGTTTAGCATCTCGATTCTATGGTCGTTCAAAGACTTGAGAATGCTTCCTTACATCAATCTGGACACTGCAGAGGAACTTCTGCCTCCACAGTCATCAGTGAAAATGTATTACCATCCTAATCAAAGATCAAGACAAAGGCGCTGGCAAAGGGCATTCAGTGCTCGAGTGAACGACCTGGTCTTTGACACCAACTCAAGCGAGTGAAAGAACATGGCAAACTGATGTCTTGGAAAGTCGAAGCGTCGAGGGGTAGGGGTAGCCGTCGCATTTCAGGGACCAGCGCAATGCATTGTTTTGCCATCGCCCTGTCAACGTGGGCGTCAAAAGAGACACGGGATTCCGTCATGGTGCTGAATGGCTGTAAAGCCAAAAGGCCGAGACCTGAGACGATGACAGTGAGACTGCGCCCCCTGTAGGCGCTTTGGTGAAACACGGCGATATTGTCACAAATGCACTACACGTAGTCAACACATGAGGTTTCTTCAGCATGATTAGCGCTTTTGACTAGTTGCGGGGCTTGAAGAAAGCAATATTGATGCGATACGCGCCGCGTTAGCGCCGATGCTGCAGAGGGGCTGAAGGAATGATGTCAGGTCAGCTGACTTCAGGCCTTCAGGGTCTTTGCGCCGTTCGCCGACAGACCAGTCTCACGAAGCATCAATGTCTGTTGTCTGTTTCTTTTCGAGTCGCTGACTGTATCTGAATATGTTTATCCTTGGGTCTTGTCTCATTAGCTGGATTACTCCCCCAATTACCACCTCAGCGTCGTTGGAGATCGGCAACGCCTATTATTCACTGTGAGCGGAAACTGTGCCGCCTGCAATTCCGTACGATGCATTGCATCCACCTACAGCTTGCACAGAACGATGGTCTTGAAAAGTAGTTTAAAAATTGCCATTAATCATTAGAAGCTGATCATTGCCAACGGTACAAGCAAAGCCCAGTGTCACAATGAGCTGGTATCATCGAAAAGAAAAGAAGCGACAGAAGAAAACGGCCATCAGAGACATAGGGAAATAAGATAGAAAACATTCCGACCCCGGCGCAATTGTGTTTCAGCATGGCATCTCCCTTCACGGAATAGATAGGAACCAGCAGCGCGCAGGAGCAGGCGGGTAATTGGCGGCATCAAATTAGGCTAGACCCGGTCGGAAGCTCACGGAACAATTAATGCTGACAACAGCGCGGGTCCGCCCCCTCTTATCGATTTGAGATGATGGTTGCCAATATATGGGAATTACAATCGTGGGACGAAGAATGCCGGTCGACTGAACCGGGTAGTCGAACGCTGGATAGACAAGCAGACGGTCTAGTACTTGAAAATGATGTAACTACAGGCGCTAGTCAGCAATGGCTTTCGAAGTAACCGCCCAGCTAACGGTAGCTAGTGGTTGCTAGTGGTTAATGGGGACGTACAGCGCGTGGATAATACCGGGCAGCCAACCCAGGATTGTCAAACAGATGTTGATCAGCAGATCAGCACCGCATCCGCGCTCGAGGAAAACTCCCAGAGGAGGCAGGATGATCGCAAAGATGATCTTGCAGACGTCACTACCCCAAACCCGCGTTAGCTATGCTTCCTTCTTTGTTGAGTTGGAGGCCAAAGGAGCTGCCAAAGTTGGGCTGCTGCCATTGTAACCAGTTCACACCGGCCGGCCTGATAACTGGTCGCTGGAGAAGTGACTTACGAAGCAGTGAAAGGCATGGTGAATCGGAAAGTTGGGTGACTGTCTTGGAAAGGGTATCGAAAGACAAATCAACGAGGATGACAGTAGATCGTTGGTATCAAAGGATTGATGGGAGTGAGTGAGTGAGTACTTGGACGCGGAGGAAGAATAGGAAGAGAAGAGAAGAACAAGAGAAGGGAAATGAAGGAGCGGGACCGGGGCAGGAGTCTTTTAAATTCTGGGTGGGCAAAGCAACTGGGCCTGCACCGACCACGACCACAAACGGGGCAGGGCGTACCTCCTCGCTACTAGTAGCCTAGTATTACTATCTACTAAAGCAATGACTATTCCTAGAGTTTTCTACTAGTGGTAGAATACTCCGCCAAGAGCTCCAAGCCCGTTCATGCAATCCAGATGATATGATGATTGATGATCTACTTTTACTTCTTGGTTTCTTTTCGGTATGACGGCTTCGTGGAAGACATGCTACGTCATACTTGCTCAGCCTGCTGTGGCTGATGCGAAACCCCCGTTACCTATTGGTCTGGGGCTTGAGATGGGCAGCGCAGCATCAATCCATCCAGGGATCGAACGAGCCACCGAGTGCGGTGACTTTTTCCAATGTCGTCCGGCAGTCACAAGAACTTCGCTCGGTAAGGGGTGTTTGTCTGACCCTTGTATGTACTGTACATACAGACAGGTAGGTCCCGTCTGACTCTTTAGAGGCCTACCTACTATGGAGTTACTCCGTACTAGCCGCCGGCTTTTCTCTATTTGAATCTCTCCCTACAATAAAAAACCCTCTTTCTATTCCCTTTCCTTTTTTCCCTTGTACCCTTCTTCTGGGTTCTCTAATCTTGTTGCCTGGAATACGCTTGGCATATCCGCCCAATTTTTTGCCATCCGCGGTCGGCTGAGAGACTCAAATCTCGGCCAACTAAGCGAAACCCGATTGCATTCAACCTGAACACACCCGATGCCTGCCTATTTTTGGATGGGTCACTGACTGGTAGTAAGGTAATTTACTAGTCGGGCATCTCGTACATTACACCCTAAAATGTCCCACTACTCAGCCCTGGAGTCGTACCTCAGTACTTCACTGAGACGAGGGTCAGCAAACTAAGTTGTGGGCCGTACAGCCCTACCGCCAACCTTAACACGAATCATACCTTGGGGTATACTCGTAGCAAAACACCCGCATGAGCTGTCGGTTCAATGGTCCACCACCCGTCACCGTTCATTTACATGTAGCTGGGTGGCTCTGCTGTGGCTAAGTTTGCCTTTTTGCTATCTATTTTGGGAGGAACACAGGTGATATCATCGCACGTGCATCTTACCACCATCCCAGACGCGTCATCCAGGCCACATTCTTTCAACGATGTTCTGAACGTCATTACCACGTATCTTGTGCATTTGATGCTATTATTCGTACTTAGTAAAATAAAACTATTGTGCCACTGCCAAGAACACTTTCTCACAAGTGATTATCATTTCTTCGGAATAAGTGGATCTCAAGAGAGCTTGACACTACAATGACCACACGTTGTCGCACTGAGTAGATCTAGCAGATGCCTCCACAATGAGTTCAGAGTACAGCGCAACACAGAGCCAGTAATCGATACCGTGTTACTCTTGTGCAAACACAACGCCCCTGTATCTAGACTTTATAGTTAGCAGATATATGTGACTAATCGATCTCTCGAATCACCACCTAGTCGTTGAATGTACTCGTGGATAGGGCTGGACTGCTGCATGAGTTGTCCTCGATTGCTAGCTGTGATGATTAGGAACACCCTCCCAAGCCTGTTTGACAGTCAGATGGGCGGACGCACATCCTCGCATTTGGTTCAACCTGCATATTCAGGAACGAACCCTTCCCTGCATTGATCTACATAGTCACATCTGTCATCCAGTCACCCATGGACTTAGAGTGAAGAATTGTTTGAGAAACATAACATTACGGCACATGATGTCATGGCTGCCCCGGATTATGCAAACCAGACGAAACAAGCTTTCTGCGTCTCCAGCTCCCTTGGTACCATGGCCCATGATTGATCCATTCGACCGGCCTCTGGAGACTCTAAGATAACCATGCACGCATCCGGTATGCACAGGGCCCTGATCGAAATGCCTTAGACACCGACGTGGCAGGCTGCCGTTCATACCTATTCAAACTGGCGACCACGGGCTCCTGTGATGCCTGCCCTTGAACCCGAAGTCTTCGACGTGCACATTATATGCTATGGGCGATGACACAGTCGGTATGCGCATCCGTCGGCAGGTTGTAGTTATATATAGCTCCCAATGGCCAAAACCAGTCCACCCAGGTTCTCTCTGTTGGCGTTCCTTAGCAATCCGTAGATTGCGCGGATCGAGAGCGCATTGTATACGGTTATTGCGAGTCACGTTTCCTCGAAGTTCAGACGAGCTCAGTCATGCTGAGAAACCTCCTGCGTATTCGAGGGTACCCGAAGTCAGTCGTGCAGTGCGTACAAGAAGTGACCAGATGTTGTGGCTTTGGAAAATGGGAGCGTCTTGGATCTTGTTGCTGAGATGTCGAGCTGATAGAATTTCCGGATCTGATCATGTCATCTTGCCTGTGCGATTGAATCCGATTTGTAACACGTCACGAAGAAGCATTGGATAGCAATGCGTAAAGTAACGTCGATTTTGACTGCTGGCCTGTCAAGAGGCAGCTACAGCAGAGTGATCTCCACTCGACACCACCTCCCACCTCCATGGCTGACGGGCAGATTGGGTCTGGGCGGTGAGCTTTCTAAAATCTGCCGCTCTCTCCGCATTTCCCTGCTGGAACTGATTTGACAATCGACCTGAAATGTTTTTATAGAAGGGTCGTTGACTGGTTAAACAATCTCTCATTTCAGGCTGGGGCATCCATGCTGCTCTTATGTCACTAATGCTCGGGTTTGCACCGCGCTCGCTCCCAGCACGGCTGGCTTGTCGCCTCCATACAGACCGGCGCATTCCTTCCATCACTAGAAGGTCGGTCGCAAACACAGCTTCCTGTGCTCGCCCCATAGCCTATACTTGGCTCACGCACACCCCGGGTGCAATTGTGCGTGTCTTATCCCCCATTGAAGACGAAGTTGACCAACAACCCAAAAGACCTCAGTCGAAATTCTCGCAAGTACGCCTCCTATCGCCGAATCTCTACCACGATCCGATTATATTCCTATCTTCCTCGTCACTACCGCCTTCGCATCATGGATCGACTTGTCGTCCCACACATTCCCGGAACAATGGATGAATCAATTCTATACCGGTTCTACCGATCCGGTGCATTCCATATTTGCGATTGTCGATAAGCTTCCGGATACCCGACCCCAAGCATCGGAGGCTAGTGGATTCCCCGGCGCCCCGGAGGCAGACGGAATATCGGTACTATTGGTAAATCGGGACAATGTACTAGGCCAGATTGCTGCGGCTCGTCGAGTACGGAGCACAGAAGCCACAGAATCCGTCCTGGTGTTTTCAATTCCGACAAGCGATACCCAAGCGCCGGATAAAGCATCCCGAAGGTCACTCCATGAAGTAGGCCTGCGACTTGCAAACACGATTTTTATCAATGGGAAAGAGAACACTCTTTTTGGAGCGCGTTGGGAATACAATACTACGGCAAAGAAGTATACTCTGGACAATACGCTAGACCTCTCGAACTGCATAGTCACCTCACCAGCAACAAGTCTTAGCGATGACTTCCAGCTTCCATTATATCCTGTTGGGCATCGAAGAAGGGTTATCTCCAGCATGGGGAACATTCTCCGTCAGCTATCCAAACATACAGACAACCATTCGACGGATCCGATGCCAGCTTCTTTCGAGTTAGAGAAGGATCTCCCCCGCTACATCACGGAACACAACATTACTGATCAACGGGTCTCTGTCTGGGCTCTAATTGAGACAACTGAGGAGGGCTATACAGCAGGAACGAATGCTTCTCGAGAAAGCCTCATCGAGGCGATTCGTAAGGGCGGCAAACTCCACCGCGTGATGAGTGGTGGGGGTGGATGGGGCAAGAAACAGGGCCTACTATCTCTCGACCCTGAGATAACCTTTATGGAAAGAACTAAGAAAGATAGGCTTTTAGGCCTCGAGGCACTCTTCACTACGGGCGATTCGAATCTCTTGTCAGATGCGCCGCCGCCGCCGCCGCCGCCGCCGTTCGAGATGCGCGGATTTGGGGAGGATTTGTCCACTCTTTCGCAGGCTGCGGGGCCTGGCGACTACGTGCAATTCTTCGTCTCCGTAGAGCCTAGTCAGTCGGGCTGGCCTGCGTCTGGAACAGGAGCCAATACTTTCCACTTCGGCGTAGTCTCGGATGCCGAGACTGTTCCTTCACAAGAAGGGTCTGACGGGCAGAAAGACCTTGGAGTAGTTCCTGGCCAATTCGGTGGACTGTCGGAAAAAGCTATAACCTACATGCAGCCTTTGGCTGGAACCGGGCCTGAGGAAGGCCAGCAATCGAGTTCTAAGTTCGACATCCCTGGTTGTCGGGTGGCATTAGAGCTAGACTGATACAAATGGTCCTCAAGAGTGTAAGATCATAATTAAAAGGGCTTCGCATATCAATTCTCTAGTCCTGGTTGTAGCATTTATCTTCAGTAATTAAAGTAGATGGTGTTGATGTCAATCATCGAAAGGCGGGAAGGCGCCAAGCCGCAGGTCACGTGATAGCACAGATGGTCGGTCAACCTCTCCGAAGCAACCAGCGTGTTCGCCTTCAAGCCTCCATCTCCGTCTCAGCTCTACCACGCCTTTGCCTCATCTCATCGCTGTCGACGCAGCCTCGTTCTGTCCTACTCTCACTTCCCCCGGCTGTCTCTGTAGCTTCATTTCATATTTCCAAGCTCAAACGGCCACTCGAACCATCGAAATGGCTACCGAACTCTGGTACGTAATCACCCTGGTTGACTCCTTTTCCCAGCATTTAGATGCATGGCTTGGACGATAAGCTATCGGTCTTGCCTATCAGTGTATTCTTTATGGACTGTTGCTAATCATTTTTGTTATAGCCCCGTCTATGCTGTGAGTCTCTCGCATTCCTCATCGATGTTGTGCTGGAGCTTGGTGGGATGGACCATCGGGTCCTCCACAACCGGGGCAACGTCACCTCACACGGATAGATCTTCCCCTTGTACATATAGCTGATTGCCGCCTGTTAGCCCTTCTTCGGTGCGCTGGGTTGCACCTCAGCCATCGTCTTCACTTGCTTCGGAGCCGCCTATGGAACCGCCAAGGCTGGTGTCGGTGTCTGCGGCATGGCCGTCCTCCGCCCTGATCTGATCGTCAAGAGTACGTTGGAAGCCTTCCCCCGGTATCAGCTGTAGCTGTCAAGGAGGGAAAAAGTTCTTGTTGCAGTTTAACTGAGAGCTGAACTGACTAACGCAATGTGATAACAGACATCGTCCCCATTGTCATGGCGGGTATTATCGGTATCTACGGTTTGGTCGTGTCCGTCCTCATCGCCAACGACTTGGGTCAGAAGGTGCCCCTCTACACCGGATTTATTCAGCTGGGAGCTGGTCTCGCTGTCGGTTTGGCCGGTCTGGCTGCTGGGTATGTTCCTCTAGCCCCGAATCGGATAACTCCAGAAACTAATTGTTGGCCTCCACAGTTTTGCCATTGGTATTGTGGGTGACGCTGGTGTCCGTGGAACTGCTCAACAGCCCCGTCTCTACGTCGGAATGATTTTGATTCTCATTTTCGCTGAAGTCTTGGGTGAGTCTGCCAAGTCCATTTGACTTACTCTTGATTTCACCGCAACTAACCACCGGCTCTCCCTTATCAGGTCTGTACGGTCTTATCGTCGCCCTTCTCATGAACTCTCGCTCGAGAATCGACGCCACCTGCTAAGCGAACGAACCCTATGCTCGCCCGCCCGCTCGTTCTCTGTGAGACATGTGCGCGCGCAAACGGCGAGGGCAACGACGAAATGTGAACAAGAATCCGCGTAAGCGGTCCCCCGTCGTTGAAGCCTACTGTTCCCTGTGTTACGAACCCGTTTTTATACCGTGAAGCGCGGATTTGGTCCAGAAAGCCATTCCCAAGAAAAACATGAACTTTTAACGTGATGTTGTCTGTCTGTGCGTGGTGTTGCTGTCGGAAACATTCCCTGGGAATACACGTTGCCGACACGTGGTGGCGAAAGGGGGAAATGCGTTCTGCTTGAGGTTGCGAGTGAGAGGAGGAAATTGCTATTGGATAGGTATATCAAGTGTCCTCTTCTTTTCTTTTGCCCCTCGAGCAGGAGGAGAGATATAATACGTCTGTAGACTATGAGGATTGGGAGGAGAGGTGGCGGTGGAGGGCAATCTTTGTATCGGTTGGTAGATATTTGATTTTACTATTGCATGGCTAAAGGTTTGTGTTTTTGATTCGTGCGCTGCTTGCCTGCTTTTGTATTCTATGGGTGTCGTGTCTTCGGTACTTGTTGAATCGATTGATCCTGACCTTGATCGCCGAACAGTAGGGGGATAGATGTAGGCCGTATTACTGTTGCTTGGCTCGAGAACTGATCATGATATTGATACAGGGGCTTGCGTAGTGTACTATGGCTGCAGAATTGGCGGGGCGACTAGACGCCTACTAGATCGGAGGAAGCATGGGCAACTCAATATGGTGAGAATAAGTATGTAACATAGTATTGTCTATTGGGAGAAAGTTGCGTTTGGGTTGATGGATGGATAGATCGATGGAGAGTAGATGCATGCGTTTGGAAGACGGAAAGATATTCGAGAACAAACCAGACAATGAAGTTGCTTCGAGGTTAAGAGAGTAAAAATGAGAAAAGAAAAAGGAAAACAAGCCGGAGGTTTAGCAAGGTGAGAGGGAAAGAAGGGAGCAAAGAAGAGAGAGTGAAATCAGAGAGAGAGAGAGACCACGTCTTGGGGCCCTCCTTATCCTCACGATTTCTCCAACTTGCGCCGCAGGGTTCTCGTCTTCCGCAACAGCTTCTTGAACTTGTGCTTCTTCATCTTCAACCGACGGCGTCTCTTTGTGCTGAGGGCGTGCATGGGCCCATTGGTATTCTGCTCGATGTAGCTCAATCCGGCGTTGCCGGAGGGGTCGACGTCGATGTAAGCCTCGACGGCGTCGGCGGCGCCGGGAACGCCCATGTCCTGGGTGGGCATGAAGGGGCCGGTGTGCGCCTGGTAGGTCTTGCTGCCGTCGGGGAGGGTGGACTCGTGGATGGTCAGCACGGTGGAGTAGCTTTCCGTCATGCCGGCGTCTGTTTGTTGTTCGGCGGCGGCGGTGGCGGCGGCGGAGACCTCATCCATGGGGACCGGGGGCGGGGGCGGATGGAAGGGACGCAGGCGCTTGGTGAGTTCCTCAATCGAAAGGGACATGTCCATGATCGGTTGGCCATGCTGCTGCTGCTGCATCACGCTCTGGTAGTGGCGGTTGGTCATCTCCTGCAATACGTTGTGGTAGTGGTTGGGATCCTGATCTCCGCCTTCCAACGTTTGTACCGCGGACGAGAGCGTGGAGATCACATCGTCCACGCCGGGCTTGCGCGCGGTGAAAATGGAGTCAAAGGCTTCGGAGGTGGACGTCGGAGGCACGCTGGTGGAGACGGAGATGGGACGGTGGATGGAGAAAAACGAGGCAACCTGGACATCTACAGATGGAGGTTAGTTGGCTGTTTGACATTTCATGTTCCCAATCTTCCTGGCAACTGGCTTACCATGTGGCAGGAGGTGCTGGGTCGATGGGACGCTGGGAAGCCGGGAAAACGCCGTCTGCTGCTGCTGTTGCTGCTTGGAGCCGGCGCGACCGTTGCTGTCCTTGCCTCGTCGACGGGTAGACTTGCCCGAGTTCACCTCCTTCGCAGGGGTCTGGGACGAGGCGTCCAACTTCCTCGAGCCATCGCTAGGCTTGGAGGACGAGGACGAGGAGTAGCGCCGTTGACGCACAGGCTGCGCGGAACCGGTGAGGTTGTTCGAGGAGGTGGTGAGAGTTTGGCTCGAGGCGCGTGTAATGCCTGAGATGGGGACAATGGGGGCCCAGACTGCCCGGCGCAGTGAGGATGATAGCATTTTCCAAAATGTCGTAGGTCCCAGAAGCTGGGTAAACGAACTTGGCGGATGCGAAAGAGGCGAAACCGAAGTTGAAGTTGATGAGCCGATCATGCGGAACTCTGCTTAGCTCAGCAGAATTTTGTGGCTCGCACCTCAGGCAACCAATATGACAGGGTCATGTGATCATGACCCTTAACATTTATACAGGAATTTCTGAGAGTTGGAGTAGAAAATCTACAGCCTGAATACTGTCATATCGGCTATGTGGCAGATGCGAGGGTATCAATCGAGCCACTTTCGGCCAATGAGGCCCAGATTAGCTGTCGTTGGCACTACTGACACAAAGGATCACTTTGTGAGCTTTTTACCTGATTTCTTGTGGACTGCATCAATAACATGGCAGTAGCTAATACTCCACCAAGAACCTTCAAGGAAAGTTAAACAATGCCACACTCGCTGCCTAGTTGTGCATCATTACATAATATAAAAGAGATACTGCACCTTTTACTCGTCAGGAAGGTTTTAGAAGACGTGCATGGTCGCTGTCAGCCCAATGGGAATAAGCTTGCCTTTATGTAACACTAGAAGAGAGAAAGAAATAGATACATTGAAGAAAGAGATGGGATCCGTGGATCCGATGACAGGCCGAAAAGTCACAAAAAGGCCCAAAGGAAATCGTAAGGTGTTGCTAAGGACGCAGACACAGACACAACTATATGGTATATGGTATCAATCTGCATTAGAAAGCAAGTCCGACCGCCGCTGAATTGAAGATAAGATGCGTGCTTTTTCAGTATAGGAGAGCGTGGATATAATAGAGTCATCCAAGCCGGCCAAGGAGAACCCTTGGACAAGGCAAGAAAGATTTGATGACAAGAACTTGCGGACGGCACGAGAGAATGCTGAGGGTGATATCAATGGTGATCGGTGGAATATGAACATCCCAGGGCCGCGAGTATGTTTCATTAGATATTAGTCGTTCTTCCCAAACACCTTATAGTATTAAGGTGTGGAGGTTCTTCTGGATAATCATGTCTTGCACGGAATCCATGGTAGCCTTCAACAAAGTGGTATCGGTAGCATTCGTGTAGTGGATATAGATCTCGCGGTCCGGAATCCGGTTGATGCCTCGGAAGCGGTCTGCGAAGTACCTTGCTGCAGCATCGAAGTCTGTGTTTGATCCATTGTAATCGGGGAAATGATTGGAGACGGGTGAAACTTGAAGCTTCCCCTTGAAAAGATCGATCTTGTTCAGGAAGAGAATGATGGGCTTGCGCTTGAACCACTCCCCGTTCACAAGTGATTCGAAGAGCATCATAGCCTCATGCATTTGATTCTGTACGCACAAAACCGTTAGATAATTCTTGATTCCCAGAGCGAGACTGAGGACTTACGGCGTTCTGATCCTCGACAAGGCATTGATCGTAGCCCGATAAAGCAACCATGAACAGAAGGCATTGCACACCCTCAAAACAGTGGATCCACTTTTTGCGCTCGGATCGTTGCCCACCAACATCCATCATTCGAAAATTCATCTGACCAAGCTCGAAGAGGGTTTCCGTGATACCCGTCGTCCGCAACCGAGCTTGCAGCATATCTTGATTGTCGGGAAGCCACCCCGGAGTGAAAAGTCGGTCAAGAGATTCGAAGAAGCTGGCAACAGATTAGTTCCATTTTTTAAGCCGAGTCGTAATGTCATGGCGACCTACTAATGCAGATTGTCATGAAGCGCGAACTCATGTCCTCGAGCCACGGCCTTTTGTACGCCTGCATCATCCCAGATATCTCTTAAAGCATCGCGAACTTTCAAGTCCGAAAACGCCTCGTCAGAGCCCACATCCGGCTCTAAATTGTCTATAAATTCACCCAGTGACTAGATAATGGGGTCGGAAGTTAGCCTGTTGGATCACCAGACTCGGAGAGCTTGATGCGCTAAGAATAGGGGCAATGGATTTGGGGTCATCTTACCTTATTTGTTTCGAGTTGGTACTCGATGCTCTCCGTGCGCATGATTTCCAACAAAACCTTGAAGGCGATGATCAGATTCGAGTAGATCACTGCCCGAGTCTGAACACGTTCATCGTCGGGAAAGCCTCCCGAGTGAATAATGCGCATCTGTTTGATAATTGTCGATTTGCCCGACTCCCCCGCACCTGGCATGTGGTGGTCAGTGCTGCGAACAAAACAACATACTGGTGCAAGTCCAAGCGCGAACTTACCGAGGAGAAGAATTTTGATAGTCCTGTCCATCACTTTTTTATCATTCTTCAGTGCCTTCTCTATCCGAACATTCCGTTGAAGTGCTTCTTTATCTCCCGCATCGACGGGCTTCGAACTCATACAACCCATTTTGCGATAGTATAATACGTTCTTGCAAGAATATATCAGAGATTTCTGTTAACGTCTCCGTTAGAAACTCAGACTCTGGGAAGATATTCAAGGTGCGCGCGAACACTGCAACGTCTGCGACTGAATCAGGGATGCGCTCAGACTGCGGCAAGTGACCAGTCAAGTGGGTTACACTTGAAACATGTATCAGGCGCATTCTTGAGTTCGCGGGGAAAGGCTAGCGCAGGCTTTCGGAATCCGATTGGGACAAATCACTTACTATTGGGGAGAACGATTGTTTGGCAGGCGAAAGGAGTAGATTTGCTATGTCCGTAGTGTTGATTAGGACATGCTTCACCAAAGAGTGCTTCTGCAGCGAGTGGTGTCAGGTAATTTGTACGTACAGCGCAGAACCCAGATTTTGGCCGAAGTACCCTCTGATAGTGGCGATTGTTTTAACACTTTTAACACTCGAGGGAAGGTTCCAGGTGCGCAGGCATTCAGTTATCGGTCTTGGGTGGTAGTTTATAGATGACGACTTTTTAGCACGGGTAAATGTCCGTTATGAATAGTATCCCGCAATTGTCAAAGCGAATTCGAGGGCGAGAAAGCTATAAGGAGGGAGCGAGTTGGCTGGCAAGGACGGGGGATTCGAAGGCTACAGCTCCGTACGACTTTAGGTCGGGGCTTTGATAAGCGCAACGTCGGCGGCGAGGAGAGGAACTAAGGGCTCGAGTGCGTGCAAAGTACGACGAGACTGCTGTCGCTGCGCCCCTTTTCGATTTGAGAGCGAAGAAGAGAGAGTTTTCCGGCTGAACGAGAGGATAGTCGAAGGTGATCAAGATCGAAGTCAGAGGGTGACGGAGAGGTGCATTACTCCCATATCACAGTGGGTGAGAGCGAGGGGAGGAGGGCGATAGAGGGACAGAGATAGGGAAAGGATAAAGAGAAGGTGAAGCAGAAAAGGTGAAAGAGGAGGATTATCCCGGTCGAATTCGCCGGAGACCGGTCTATAGAAGGAGTAACTGGTGGGAGGAAGAGGTAACAGGTGTCGCGCAATTCGTTAGATATTCAAGCAAGCCCGATCGGAGTGGGTCGCAGTGCTTTGCTAGCAAGGCCAGTGAGTCGGTAGGTGTGGGTTCTTTTGAGTTCTGAGTGGTCCTGACGCCGCGCCTGTAAGACTTGTAATACGTAGAGGGTAATGAAGATACTCTTCTCTGATCGTCCCGGGGAGGGGGCAGTGAGCAACAGAAGAGAAAACGTGAGGAATGAATGAGGGAGGGAGGGTGTGAGGAAGGTGGTAGTGGTGTGGTGGTGGTGGTAGTGGTGTTGCTAAGGGACTTAGCCATAAGCCCTTATGCAATTAGTGTCAGTTTAGTAGTGGAGATAACATGGGGGGGCGGAGAGCTCAACTCCTTAGCTTAGCTGATTCGGTGGATGTCAAGAGTTGGGAGAGGGGCACCGGCACCGCAATAATACGAGTGGCTCCGGTGGATGAGGTCTGGGTCCACTTCGGAAACCAATTCGTGATTCTTCGCCCGCTCTTAGTCTGGTTCGAGCCGATTGGAGATAGTCGAGTAATGAGCAAGTGCTGCGACAGTTGCATTTCTCACCTGATTGCAGCGGTATGGTAGGTATGGTACTATACCATTTTATACTGGTACATACCCGGTGTTACTGGCATTCACCATACTTACCGCTCTGAGGAAGCCGTTGGGAGACTGAGAAGAGAGACTGACTGACTCGGGCTCTTTCTTGGTGTGAGACCCATTGCTGGTCTCACGAATTATGCAGAATCACTTTCCTCTTGTCTTCTTACATCATGGGCCCTATGCTTAATATCATGATGGTGGGCTGGCCATGCGTTTTCCGCTTGGAAGATGTTTCATGCCCACCAACGCAGTCATCATACCATCAAGACAACAATAACCACACTCTCTTTCTCTTTTCAGCTTCAGAGTCTAGACAGTCCTCTTGAACTATGCTGTGACATTGAGTTGACTTTCAAACTATCCAGACATAGTTCCCCCCTCCCCACTTCCCATCGCTCCCACTCCTCGCACGCGACACCACGAGGAACGGAAGCACCGCGCTGCCATGCACGGATCGACGTACATGAGTATAGTTGCCTTTGAACAATAAGTGAACCTTACGAGGCGCATGGTGCGAACCCTGGATGGTGCTGACCACTAAGAGCAGCGACCATACGGGGTAACAAAGAAATCGTCTTTAGTGAGCACCAGCGGGTCGCATCTAATGGAGAAGAAACCATTGTTGCATAGTCTCGCTCTAATATATTCAGTATCATCTACCCAGGGCGGTTGTCAACTCTGGACTCTCAAAGTTGGAGCGTTCTGACTTCGCAAACTCAGCCCGACGATAGAACCCTGTACCGTATGTATGTACACCATGCCTTTGAATGATGAATTGATGTTCAGGGATCTCACCGTCGATCGCCATTCAGCAAAGACAGACTCAAGAGACGTTCTATCAAATGGCCGGTCTCGCTTACCGAGACAACCGGTGCAGGGGTGAGGAGCAGATCATTGTCGATTGATTCCCCCGTGAGCGAACTCTAGACTCTCTAGCCTACCCTGTTGACTGATACTTGACTGAAATAAGTATCATTGTAGGTGACGGCGTCAGAGACCTCGATCGATCAATAAGGATAAAAGAGTCTTCGATCATTGGCTAGCTAATGGGTTCAGGCGCAGTTTCATCTATCGATCCTTTTCATAATCAGTCAGAATCCCCCTGAGCCTCGAATTGATCCGGTGTCATACTACGACCAAGTAGGCAACAGTATCCTGCGCGCACGAACCTAGTAAGCTGGTCCAAGAACATGGCTGTTGGAGTACCAAACTCTATTCCACCATAACATGATCTGTCATGGCTGGGCGGAGTCCAGAGAAGAAAGCTAGCTGATGCACCAACATCTTACGTACGATTGCCCCGAGTGCCCCCAAGTCGTGGTGCTCAGGTATTGTTGTCTGTATGTAAATACCGTCAGACTGTGGTAAATAACCTCTTTTCTTCCCAGCTGTGGCGTTTTTCGGTTTTGCAGGTTTCCGGTTTCATCAGGGCTGCCAAGCAATGAATAATACGCCGGTGGGGGGCGCTAAGGCAGGGGAAGCTATTAATCAGCAGCCGTCGGCATGGACCATGGCAATTCCGTCCCAATCAGTGCCGCTGGAGATGGCCCCGGTTGCGGACAACTCGACAGGTAGCATGAGCAAATCGAACAGGTAAACAATGCTGCTCATTCCATGCAACGCTCGGCGCGGAAGTGTGCGCATTTCCCGGACATATCATATGCAGGTTGGTTGTGATGAGAACGGAGCAAGGAAGGAGATCTTCAGGAGTGCAATCGGGCATTCACCCCGGATTTGGCATGGAGATGGTCTATCCAAATGCTAGCTGACGAACGGCAGCATCCGCTAAACTGTATGGTCCCTGGGGGATCCAAATTTGTCGTTTACCGCATTTCCTTGATGATGAACGTTTCACAAGTATCATCAGTGGACTCTTCATGAGCAGAACCCGTGCCTATTGTTAGAGTTTCTGTACGAGACTGCGAGGGATCCAGTCGAAAGAGCTGTACGCCTCGGCAGAGGCTGAAATTCTCTATCCTGGAGGTTCGTGTTTCCTTTTCCTTCTCCTCTTTAGGGCTGAGTTGGCTTGCGATTGACTACGCAACATACAATGAACGACGCTATACTGAGTCACCTCGATCTTATGTCAAGCACGTGAGAATCATACTGCCAATCTGTATAGCGGGCCGCCGCATTCTCCGAGACAATGCAAGGGAATAGCCGTGAGGAATGAACAAGTCAGACGGGCATTCCGTCCGTGACACTTACCTGCATTCACGCGAGGCTTGAGGCGACAATTGCATTGTCAAGCGATGCCGTCTCTATTGCAGTCACGACGGCTTGAGCTCGATGTACTCTCTTGTCTTTCCCTATCGGTAGTTCAGCCGAGACCTTGGACGGAATATCTGTGGAGATTGAGAGACAGGCAATACACGACGAACCTCTTCTTGCTAGTATTACTCCGTACACTTCTTTCACTCAGCCGCTGACTCCAAGTTGCTGATAGATCACGAAGCATGAGTCAGGAATTCATCGTAGTTATGGCAGCAAAAGTCGAGCATAGCCCGCACTCCTGTCGACTCGTCGACTGGCACAGCGAATCTGAGTAGTCCAGACGGACGATGCATGTCCTGAAAATGGAAATACCTAGCTTACAGGGTTACAATACAGTAACAGTAGCACCAGCTGCCTGGGTAATTACCATGTAAAAACCGTTAGCCTGCGCCCCTCGAGCCACGTGCTCCGCATGCTCTTGTATTGTTGGATCCTTAATCGGTAGTGGTTTCACCAAGTGCCTGCGTTTCCCATTGACCCCACATCCGGAGCAATTAACTGGCCTGACAGGACGCACTGAGCTTTTGCGACCCTTTCATTCACCAGTTGTTTCCCCTGGTCGACTACCCCCCTCCTTGCATGGTCATGGACCCGGGCGCTACGCTACGCATAGTCCCTCAAACTCTCGAGGGGATCTCCATTGACAGCTCGATCTGCTGACTGATTCTGGTGATTGATTGAGCTTCCGACTGGAGTGGTACACTCCTACGGTGCTAATCCAGGAGCGTCGCACCATGCTGGACAAGCCTTTCACACCCACGAATCCTTCGAACCACTCCCCTTTTTCTCCCAATTATGCTTAGCCAGCTTAGGCCGTCTGGGCCTCCACAGGCGGAGGGTCCCTTTCTGGTTAACGGGCAGCGTGGCACATCTCACCCGGGTTCCATGCATGGAAGCATACCCGTCAGAGGCCTGTTCCACATCGGTCATTGGTAAACTGTTCAGCCATTCGCGTGGTGATAAGAAGCAGAAAAAACTGAACTGGCAGTTCAGAATACGGACCACATCCGGGTTCCACCAATAACACCAGGTCTTATGCCTCTCTAACGGCCGCTGGCGACCGGAAAAGGGAGTGAACTGCGAGCAAGAGGCGGACCATTGGTGAACAAACTCCGAGGGTTGCATTGTCAGCTTATTCTTGGCCAGGTGATCTTCATTTGGGCACTAATTATATCCACCGACAACATGGTATGTTGACTCCATTAGCCTGAAGGTGGTGTCGACCTGCTCCCGCTACTTCTGTCGGGGAGGTCCGGTTCGGGTGCAGAACAAACTCCCCCCAATAAGCACCCTATCATGTTGATCCTAATCGACAAGCGAAGGTGATAATAAATTAAATCGAGTGGCCCATATGGCGCGACTTCCCCGTATCCAAACTTTAATTGTATCAGGGGCTGCTGTCAAGACATTTTGCCCGCCAGGCTTGATAGATAGTCGAACCAGAAAAGTATTGCGTACTGTCTGTTGTCTCCGTTCCAGGGACAACAACGCAAGCTTCGGAATCCTGGTGTTGATCCTAAAACGCTCCGTTTGCCCAGGGGCCGACGGTGGGCGAGACCTGACCAGGATAAGGCGGGGGCCGAATTCTCAGCGAGGAAATGCCGTTCGTGCCAAGCGGATTAACGATGCGTCTTTGACTCTTTACGGCCCTAGTTGCCTGTCAATCCACGTTTCTTGGGATGTCATGGGTGGCACAAGATGCAGCTTCAATCACAGTAAGCAGGAAATTCAGAGCATGGAAACCGATTTAGGGTAGGTCCTCGCTGGCTCGTTGATAGCCCATTAAGCCCCCTCAGGCTTGGCCCCCAGCTACCACGATGGTCATGGACCATTGTCTTGACGAACATGCCCGACCGTCCAGTCAGCCATTCAGTTCGACGTTTTACGTGATGAAGCTGGAATGGTGGTACGTCGTGCCTCAACATCGCTTAAATTTCCTTTTTGTGGTGTTTTCGGCTTGGTAATACGTGCCTAGAGTGGCCCAAGCTTTGAGGTCGATTTTGTGCTTTTCCACTCTGGTCATAGAGATGGACGAGCGGAGGAACGGACAGCAATGCAATGTCGTTTTTGCTGTGAACCTGTGATCCATTTGCCCCCCGGTTAGCAAGCTGTCCCCACAATATGTGGCACTCCAAATCTTTGTCGCGAGCGAGGCTCTGAACTATGGCGTCGGCGTTCCATGGCTCGGTAGCAAGGATAAGGCCGAGCTGACTGGTCTTAAGGTTTCCAAAACCCGGTTGAGCTCCTGTGCGTATCATACGAGTCATATGCGATGAGTAAATCATCCTTGCCGCTTCCAACATGCGTGGCTGACAGTAAACCTCTATCCGGCATTTTGTTGACCTGTAGGAAAAGCAGCTTCATAGTCTCGGGCTCGCGTCCATGTGGCAATGAGATCTTGCAAGGGACTATAGCCCGCTGTCATCCTCATGCTTCCAGTCCGTATTGTATAGATTGCCATGGATTTGGGCCTCCTATGACGGAAAGTCCCCTCGGACGACTACCGAGAAATGTGTTCGCAGCGTGGAAATGGCGCCCCCCAGAAAACAACTAGTTAACCAAATCAATGCTCGTGTTATGAGAGCTGAGTCATCAATACAATCTTAATGCCATGTGACACCGTCAACAAACCAGATCGGTGCATAGTTATGGGGCAGGGAACCATCGGTCACTATCATGTCTCACTGATAAAAGATAAACAGATACACTTCGGTCAGGAAGAATCCCAGTGCACTAAACTCTATCCCGAGCTGACAGCGTCTTTGCGATCCTTCGGCCTTGCGTGGTTGCGCGGCAGGCGGCCAGTGAGATGAGTGGCATACAGAGCAGCAGCTTACTACCCCTGAAGAGGTCAGTCAATTCAATCCTCAGCAAGGTCGACAATCCGTTGCCTGACACCAAGTAGCGACGAGGAGGCACCATATCTTGACTACAACCTACAAGGCCGATGGACCCCTGACATCGAAAAGAACCAATGCGACTACGAATTACCGGATGACCGCGATGATGCCTTCAGCTCCCTAAGCGCTCTATTTGGGTATAGAAGAAACTCCTTGCTTGGCTTCGCTAGCTATGTCATTTTCTCTATAATCTCCTTTATCTCAGCTGCCTACTATTTCTGGTCGCTAATACCTTGTATGTTACCAGCCGTTGAATTCTTGTTACCCTTCATCCGGCTCCTGTCCGATTTTTCCGCTGACATACTGTAACAATGCCAGACGAGCCTTCACAACACAGCCCGGTTTCAATTGTCGCAATTACCTAGATCGACATCTGCTGAGTTCCCCCTTTCCGGCGGACCGTTTCAAATAAGCCGATGTGACGATGCTTGCTTTTTGATCGGTCATATCTAACGAATCGTCATCTCAACACGACTCGAGCGGAGACCTGCAGGCGCGGCTCAGCCATGGAGCCTCGAAACCCATGAGGTTTGCCGCCAGATATGTCTAATTATATAGCTTCGGTATTGTCGGCCGCACCAATGAACACTCCACCTCAGACAGTAAAGTAAAGAACAACGATACTCGTTTCGGAATATGATAGGTCTCATGAGGCTGTCCCGCGAATCAGGTGCCCGGTACGAAATCGGATCGACTTTCAAGACATCTAGAAAAACTCGGCAGTCGCCTCTTTCATGTACATACACAAACAAACTCGAATCGCAACTATCCCTCTGCGGGACGTAACAATTCCAGCAGCTAGAAATTTGAGCTCAGATGATTCCTCATTCTGAATACCTGCTTTAGTCAGGGCACGGGGCTGCAGGAGTGAGTGTTCAAGTCATGAGATTGAGTTTGAAATGTCCACTCAATGGCGGTTTTCGAGTTATGACTTCTACGGAACCATCCTTTTTCAACATCTGCCATGAAGAGCTTGACACCGTGTGCAGATTGCAGAGTTCAAGGGGGCTTTTCAAAATAAGGAGCTTGGGTTGCTTTGAAAGTGTGCAGACGTACGGATGGCTGATTTACAAGATTGAACTACGTGGATACGGGTGCGGTACACTCATATTGTATAAAAACCTTATCTCTCTATTCTCCCAGTCAGGCTCATGGCCCTCGAACATGCGACGATGATCCAAACATGTACGTCTCTTCCCTGAAAGATATTAAGCTCTTTGAAAGAAACAGTCACAGTAAGGCTCATCGAGACAGCCCGATTAAATAGTCTGAGGCTAAAGCTCACAGCTATAGCGTCTAAGACTGCTTAATTCCTGCAGATGTGGGCTGTCATTTGTTAGCCTCTAGCAGTCAGCTACCCCTACTTTACAACGAAGTTACTACTGATCATACTCAATATATGCTGCTTGGATCAAGGTAGAGTAACTTCTTGATTGTTCCTTTGTACCGCTGTCAATTCAGCACCGAACTTCTAATCATTCCATATCAGTGTCGCTCATCTGGAGTCAAAATAGCTCTTACTTCCGTGTCGTAACGGCTGCTTGCACATGTAGGATTGGGCTAGAACAAGATACCTGTTTCTGGGCTGGCGGAATAATTGGCAAGCAGTCCTCTGAGTTCCTAGAGCCGTCGCGATGGCGAACTCATCTCGACAATACCTCGTTCCTTCTTTTTCTCCTGCAGCAACAACGAAGAGGAAAACACAATCTTCACTATGAGGGATCGCACTACAAAAGATGGTTGATGCATGTGCAATTACATTTGTGAGTCTTGTACTATACCTCCAATTTGAGTGAGCTGACCATCGAAGTCATGCTTGACGAGTGCTCACATCTTGTGGAGCAGCATTCATAATGACTACTACGGTCGGCTCTTTCTCATGGCTGACCTCTGCTGTCAGCTGACGCGCACCTCAGTTCATCCGAATTCTCTCGGTTTCTGGTCCTGCGCCAATAGAAATCTCTTGGCTTCTCTATTAGTGCTGCATCCATGTTCCAGAACATGATGACAAGAGTGCTGTGGGTAGTATTCTTTACAGTCATTGCTCCTCACGTTGCTTTGCCAATCTAGTTTGTCGAAAAACAAGAACCGCTACCACCTCAACACGGAGTTAACGGGCCTCCTACTTGAAGACAACAATGGTGAATGCATTGACCAGCCAAGGAGTTGGTTGAGTGCTAGTCCAGGACTTCTATGTAGTATGATTGCTGAAGCGCTGATCCGGGATCAAGCTGTGCTCGAACCCAGTCAACCCCCACCAAGGAAGTGTTAGCCAGGTAAGAAATTCCGGTCATCTGCTCGCGGCACGACAGTTAGGCCTTGCTAATATCTTCCTCTAGTACATCACGGCCACCTGTGATAAATTTTTTTCTCTGAGGACTTCAGAACTATGTCCTAGACACTTCCGCTCTGTGTCGAGTTTGCCGGTCAGAAGCAGAGCTTTTTCGTCGAACAGCACCCGCAGTCCGTCCCTGTATCATTTCAGATTTATCATTGTTGCTCTGTAGCTTATATATTGCTCCACCTCTACAACAAGCTTCTACCGACCAAGGACGCAATACAACAAAAAAAGAGGCAATCGTGCTTCCATCGACTCTCAAACCCTTTCGGCATTAGAGATCTTCCCAGAGGCCGAACGGCAGCTGCACCTCCAACATCCAAAGTCCTAGAGATCTATCGGGAAAGGCACCTTCGACGAACAGGCACGGTGTCAGTGACAGAGTATTGGCCTTGCTCGTTCAAGAAAAACGGCCTGTACGTGGATCTCATCTGCAACGACCCCCTTAACCTTTGATCCGATGGTAAAGGCGTTCGTCGATGCCCATGGGCCCGCGCCGCAGCAACGGGTCGGTTCTACGACCAATGCAGGTTGTAGAGTATCCTAAGAATAAGGCTATATGGTATCTACTTGGAACTAATCAAGCACATACGACCACAGGGTGTGGAAAATAGGGCTTCCCGTCCGCTCAGCCGTACTCAAGCCACACGCCGGGAGGTTAGTAGTTGGGTGGGTGACCACCAGCGAATCCCTTCTGTTGTATGTTTTTTTATGGATACCTTGCCATATCCCCATCATCCTCCGTCTCCTCGGAGAGAGCCCACTGCACCCGCACATACCGGCCACCGTGTTCTAGTTCCTAATCAGATGCCCTAGACCCTGAATGGCTTCAGAATTGAATGAACGTTATTTGTTGATTATATAGAATTCTGAGAATTCTGAGATGAGAGAAAAGGGGTTAATCTGGTCTACTGGC